AAATTTAAACATTATAATAGATGTCTATACATTTAAAATAACACTTTGAATTACTTTTACGCATTATTTTATGGATTACATCAAAATTATATCAATGGTAATTCAGAAATTGATTGAATAAAGATTTTGAATTACTAGATATCACCATGTTATTAATCTCAAATACTTATATGAAGACTCAATGAATGTAATTCGGGTTACATTTTATTTGATTGCGATTTAGATATAATTTGACACAAAAAAAACTAATTTATTTTGAGATATATTTACTGACATATTTTAACTAAAATGAATTCTTATGGTTACACGACTTAATCTCTGCAGATATATATGGTAATGGTTCAACTACTACATTTTTTATTTTCATGTAGATGATATCTAGATCCTTATAAGATGTGTAATATTGGTTTTTGACCGTTCAAGTTTTGGACCGTTTTTAGGATTTAATGTTAATGAATGATAATAAAAAAGAGAAGAGAGCGACTTGACTTTTTCTTTAAATTAAGCTCTTCTCCTATAGCTAAATGATTCTGCACGTTCATTCTTGACTACTCTACACTCTTTAATACCTTTCCAAGGTTTTTGCAAATATTTCTTATGTTAATTTAATCAATATTTAAAGTTTACATTAGTGACAAGAAGACCTAGTTGAGAAGCAATTTTTTAACCAAAAATAATAATTCCTCACCAAATTTCAGCAAAAATGTCTTCAATACTTCCTGACATAAAGAGTGAGTGAAAATCAATTGCGATTCAATTCCTTCTTCATTAAATTCTATCTATGATTAATTTCTTCATCAGCATTTGGAAAATGACTTTTGTGAATTTTTACCTTATGTACTGCAGCAAAAAGACCTATGATTAAGCTTTGATTATCACACCAAAGGAGATGATCCATGTAATTAACTTTGCTCCACCTAGAGCCATGCATCTAGAAAATAATTTTCATTTGAAATTTTAAAGGAGTCGAACCCTTACAATCATTGAGTATACACTAATGATTTAGTAGAATAGGCAAGTAGGCCAACCTAGTACAAAACTTGTGTGTCATCAAGGTCTACAAATTTAGGATTAGAAGAGAAGATCAAGAAAATTAAAATAGTTGACCAAAAGCCAAGATTAAAATGCAATCCATTCAACTTCCATTTTTTGATCTTATCACAGCCTTAAATGTAACAGGTTTAAAGAAATCAATGAGCTGATCTTAATTGGTGTGTTGATCTTTCTAAAATTAGAACCCAAATCACAAATGAAAAACATGAGTCTCACATGATGGCATATGCCAAGTTCATGTCACATAGACTCACTTATTCTTGATATTTTACTATATACTATCCTCACCCATGGATAGTTTATTTATACATGCACATGCACTCGCGGCTTCCTCTCTATGTTGGATATAATCAATCTTCCAACACCTCTAAGGCTGAATTTTAAGATTTTTTTTATTAAATGTTAGTGAAAGATATTAAGAAGTTATCACAGTTTGATTAATCTTGACTTTACTTGTGTGTAATCCTAAATCTTAGACCAAAGGTCTAGCTTCAACAACTGATGTGAATTTAATATGGTAAGATATTTTGAGTTATGGGAAGAGTGCAAGGATTTGGTAAGTTGATGGAGTGCTCACCCTTTGCATAACTTATTGATAGATTTTTTTTTACATTGATGAATCTACTTTCATGAATGTATCATATCAATTTCAAAAAGTAAATATATTCTAGTGATATACTAATAATAATGAAATAAAATAGTGACATTAGTAGTTAATATTTATTATTTTCCGACTATAATGTAATCAAACGTGTTTTATGAATGTATAGAAGCTCAAAATCAAGGGGATCACTCAATTTCGTAAACTAGTAACAAAGATTAAGCTAAATCTTGTTGTAAAAATGAAAGGCTCATAGTAAAATGTGCCAACAACTAGTAAGACCCTTGGAAGATGTTATCCTTTCACCAGCTAGTAAGAACCAATTTGGAAAAATATTCAACCATGTTAAATAGGAAGTGTAAGAGGGAGCCCTTCTTGCTTTGATTTTTGACAAAATTTACAAGAGGGTAAAATAGTACTTTTATATAATACTTCCCCCCCCCTAATATGTCAATAAAGTACTATTCTGATCTCCTTTGTAGAGTCCATTTCCAAGTATATTTGCCATTTCCTATTTTCAGGAAATGAGTAATCTCTTGGGTGGAATCACAAAGTATAATGAACTTTTACACTCAAAGTGACTATAACATTACACGAGTCAAAAAGTAATTTTGTATAATCTAGTTACACTAGTAAATCATCTACTAACCTTTAGTAAACACAAGGACAATTTAACATTTGTTTGTTACAATGTTATATATTATATTGTTGTAAGGTGGTTGGCTTATGAGTAGACAAACTTGGGATAAATAAGACTCATAATTAACAAAAGATATGTGGTATGAAACAAATTTTAAAAAAGACAATGTAGCACAATACCTACTAACTAGTGATCATTGTTCAAAAATATTAGTATCAAAGAAATTCATAAAACATTTTTTATAAAATGATGAGGCTCAAGAGCTTAGTGTCAAAAACCCATGAAAAAATATAAATCCAAGGATCATTTCCAAAAAGGAATCAGACATCTACATTAATGCCCCATGCCTCAATCTCTAAAAAGCAATGCACCACATGTTGAATATTGTTCTTCACTTCATGATAATGAACTTTGTGCAGTATTAGGTAGCAACAGGGGTATATAAGACTATGAAATAGAGAAGAAGTGTTTTGAGAACACTTGTACCAACCTAAGGTACTAATCTAGAATAAGTGTGTTGTGAATACTAAGTCTACTTAAAGTATTGAATCTAGAGAAAGCTAACTAAAGCTTTGATAATGAACATCAGTCTTAATAAGAAGCTTGTGTAATCTAAAGATAAAGTCTCTTAAGAGTGGAATAGGCCTACTATTCTGAATCATTGTAAATTCGAGCCTTTACTATTTTATGATCTAAGTTGACTCACTTAGCTTGAGAAAACTGATATAAAAGTAGAAATCTATTCAAAGCCTTCCTCTTGGTTCTTCTCTTAACCTTAGTACAATCAGGGCTTTCAATATTCCATTCACATGACCCTATTTCATGCCTTGACTTTCTTCAATTTATACTCATGCTTAGTGAAATGGTCAAGCTTGAGCCAAGTTGCATTGAGTGGGTGTATGAGAAAAGTAATTTAATTTCTTGAATCTAACCTTATTTTGAGCTTTGTTTCCAGATAAAGAAGGGAATGGCTAGACTAGACAAGAAGCTTTAAAATGATATAAATTAATAAGGTTCTAGTCATCTTGTACTATTTGAGATAATATTTTAAGTCACTAGAGGACAAACAATGGAAGGACTTACTTCAACAAGCAACACAAATAATAAGATGAATAAATGGAAGGTGCAGATTTCTAGAATTTGTAGCCTAACTCCACTATGTTGTGCTATAAATGAACCTTTGCTTTACTAGGTGAGACAATATTGTCACTCACAATTATATCTACATTCTAATGATTGTGAGATATTGATCTTCTCATGCTTGGTGATTTAGAGGTGGAACCTTAGTGAATCTTAAAATTGTTTGTGCATAGTCTAGTTGAACTACATTGTTTGATTTGCTAGGCATTGGATAGAAGTTTAGATTCAAACCACTTCAACCTTGTAGGCAGTGACCAAGCTAGCATGGTAGTTATTTTATATTGTCTCCGAAGATGGATGAGCAAGAACAATTTATTATTAAAAAAAATTTATTACATGGAATTAACTTTTTACAATGCTCAATGAACTTTGCAATCATAGTTGGGAAGGGGTGATAGATTCCCATTAATATAAACTTTCAAATTATTTATGCCTAAAAGATTTTAAAACCTATTATAACTAATAAAATACCTGAAATTCCTTGTAGGGCTCTCGATTTAAGAGTAGGGATGTTTCATGTTAGAAGATGGTCATATTAGAGCACACTAGCAATTGGAGTTTATTATGAATTATTAAGTAAATATTTTTTTTGTTATAATTTATATAGCAAGTACTTGTACAACACCTTCCATGTCATGTGATGGTATTGGTTTTTTTTCCTTCTGATGATGTGAGAGAACTAATCTCACCCATTTTCCTCTCACTTACTCTATCCTTGACTTGTCAAAGTTAGAGAGAGGGAATAGCTAGAGGCTGCTTTATTAAATATATACATATATATATATATATATATTTCATGTATGTAATTCAAATTACCACCTTTGACTAGAAATAAAAATACTTTTTAAATACCATTCATATCTTGATATTTAGTAGCTCTTTGTCATTTGTAACACAACTCCCTAGTGCATTTTCTTAATATTGAAAAAATATTATTTATTTTTTATAATTTGACATGAAAATGTAAGAGCTTGTAAATGCAACTTGTGCAATGAATAAGAAGTATTCCGAACATGTTATATAATTTGTGCTCAATATATCAGATATTGAATAGTGAGAAAGAATTTCCCAATGTTGGGGGAGACATCAATTTCTAGAATTCATTGATTTTTTTGATCATTTATTTCAGCGTAATTATTCTCTAATTACTTTTAAGAACCAAAAAGTAAATTCATTCAAAATATAAGCGTAAAAAATGGAAATATCTGACGATTAATTATTCAATAATCTTTCAACGAGGGAAATTTTCACATGGGTGGGATTAGATTTAAGAAGTATTTAGACATCAATTTTCTTAATTATTTTTAACCGAAATTTTTCGAGGAAGGGAACTTAAGAGCACTAAAATGAACAGAAAATCCAAGCAAGGAGGTGGGGGGGTTGAGGATTCTTGGCAGGTCTCTAACTGGTCAATCATTAAAAAATCGAGTTTGTTGGGATCAGACCGAAGCAAAGCAGACGATGTCAATCGTTCTATCTGGATTTGTGCAGCCGACGGCGGGAAGTAGAACGGCGGAGAGAGGAAGGATTGACCCCACTGGGCTGGGCCTCAACCCTCTCCTCATCATGAATCCCTCTTCCGTCGGATCCCCACCTGCTGCTGCCTCCACCTCCACATCGTGGTTCTCTGGCCTCGTCCGAGGGGGTTCCAAAAACATGAGCGCCAGCGCCGCCACCACCGATGGGGGTTCCGTGCCCGGGAGCCGCAAGAACCAGCTCCCCGGCGTCCTCTTCAAGTATGGTCCCAAAGCGGTCCAGGTAATCGAGTGTGAGGATTTGAATTTCTCCTCGGTTTTTCCCGGCGAGAATCGAGGGGGATGCACTCTTCTTCGTGCGGGGATTTCAAATGCGCTTGGTGGTTGATTGAGTCTGTGGGGGATGGATTAAGCCTCTGAATCCTCCATGGATCATCTCTTACTGAGAGGATAGTTATAATGAGGCTTTGCATTTTGCTCTTCTTGTCTTTCATCGGCATTATCCTGTTTTCTAGCGTATCCAATTTCCCACTCCATGAATTCAGGTTTACCATTTCTTATGTAGGTTGCCTTCAAAACTGGTGATTTTAGGCAGCAGGTCATCTTCATCGGAGGATTGACAGATGGATTGCTAGCAACTGAGTACGTCTTCTATAATACTGTCTTCGTCTCATGGGTTGTTGTATATGCTATTCACTGTTTCACTCTCACGCTATCGCGCTGTTCTGTGGGCACTGACTGATTATGCATATGCTTTTTCTGGACGGGGAGTGGACATGAGATCTGGATCCAGCGGCGGAAATCAGCGACTGGATAGGGTGTTTTACTGTAGCCCTACTGGGTAATAACTTGCAGAAACATGGGAATGCGAATGTATATGATGGGGTTTTGGCTCCCGGTTTTCGGTCCAAGTATGCAATTATATACGCACTTGGGAAGACGAAGATAAAAAAGGTGTCTTGATGGCTTGTAGATCTACTGAGACCATGCTATTCGAAAGCTGTGTTTAATTATAACTAAAACTCTGTGAATGAGAATAAATTGTGTAGTTTCTGAAAATAATGAGTTTTGGGGGCAAAATATGCAACTCTGGGACAATGCGTTTATTGTTGGAAGATCCATACTTTTGTAAGTCCGGGAATGGGCACATTTCTAAAGTTTTAAGATAATATTTTTCAAATCTCTGCTCTATCCTTTTTTATTGCTAATTGAAATGCATATATTGTCCATTTCCTCAGATTTAGTTCCTCATTTTCTTCTTCTGGATCTACTTTTCGTATCATTTGGACGTAATCTCTCTTTTTCTTATGCTTCATTTTTGTGAGGAAAAAGCAATTGGTTTCGCAGGTACTTGGAGTCCTTGTCTGTTGCTTTGGAGAAAGAACGATGGTCTCTGGTGCAGCCTTTGTTGTCATCATCTTACACTGGATATGGAATTTCGAGCTTGAAACAAGTAGGATCCCTTCATTTCTATAAACATTGTCCTTAATTTTCTTGGTCATCTTCAAATACTCTTCTATTATGTAACTTCTTTCTTAGCAAAATCACTTTGCTAACTCTACATCCCCTCATTCGTTATGGAAACATTTTTAGATTACCAGAAGCTAGTTGTAAGCCCATCTTCAAAGTGGGAAAAAAACCTGGAATTCATATGGAATCCATTGATAATGTTTCAATTTTCCAGATACTGACGATGTTTATTTAACTTTTCTTGACTTCTGATCTCTTTAGTCCACTTTTGGGGTCTAGGGGTCTATGTCTCTTTGCCTTTTGTGATGAGACAGACCCTAAGGTGAAAGTTAGCCATTAAGATAGAATGCGTATATAAAGCTTCCTTGAAAACGTTCATACTATAATGGAGGAACAAGCTATCTAAGGTGTTCTGTCTGCTTCTAATAATCTCTGAATTTGAGTTGCGTCTTGGAGAAAACATGTCTTCCTTTCATTCTAGGCTTTTTCATTCTATAAGTAATAGTAAGCTTTATTTTCATGGTAGCCATTCTTTTAAAAAACTGAGGCTATATTTTCAAGAAAAAATGGGCTCAGGCTCCTTGAAAGCTTTATTAATAAAATCTGTCAGAATCTAGACGGTGTAAGATGGCGAAATAAATCTAGGTTTTTTTGAAGGAGAGACAATTTTTTTTGGTAGATTCTGATCAAGCTGCCAAACCTCTACTCAGAAAGATGTTTATGAATTGGCTTCACTTGGGTTAAAGAAGAATTGACAAATTTCCTTCGTATCCTAAAAATGACTGCAAAGGAAATTTCAGCCGATTTAAAACTAGCCCATCTGAGGGTTCTTTAATTGTAAGTTCTATATTTTGTTTGTTCCATTGTTTAATTGACTGATATTGGGAATCTAAAACTCGAAATTACGTCAGTTTTACTTGGACTTTTTGCTATTTAGATCTAACATTCTTTTGCTTTTTCTTTCACATACTTTCTTTCTGGAAATATCATAAACCTGTGGTGTGGTAATAAAAACTTGCTTTGTGCAAAAAGCATGCTTTGTAACTGTTGTCACTACAGAAATAAACATTTAATACACCTCATTTGGTGAAGCGTGGATTTCTCAGCTTATGCTCTTTGCTTAAACTTGTGCTTGAAACCTTTCCCCCAAAGGATTCCATGGAGCTCGACCTGCTTATCAGTCATTTAATCAACAAGGAAAACTCTGAGGGAGTGGTTTTGCTTGGGCACAGCACTGGTTGCCAGGTTTGTTGGAAAAGTTTGTGGTTGTTATGTTGATATTCTAGTTTTTGAGCCAACTGTATATATGCTATCATGGAAAGACCTGGTCATTTTCATTTGATTATGGTTTCAGGATATCGTCTATTATATGCGTTCAAATTCTGCATGCTCTAGAGCAGTTCGTGGAGCAATCTTGCAGGTATCCTACTTAAATAATTTTCCATCATGGATCTTATGGGAATTTTCATCATCTAAGAGAAAGAAAATTGGGAAATTTTTGCTATATGTCAGAAGTGGGGACCGTCTTCTTCCTTTATTGATCATCATAAAATGGTACAGTAAACAGAGGCAGCGAAATTTATGTGATTGAGATTGACTGGTTTCCTGTTCAACTTTGGACGATGTAACCTGTACACGTGTATCTTTAGAGGTCAGGTAGTTAATCAAGGTGGATGAGCATTCCATGCATAACTCTCTTGAATATGCCAAAACCAAAGTTGAGCTGCAATGTGGAGCCTGTTCCAGATAATATCCAAACAAAACATGGAAATTAGATCTTGTACACAGTGTCTCCATTCAAGACAGCCCTGAAAACAAAGCATAACTTCATGATCACACCACCAAGAAAGAAGCCAGCGGGGTCTGTGACTTTCCTTAGATAGCCCACTAAATGGTGCTAGCCAAATCCTAATTCGTGTCTCAATAATAGCTGAGTCAGCAGGATCTGATGCCCTATGTGCAGGATAATAGGAGATACTGGGGAAGAGGTGCTGGTAGTCCTTACCTTTCCACAGTACTGGCCTAAACATGTGCTCCAGCTTCTGACAGAGGTGGTGAATAGAGAATTGGGTGCTTCCTATTCAACCCTATCCTCTCTCTAAATGACCCAGGGACTCTGGGCGTAACCTGGAAAGTTATGATCTGTGCCCTTTCTTCTTGCGAAAGTAGAAGGTGTATACACTACCATTAAATACATTTTGGCCCGGCCGCAATTCCTTTCGGGGAGACAAAATCTTACAAATAGCTATCCATATTGGGATTTTCTTCCAAAGAGAAGAGATGGTCCGCATCCTTAGCAAAATGAAGAGAATCGAACCGTTAGAAATAGTTCTGGAATCAGGCCTCCTGAGGGACGTGAGAGGATTAATAAGGCGTAGATGCAGCTGATGTAATGCAGGATTGTGTTGGACAGTTAAACACCGACGAAGGGTGAAGTCTAATCTCTATTGATAATTCTTTTTTTGAACATTAGATTCTCAACAATTGACAGAAAGTGACTGCAATTGGTGATCATACCTTAAATTTCAAAGCTGATCTGAAGTCATTCGGAGAATCTAGTTTCAGGTTTTTTGGTCATTTCAGTGAAATAATGTGATGGGAGTAGAGCTTGTATTTATCGAACAAACAAGTGTTCTGGCGTCAAGAACATTAACTGAATGTCCACATTGACTGGACGAGAAATATAAAGGGTAGCTTCAGATGGATTTCTGTATATCAGTATATGGACTTCTATCTTTTTTTTTTACAGCATTGACATTTGTCCATATTTAGGATCTGGAAAAGTGTCGCAAAGAGGCAGGAAATAACTGAAGAAAGATTTTTTTCGAATAAAAGTGGTAACATGTGCCAACTTCGTCGATGTGCTCAACTGAGAAGAATATGCAAACACGGCGGAAGTATTGGCACTGTCAACATCAGAGACTCCAAATTTGGCATTATTATGTGGTTTCAGATAATTAGAAACGGGTCACGGTTGGAAGCGATTGAATTATTGTAGATATGAGTACAGTATCATGGAATGCTACAGTCTGATACAAGTGAAATCTCCAGGATTGGACAATGACATCGTGTTTTTAAAGAGGCAGTGATAGCTGGTACTGAAATTTTTGGGAAATGTGCATAGGACCTTTGGAGAAAACAGGTAGAGTCAGACTTCAGTTGTTAATGAACCATGTTTGCTTACCTTTTAAGGCAGCAAATGGCGCTATGATTAAAGTGGCAGTGTCTTTTGGAAATACCATGGAGGGCGGTACTCAGCAAATAAATGAAGGGATTGGTTTGTAAGATAAGAGGTAATTTTAAATAAAGACTCGAAAGAAAAATGACCAAAAGAAGGGAGCATGACCATTTCATTAACGTGGCTAGTGAGAAATCGTTTTTTTGCTGAGAATCAATCAGATGAGAAATGGGGAAGATTGTTCAAGACAAGGAAATTTCAGATGTTTTTATTCAATTCTTTGATGTTCTTGGGGAAGAGAGTCTGGAGACCTCAAATAGATGAGCGGGGCTTTAATCGAAATCAATGAAGAGGAAGTTTCCGACCTAATCAATTTATTGAGTGGTTATTTCCATCCTAGAAACCAACAAATACGTTGGTCTGGCTTGGTTATTTATGAGCTCTTCCAATATTATTATGGTATCATTAAAGAGGAGATGGAGGTGATGAAAAAGAAAAGGAGCTGATGAAATTTTGGCCAAAATGCCGGACAAGAAGGGAGACTGTGCTGTTTAAGTTGGTCTTTGAGAAAACAATTAGATTAGATAGTGATGTGTTAATATGCTTCCTTTTCTTATGAACGTAAATCAAAATCTGACTAATGAGATGAATATGTGCCAGTATGGACCTATGTTCTCATATCAGCGATTGAAAACCGTCTTTGGACAATGAGATCTGATGTCGCTTAGCAGGGAAGGGTTAATAAAAGTGCTTTTGGAAAAGGACTTACGATGGGTGAAGTGTGCACTTAATCAATGTGTATCTTCCAAGGAAAAAAAGTAAGTGGATATGGTGATGATAGAGATTTGGTATCTCACTTGCTAGCTATATTTAGACTGTTGATTTTCTTACACAGATTTTTCACTGTGCACATCCGGATTAGGAGGAAGTATCCATTCCTTATCTCCACTGAAACAATCCACAGGATCCTTGCTTTCTGGGAACATCGATCTATTTTCATTTGGATAATAGAAACTTTTCTGATCATTGAAGGACCGACGAAGGTCAAATAAGTTTTACCAAAATGCGCATAAAAGAAGCAAAAGTACAAAGTTGTATAATGAAGGTTAATAACCTTCCAACCATAGTACTTTTAATGCATGAGTGACGATGGCTTGGAGGAAAGGATTCTGAGGGCCAGAAGCTGACAACGATCAATGCCTGGTTGAAGTGAATCTATGTACCATCCTTTTCATGAGGGCATTTGAAAGTTGCTCCATAATTTATTATAATCATTTGAAAGTTGCTCCGGTACAACGGTAAGAACCTGGCCACTCTTCTAATAAGGGCATTAAATTCGGCGATCAAGAGAAAGATGGTTGATTATTTATGAGGGGTATCAAAGAATGTGGAGCTAGCACTTCGTCGTTTTGAATCTTATAGTTCTATAATGTGTCGGAAGACTATTTTGGGCTATTTTCGACATAAATTATGGAGATTAATGGGGATAGATTTCTGCCAAACCATCAAGTGTCAACACTCTAATAGGTTCCATCTCAGTATTCAGAAGATATTCACAGTGGAAGTTCCATTTGGTGTCCATCTCGAAGTTTTCTATCTTCCATCTGGGCCTGAATACAGTTCAGCCAGAAATTGGAAAAAGCTGCAGTATTCTTCTATATTTCGGCTTTAATAAAGCTTCTTTTGACTTGAAGCTGATCGCTTGATTGTCAAAGACCGCTAATCGATTGCGGTTCTTGAAATCGACTCTAGCCAATACAATTTAGGAGGGAAATCTGATCCCTTTAGTTGGCATAGCCATGGCCTTTTTTTCGTTACAACATATGCTGACTGTACATAGATTTTGTTATTTTTAGCGACCCTTAATTTGCGGATATTGTTTTTCATAGAGGATTATTTAGCTTAAAAAGCCTTAATGTGTAGTATTACTGCCAACTTGACGTTTATTGACCTTGTTTTAGTAATCTTGCAAGTGTTGAGATTTCATAAACAATTGTTATGCTCTCAGGCTCCCGTTAGTGATCGTGAGTATAGAGCAACCCTTCCTGAAACAGCTGCAATGATTGACCTTGCTTCGACCATGATAAGTGAAAATAAAGCAACTGATCTTATGCCCAGAAATGCAGATCCTGACGCCCCAATCACCGCCTACAGGTAGTTTTCAGAATCTTTTTTCATGGTGATAACACAATTTTACTGCACCACAGCTTTTATGTTACAGCATGAATTATTTCACTTGTCTACTTCTATGAGCATACTATTTTTCTTAGTTATTTTTTGAGCTTTTATTTCATCTTTCCACCACTCAGATTTGGTGATTGTAAATCTCAGATAGCGTTTGTGTTTAAGTTCACAATTAGTAACAAAATGGATATCTTGCTTTAAGTAAAACGTGAAATTTAAAATTATAACTGTATAGACGAGAAAAAAATCCTGCTTTGATGATTTCCTTCCGGTCATTTAAGTATATGACTTTGGACTAGTTACTGCCAATCTTAATCAGGATGTATGATTGAAATCTTTTCATTTCCTGTTGTTACATCCATTTTACGCTAAGTTTTGAAATTTTTGTTCAGATACCACTCGCTGTGTGCATATATGGGAGATGATGATATGTTTAGTTCAGATCTCACTGATGATCAACTGCGACTGAGACTTGGTCACATGGCAAACACACCTTGCCAGGTGAGAAATTATCTTCAATTATAAAACTATCAATTATCATTGTTCTCTTTTTATTCCCATTTTAGTATGAATTATTTTTCTAAAGTCTGTTCGCTCTCCTAATGCTCAGGGTTAATTATGCTCTGGGTGACTAATACTTCAATTTTTCAGTGAAAAACTAATTTTATTTGATTTTTTTTGCTCGTCTAGGTCTGCCTGCCACAATATAAGTTGCTTGGAGGTCCTTTTACAATTTATCATATTAATATTGATGTTGCCACAATATGTACAATTACAGGTGATTTTCTCCATGGCTGATGAGTTTGTGCCTGATTATGTAGATAAGAAGTCCCTTGTAGAAAGGTAATCCCCTCCAAACAAGAAAGCAAGTTTTATAAAATAAAGTGATGCAAAAGTATTTAGAAAATCTTATCTCTTGGTCTCTTTTAGGCTATGCAAGGCTCTTGGAGGAGCTGAAAAGGTTGAGATAGAATGGGGAAACCATGCTCTCTCCAATAGGGTGGGGGAGGCTGTCCAAGCTATCTTAGACTTCCTCAAGAGAGAGGGGCCAAAGGGTTGGGATGACCCTTGGAGCTGAGGTCAATTTTCTTCTTCCCCTTCCTGCTTCAATTGTGGGTTTTGCTTCGATGTTGCCTTGCCAATTGGTTGATTTTGTGTACAGATAGTCATCATATTCCCATGGCTTCTTCTTTTTTTCTTGGCAAATTTGAATAAAATGCTCAAGACCTGAGCCCAATTAACGTTTAGAGACTCATAATGCTTGTCAAATGATGGACCTCATGTATCCATTGAAGACTATGTTACTACAGTGTTACTGTTATCTTTATTAATTATTATATTTTTTATTAAAACTGTAGAATAAGCTATTGTACAACTAGATGTAGTATGCTGGTACGGTATCATGTAAAAATATATAGAAAAAAGTCTAATTTATCATCAAAAGATTAGACAACTGATTGCTTTACATATTATCCCTCAATCCAGTCTCATCATATGATGAAGGAGAATAATTTTACCAAATAGTCACACCAACAATGTGAATAATCTAATTCAAATGTATAATCTGAATAGTATAATTCAGATGTAAAGTTGAATGATATAATCAAATGCTTGCTCATAAAATGTTATATATCTCATCTGGTTAATCCAATAAAAGCATGCTTAAAGTAGCAAAAGAAAACATTTTAAAGTATTATTCGTTAAGCACTTTAAACTAGTCAATCAAATGCATATCATGGGCCTGGGTTAGATGCATGGCAGAACGATCACATCAGTTGAAGTGATATACTAAAATTATAAATTTCGGTGCAAATTCAAGCCTAAAAAAATTTAGAAAGAGAGGGGGGACAATGAAAACGAAAGAATGTGTTGTTTGTTTATAAAAGGCTAGGTATGATATCAAAAAAAGAGGGAAAAATATATCCTACAATAGTAAGAAAGAGAAATCCAATATATCTATCAACTTGCATGATTGTGAAAGAAAATAACTTAGAAAGAATATGTCAATTTAATATTTAATAGATATTTAAGAGATTGAGATGTTTGAGAATAAATAATTACAACATGTTTTTAGGAGGGTGTCATCAAAATTATCTCTAATAATAATTATATCTTCAATGGTAGATAATAGTATCTAATAAAACTAGAAAGCAGCATGGTTAAATTATAGTTACTTGTACATTAACTCGAACAGCACTTAATAAAACTAACAAGAATTTTCAAGCTAAGTTCAAAGTGCTTAGTTTAGATAATATAAGCACCTCTTAGTTAATACATCCCACCAAACTCTGAAATCAAGGTAGAGTCATTCATGAATGGCTAAAGTCTTTTTGGCATCAATTTGAGAAAATGTCTTTTTTGCAATTACAATAAATCAAGTACAAAAAAACATTGTTTTCTTCAAAATAAAATTGTCATTTTGATTACCAAGTCGATCTCCATGTGCAAAACTTTTGACAACAAGCCTAACTATGCCATATAAGGTTTTTCTTTGACTTTGTTCATACATTTGTATCTAATTGCACGTTTGTTACATAATAAATGGCTAAAGTCTCATGTGTTACTCTTATGCGGTGGAGAAATTTTTATCACCAATTACTTACAATGAGGGGATATTAAAAATTATTTCTCATTCAATGACTTTCAAATAAATAATTAATAGAAACAAAAAAGTAGAACTAGATGAATTTGAGAAGCAAAAGTTGTTGAAATATTTTAAACCTTTGAATGACATGAAGATAATTTATTTTCACCAATATATTGATAAGTACTAATAATCAAAAGTGGAAATGTGAAGGTCATGTCCTATATAAAGACATTCAAAAGTCAAGAACATGAACCACCTGGAAGATCATCAAGAAAGGAGCGGATAAGTTTGATCACTCATGGATATTGAGGTATATAAGTCATATCATACATGCACTTTATATCTCACTATATGTATGAAAAGTATACAATGGAATGAAAAAACAAATTGGTGTATTCACTTTTAAGAGGCACAAAAATAGAATCAAGTTACATTTAATGATAAATGAGGCTTTTTGGCAGTAAATGTAACAACTGAACAAATTGCCTACTATAAGTTAAAAACACCTAGAAGAGTTTACTACTATAAATTAATTTAAACATTGGTAAACAGAAGGAATACATGAGAAATTCACATTATGCACCACTGTTACTTGTGATTCACACCATTTTCCGGGAGGGTTTAGACCCAATCATTTAAATTATTCTAATATTTCTTATTAAATTTAAGAAGTAATGATGTGCGTATTTTCCACCCAAATCAAATCTAAATCATATAACAAATCTCGAGTGTTAGGTGTGAACCATTTTAAGAAAGGTAAAAAAAAAACGTATAATAGAAATCATTTATATGCTCCATAACGGACAATATATTGTTGACTCAATAATGAATATAAAATAGTAACTAAATCTTTATTCACAAGTAATGTTAATACCCATTCCAATTACAACTAGAGAAAGAAAGGCAAACTAAACTCAATAGGTAAACCGATAAAGATCATGTTTTCGATAATTAGGGAACATATTAAAATATTGAGGTGGTACCAAGAGGGAGCAAATGTTGAGTTAACACTTTCCAATGAGATGAGAGGTGCCGTTGTTGACCATAGAGGACAAAGTAACTGAGGTACGTGGAAATGATAGAACTCATTAAGTGGATACTTCCATGGATTGAGATGTACCCAATGACTATAATGAATGCAAAGGAATGGCGGAACAAGATGAAAGACATTACGGCTTCTATGGTGGCTTCAACATATTTTATACCTTATTGGCTGATTTTAGTTTTTTAAAAGCACAATTCAAGTCCTTTAATTTGGATGAAGAAAGAAAAGTCCACTATGACGTGTCATTTCCTTGATCTGAGTCAATTTGATGCCATTGCAGCCCTTTCCAAATTATCATAAAAATTTTAGAGGAAAAATTGCATCTTACTCTACCAAAAATCATCATGATTAAGGGTTACAGACCATAGTCGAGGGTCTTTAGTCTGTTAATTCAGCTCCATGCAGCGGGGGGGTGACAAGGGTGCTCACATCTTGGTCTCAAAACTGGGATTTTCTAGTCCACTGGTTCTGATCTGCGTGCTAGAGAGGAAGGGCAAGTAAATCCCACAATGACAGGGTTTTGTGTGAGAAACCACAGCGAAAGCTTTCGACGGAAGACTCCTTCACATGACCCAACAGAGACATGGACTGGGTGACAAAGGGGAACATGACGAGAGTAATCATCTGAGCAGGAGAGGGGGTCTAATGATGCCAGAGCAGTCACTGAAAGAGCCAACGACGACGACGATCAGCTTCGCTCTGATACCATCCATCCAAGACAACCGAAATCCAGTCATGAACAGAAGGTGGAAGGAGAGAGAGAGAGAGAGAGAGAGAGAGAGAGAGCAACAAAAAGCTGAAGAAACCCCAAGCCTTCTAGAAACGGGGAACCCAAACAGTGATGGAGAAGTTTACTGAATCGGGTCCTTCACGATGCATTGAGAGGAACCCATCAGGGGAAAGAAAAGCTAAAGCTAATGTTACTTACTGTATATGAAGTCTAGGGGGCTTGCAGGTTACCCATGAAAGAGTCAGCGAAGTGAATAGCTCCTCGGGGAGAAAAAGCATGATGAAATTCCATGTACACAGCAATTATTGAATCCTTTACAACCCTGGAGCCATGAGACATGGCAGAGCTATATAAGAATATTGAGGATCAGAGGAGAAGGGCCGCAGTCTCCCCAGACTGTTCTTCCAAATGAAGGGAAACAAAATTACAGAGGACCGTGATTTACAGGTTGACTTCTCATGCAAACCTAAGCATGGCCATGGCCATCAGGGTCAACGCCCTAAAGAAGATCTGGTTCACGCTGCTCTCAACTCTCCTGGGCATCTCCGTATCCGTCCACCCGATCCTGCTGGAATTTCTTGAGAAGATGACAACGTTGTCCCTTAGAGAGTTCACTGCCGCTGAGAGCCAGACAAGCCCAAGAGCAAGCCCAGTGTTCAGCAGCTTTGTCGAGCAAAAGGGAACCCTTGAGAAGGCGACCTTCCACACGACAGAGAAGAGGACGGCCAGAGCTGCTCCAGTGATGCTCGCTGAGACCTGCATGAGCAGGTGGGAGACCTCGGGGGCTGATTTCATCAGCGAGAGGAGGGCCATCCTCCCCTTGTTCTTGTCTAAAATCACAAAAAGGAGGCTCTCACAAGCGTGGAACAAGTTCTTCCTGTACATGTCTCTCTCCTTGGCAGCTCTTCTGATCTCTTTCTTGCTCGGCGATGCCTTCACCTTAGCAGTGTCGGGCCTGAGAATAAGAACGAAGAAATGTTAGATTACAACCCAAAGATCTGTATTTTGGAACATGGAGCATGAAAACGGATGCAAGGAGCTCAAAAATGAGAAAATAAACTTTCATCCTTAAAATCTATGGAGTATAAATGAAAATCAGACACAAACTGGATCTAAAACGAATTGGGGAACCACAAAAAAGGTAACACAGTATATAGTGACACTTTCAAAAAGGCCCATGAATCATTCATGTTTTAAAGTTGACTTTTGCATCTTGTTTATCGATAATATCAGAAAAACAAATTCGTTCTACAACATCGTAAATGTATAATAATTCAACTGGTTAGATAGGCTCTCTCTGATTCTGATCCTCAATGTGCATGAGGATTACCCAACCTCATAATGGAATGTTTCTATACGAAATAAACTTTTACTAAAACTATGTTTTATCAATAGGCAAAGAACGAGTCACAGCCAGGTCAATAAAATTCAACTCGATGAGTATAATACACGTTCCGAGTCCTGGTATAATACTTAGTCAGCCAACCATGAGCAGCAGCCTAAAGAAATGCTTCTCAAATGTACCTCTGCACGGGAGTGACTGTCTGGATGTGCGCACCCATACTGCTCATATTTGAGCGAGCTCCATTACGAGATCTGTTGAGACAATGAAACTATATCAGATTGTAGGAAAAATATCATGGAGATAGATTCAAAGATTTCCACAGACCAATTTCAAAAAGAAGAAATGTTCTACGTACATGCAGCTGACTGTTCAGAGTGCAAGGGAAGAATGTAAAGGCATGGAAAAAAGAGGAATGACGCAAACAATTTCAAGATAATGATGGGAATGAGAGTTGCTTCTCACTCACTATTATTCAAGAACTGATAAAGATATGTGAAATCAAAGGTGACCCTTCTGGGCCTCCGGGATGTTGATTCTAGAAAAGGAAACCATGTTAAACGGAGCTTCACAATCTTGTTCCTTATAGAGTACAGGCCGCTGCACAGTACTTCAACAGAGACGGCTCGAGCTTCACCCATTACTCATGACGGATCTGACTGAATATCGACCTCTATGGAAGAAGGTAAGAGAGTTTTTACTTGTTCCAAAAAATATAATAAATGCCTCTTAGAACAAACCAGTATCAACTGAGAAATTTTAAAAGTAAAAACCACAAAGCAAGTAGGCTCAGGATGTCCAGTAGGTTGAAGATACCTCTGGTTGGACCGGAGGGGAGGCTGAAACTATTTCCCACCCGTCAAAGATGTTCATTAGGGAGTCAAAGAAATACACAGGCTGAGTTCAGAACCGTAGGTGAGGAGCGATGAAAAGAGAGTGGAAGAGTAAAAGAAAAGGGAATAACTGGAAGCCCATGTAGTGGAGATCAATATAATGGAAGAAAAAAATATTTCTCCTAACCTCTGCTGAAAGAAGAGAAAGTAATCATCTGCATCTACGGTGAATGCTATAAGACAATGCTCTGCCTTGGTTTCCTATAATCATTTCCTTTGATGTTTCATCATGCCGTCACATCAGCATGCAAGGAGAGGTATAATACTTCCCTTTCACCTCCTCTTTCTCATCAGTCACCTCTCTCTATTTCATTTTGCACCAACCAGTCGCATGAGAGATATGAGGGATCAAAGAATATCTCAAATTTGAGATCATCTTCCTACCATCCTTTTTCGGCTTCAACAGTAACAAAAAGGAGCACGCAGCACTAATGAAATCCTTTCCTGATTCTTATTTCTCTCTTCCCCTGTTTTAAAAGATTCCTCTCCTCACTATTTTGGTCGTTTATCCAGCCAACATAGCACAAGGCAACAGTCAATTACCAGACCCTGAACACACTCCCACCATATTCTCCAGTCAATTATCATCGCGCTCCCATTATATTCTCCAACACATCCACATCCGCTCCCTCATCATTCCTTCTCCGTTGTTCAGAGGTCCAGAGAAAATAACCTAAAGCGCTCCCATAATAATTATCTCCCATAAAAGAATCTTTTTCCATTCTTCCTTGCCGGCACCCAGATTCCCTGTACCACTACTCTTATCCTCCACTAGACAATTCCCCATCGACTGATCCCAGGTGAACTCAACCCCAATCTTTCTGCCCATTTCACCTAATAACTTATGTTGGAATCAAGAAAAAATATGGTCAGCTTCAGAATGTTGATATAGTCCTCAAGGCACAAGGGACTGTCTGACCGATCCTACATACTACCAAATAAAACAGGGAGAGATCATCGCAAGACATGTCAGATCAAAAAACACGCACGTCTCCATGGAGAAATTCAGACTGGGTCACACTCACTCAGCTGAAGTAGGTCCATAGCCAGAGCAATCCAAAGATATAAGCTAAGCCCTTCTGGGCCCAAAATTTTCTCCTACCGTTCAGAGGTAAGAACCTCTTGCAAGCTCGCAAAGAGTTCTTTAGTACACTTGAGTAGACTTTGAAAGTCCTAAAACCGAAAAGAGACTTTCAAAAGTGACATCAGCGTCTTGAGGATTTAAAATTCATAGTTTTTACAGGTAAAGGTAAATATTGTTAGTGTATATAAACATAGATCGATAGATGTTACACAAAGAAACCAATTTGCATGTTTCTGACGAAAAAAGGGAACAAAAGGATGACCTTTCACAATTTTTTCCTAACTTTTCAAAAAAGCGTTGTGAGCTTAATGAGCAGACAGAAAAAAGATAGCGAACACAATACAACATAGATACCGATTCAACAGGAAAGTAATGAAATAGAAGAGTAAACAACAACTGTTGGTGCCCGTTCAGAAGGACAAAACGCTTTGTGTTTATTCAAATATTGTCGATGAAAAAACTACGAAACCAAAGATCATAAAGGTAAAATGTTATCAGAATGTGTAAACAAACTAAACACACCATCAAACAGTAATTCACATGTTTATATACCTTCGAAAATACGGAACAACCATCTGCCGTCTGCTTAATGTTGTTGATTTCTTTGATAGATAAAATTCTGAAAGCATTGAAAGCAGAGTACTTATCTCTGCCTCAGTACCCATAAATAACACCCGAGAATCTGGAAGTATTCTCATCGTGGAAATGCATGGTAAATCCTCAAAACAATCCAAAGTTGGCTGTGGGAGGAGAACCTCTGCCTCTGGGTAAACCAAAGATGGCTGCAAGTAATCACCCCCAATCTCATATAGGTGAAACTCATCAGCCACAGTTATACCAGACTGGTGGCAGAAATCAGTTTCCAGGCTCTTGAATCCCATTCGATCAGAAATTAAGGGCATACTTAGGCTTTCTCCTTCCGACATGCTTGAACCAGATTGAAGAGACTGCATGATTTTTCCATGCTGAGAGCACTTCTCAGAGATTCCAGAACTAAGAAGCACTGACTCAGGACGAGCATCTGTTCAAGGATCAAAAGAATAAACAAGAGCGATCATGCTTATGAACACAGCAGATTCAACAAGAAAACATAAAGTAATTGATTCTTAAAAATGAGATGCTTTTGGTGAGAAAAAATGTTTACAACATTAACAATCTAATTATTCAGCCCTAATGATTTTGTATCAGGCACAAGGTTTATTTCATATTACACCCTAAATCATCCCCCATCATTCTGTTCCCACAGAAGACAAATTTATGTGAAAAGAATGCCACGCGAGTACTAGGGAGTTTGCAATGATGCTATATGGTTGCCTACTTGTTAAGATTTCTCAAATGTCTAAGCTTACCACTGGAACATGGAAATAATATATTGTCAAGGCACCCTGTGTTTATGATTAATAGGCACAAGATTTATTTCCAAGAAGAACATTGATTTTTCTTACTCACCCACAAAACTTATTTGTCACCTCGAAAAAGTTTAAACATATGTAATTGGAAACGAATGAAGTATCATGCAGCTATCTTTCACAAAAAGAAAGACAAAAAGTATAACATACAACCTTGGACATCAATTAGTTCCGGTTTGTTGAACGTGGGAACTGGCCTAGATAATGGATCATACTCTGATAGCCAGTCTTTGTATTTCCATGGATCTACAAGCTCTGATGGCTTGACGTGAGGGAATCCAGATATGGAAATATTTTGCTTCGCATGTCCTTGTGATAAAGATTGAAATTCCTGCAGTCAGATGAGTAAAAAATCATGAAAGTCACTAAAAGTATAAATAAAATGACAATATAGAGGAAGATGCACATCATTTTGTCCGCCCATGCTGTGGAGTGTATCAACAAGCAACGTCTACAGTGTCAAATTAAATAGCATGCCAAGACAACACTGAACCATCCCCTAGAACGCAACAAAGCTTCAACAAATCGTCCAAAATCATGACGGTTACCATGACTCTGAAGACTGGAACATCACTCCCCAGTATACAAGAAATGGATGCCCATACAATCTCCTTTTCTGTTATGGTGATTTGGATAACATTGGTTAATTTAATTTTATTCTAAAAAGTTGCCTCTTTTTTATGCTGTGATTTTAGATTTAAATGGACAGCATACTTATTTTCTATCTTTCTGCCTTTCAAAAAGGAAAACTATCATAGCTTTGAGAGCGTCACCTCCTCTATCCTTTAGAACAACTATCATTTCTCCCATCAGAGGTTGATGAACTGCCACGAACTCAGAACAGAGGAAGGAGTTTAACAGGCTAAATGTCGCAGAATTTGAGCAGAAACTACAACTCTTACGCCTGAAGTTGGGAGAAACATTAAGGAACCCCAGCTCAGCCGGAAGGTACCACTCTATAACCTGTCAAACAATTAGTAGCCCATACAAATGCGATGAAGGTAACAATGCAATGAAGAAATTACGCCAAGACACGAGAATTGAGGGTGTGTCCAAAAAAGGGTAAGATCGGTATGTAATGCGTTAGGGACGGAGAACATGCAAACGACTTGGATGTCGAAGAAGCCGCCTTGCCCAGACGACACATACCCAGCACATAGGATGATGATGTCGCCATGGAAAGAGGAGGGGAAAAAAAAAACGGTCCAAACAAGATCGAACTACGGACCTTGGGCGACGGTCTGCAGAAGCTGCCGCAGCCGAGCTGCTGCTGGAGGGGCTCCTGTGGGTGGAAACCCCCGGGGCTGGCGAACCCGGCGGCGGCCATGAGAGAGAGCTCGGCCATACCTCGTCCCTTCCGCCCCGACGAGGGGAGGAGATGGAGGTGGATACGAAGAGGGAAAACAGAGGCGCCGCAGACTGGTGGACCGCAGAACTTCCAGAAATTTCTAGCCGCCTCAGACTATTCTCGGGGTGGGGCCATGGTAGATTTCAGGGAGCGGCTACCCTCTCCAGCCATGGGTATCCAATCCTGTGGACGATCCCTACCAGCGGACCAGAGCCCACGAGGGGCCTCTGTCGTCTTCCTCCGCCATGCCTTGAATCTATCTGTTCTCTTCCCCTTCCCCCACCCCCAACTTCTGATGGGGGCCCCAACGATGGAGACAATACGTAGATATGGGGAGATACAGTTGTCCGCTACTAATGGGCCCCATACCTACGGCCCATAAAAGCCCAATTGTCCCCTTCAGCTAGTGGCAATTTTCTCAAAAATGATATTCGATAAAAAAAACATTTTGAAAAATATCCATCCACCCAAATTGGCAAAAATGCTTAAATTAGCATGGCTCATTATATTTTTCCTTCAACGATAAATACACTTATTATAGTTTATATTTCTAGGTAAGACAAATATTTTTAAATGATATATAATCGGATTAGTTTTTTGGACAAAACTGCCAACCTAGAAAAATACCATTTTCAAGGGGGAAAAAAAAATCATCCTCCAAATTACATCTGATAAATATTTTTTCGTATTTTTTATTTCTATTATTTATGTACGGTTCATTCTCCAAGTATATCCTTCACCGATAAATACTCATTATTTTGTACACTTATATGTGAGAGAAATATGTTTAAATTATATAATTGGATTATTGTTTTGAAAAAAAATTAACTTAGAAAAATACAATTTTAAAAAGGAAAAATATTTTCATCCGCTAAGTTACATTTGTCAAATGTTTTATCGTATTTTATTTGTATCATTTATGTATGGTTCATTCTCCATATATCCTTCACCGTCAAATACACTTATTATTTTGTGCGCTTCTAGGCGAGACAAATATTCTTGAATTATATTAACGAATTAGTTTTTTCAAAAATATTTTCCAAGGAGAAAAATACCACTTTTGAAGAAAATAAAAGAATTCAATCCTCATAAAAAGCCCAATACCTCATCATTGACGGGAGTCAGCCACGTGGCCGGGGGGCAGCTGGGTACTGGGCTGGAGGCTCTTCGAAAGGTCAGATTTTTATAGGGGCTCACCCAGAGCCAGGCTTCGGGCGGCCCCCTGCTTGACCATCACCACTGTGTAATTTCTCAACTGAGCCGAAAAATATCTATAACCCATGCGTCCACATTAGCAACACTACACGCTGGCATAGTGTTTGTCACGCGGCACCATTCATCAACTGCCACATGGCATAAAGAAAGGTTGACCTTTACTAGGCAGTAATGGCGTGGCCGGCGAGCCTTTCACGCCTTGAGAAACTTGTTGAACCAGTCAAGCAGGTCTTGGTGGGCTTCCTCTGCCTTCTTCACCGCATACTCATCGCGCTCGTCGAACCTCACCGTCCATCCGTGAGCCACCCCAGGGAATATCTTCACGAAGCTCTCCAACTGGCAAAAATCCACATAAATATATAAATATATCATATAACATATTTTTTATGGCATAATGAGACATTTTAATTCACATGAATTAAGCAAATATTTATAACAGCTTTAAATAAAATAAATAGAATAAAATAATGGATTAGTCAGAAGCAGCTGGAGCACCTGGTTATTTGCAGATAAAACCTCCTCGAATTGTTTTATTAGTGCAGACGGAGACATATGGTCAGTTTCTGCTGCGAGTATGGCAAGATGGGACTTCACCTCTGAGTTTCCATAAAAAGAAGGTCAAAGAGTTAGCCTAATCCATGAACCTGAAGCAGTAGATGATGGATTAAGCAGATTAGTTTACCTTTTATATCATCAAGCTTGACAAAGGAAGGATGTAACAGCACACCAGTTTGGATGTCTCCAGATTTTGCAAGCTCTGTGACTACCTTACCTGATAGCAGCATGAAAAAAACATAGAGATAATTAATATTCTGTATTTAATTTTCAGAGCGCCTGGTTTTCTGACAGCTGAATCCAAAACATTTTTCTGGTATTTATCTCTCAAAAAACTCCACTGCGGATAATTTCCATAAAAAGAAAATTTAACAGCGGCTGTTTTGCTGACAGCTGAAAAATTAGCATATTTTTGCAATCTGAACAAATCATGAACCGTAATGAAATAGCTTTCAGCTACATGGAACCATTGAGTTTTATCTGTCAATCCAGGGACATATCAACACTTTATTTTCTTACACCAACTATTGCATGTATGAAAAAGATAATCTCTATATAAATCCATATATGTGTGTGTGTGTGTGTGTGCGTACAGAAGAAGAAGTGGCTCACCGCCCCAGCAAAAGCCAGCAGCCCCAACAGAAGACAGACCCCTAAGTTTCAGAGCTGTGACTACATTCTTCGCATTTTCATGCCCCTTTTCCTGAAAATACGATGAAAGATATTACCAGTAGCATTAAATAAAAAGAAAATAACAAAGCAGAGGAATGCCAATCATGAATTAATAATACTAAGAATTCGAAAGCCATCAAGAGCAAAGACTTTTTGAAACGGATAATCTATGCAATTTAGATATCTAGCATTTAAATATTTGGTTAGAAATTCTTAAAACCCAAGAGATGACAATGTCATGGTGGTACAGCATCATATCACTCAATTTCCATCAATGAATTCCATATCCGACAAGCCATAACTTTTCAAGTGATTCCGGCAATGAAATCTTATAAACTCCAATGATTTTATAACGCTTTCAGGAAACAAAGTTCTCAACGAATATTTGGAAGTCACTTACAAAACGTTAATGAACTGTGCACAACCGTGTTTCGTGTAGAAAATATATGTCAAATATAGAACAGTATTTTTTTGTGGTTCTAACATGCAATGCATCTGTTGGAGAAGAAACAAGATTGCAACATGGCGGAGAAACAAGGCCGGATTTTCGAGAATGGACACGAAATCTGAGAGCAATGAGTAAATTATTTTATTCTTTCAAAAAAAAAAAAAAAAGGAAGGAAACCAACCGTTGGATGTGATTTTATCCAAACTGGAAATGGTTTCTCAGCATTCTCTGACACAAATGGTTCACCATAGAAGAAATCAGGAGCCACCACAAAGAAGCCAGCAGCAGCAACCTTGTCAGCAATTTTCCTTCATGGAAAAATGAACCACACGTCAACGCATATCACAAAGATGCGATTGGTCAGCCTAATATTGATCAAATAATACTTCTCATAAAGAAGGACTCAATTCATTTAAAGTGAGATATTCCTCCTTCATGATAAAGTACTTCACATATCACAACCAAGATATTCTATTTCACAAAAAAAAATGCACTCTTATTTTCCTCTCACTATTTTTTTTAATCTGGAAAAGTGTATATCAGAGTAGCAGCCTTATGATCAGAGGGAAATAATCTATAGAAGGAAAAAGTAAGATAACATCATATCTCGGAAAATATAACCAAAGCTTTGCACGCAGATTCCCAAGTAAACCAAAAACTTTGGATCAATCCTCTGCATGCATATTCAACCTGCAAATAGAAGTAGAGCCCAAGACCTCCAAACAGCTAAAGTAGTGGGCATCGCTGCTGTGTATACAGAAAAATATTTGGAATGTTGTTATTAATGTATGCTTTTATAACTTGGACAATAGTTTGGCGAGAGATGGATAGCTGTAATTCAGTCTCTTCATGGATATGATAAAACCTTAGTTATGCTACCAGTAACAACCAAAGTCTGATGGGTATAGCCCCGCCGGGACAAAGCAAAGAGAGGAAATACACCTCCAAGAGCAGAGCAAATGTACCTCAAGTTTGGAGCCTCAAAACCTGAAAAAGAAGAATTTAGACTGCAGATTTTAGATACCCACGAGGAGATCACGAATGAAATAAAATAAAATTTTTGATGAATGAACGTTGACTTTTTTCATTGAGAATCTCACAATAAATCCAAGAAAAAACGTTAAGAGGCTAGAGTCCACAGCTTATGGCAGCCTTCTTTTCATTATCGTGGAATAAACTAGCATCCTTCTCCAAATATTTCAACGATCGAGGTGCAAAACAGAGAACACTAGCGAAACCCATAATCCCTGGAAACCTCTTTATGAATCATCCGATTTCTTTCACTGAAAAGATCAATAGGCGATTAGTCGACATTCAGTCACGCGCAGCTGCTTCCAGCCTCCATATCCATGAAACCAGAACAAGCAAAAACACAGGGGACGAGGAAAGATCCAAGCGAAGAACCCGGAGCCCAGAGGCAGCTCCTGCTTCCCAGTCGACCGTCCGAAACAACGTAAGCAACAACAACAAGAAGGCAAGAGCGAGGACGTATCCAGGGGCGGCGAGGCAGCTCACCGAAGACGTCGGAGACGAGGAGGACGGCGAGGCCGGAGTCGGGGGAGCCGACGATGTAACAGCGGAGCCCGCCAAAGTCTTCCGCGACGGAGCCCAGCCCGGCGGCCGAGTCCAGGACTGGCGGGTTTGCACAGCACTGCGAGCTCGCCATCGCCTCTCAGAGCACAGGGAGATGGAGACCAGGAGAAGCAGGGATGGAGGAAGATGATCGGACAGGAGGGACAGCAGCTACGTCTGCTACCTTCGACAGCCACAAATTCCCTCCCTTTTTATGGGAAAAGATGACCCGTTTCGCCCGGCAGTTTCCAGGTCTAGAATTTCCTCGGGCGGGGGAGCCGTCTTCACCGGTGGTGACGTCCTCAATGAGGCGCCAGTCTGAACACGTTGCTTCTGTGGAATTCATCTTGAGATGTGTTCGGACTTCTCTCATCTCGATCATCCGAAAGTTGACCAAGATGATACGGCTACAATCTATGAAAGATTGCTTAGATCTTAAACCAGAAAGAAACATAAATTACTGCAAGAAAAACATGGTGTCACAGCCTTTGAATCAGTCAGCATTATTAGCTCTCTCTCGCTTGAAAAATAAGATCAAAGGAAAAATAATACAAAAAAGAATAGGATCAAACAAAAAAGTATATTTTAACGAATCCCAAGAAACAGAAGTTCAACCTATTGCGTTTTAAATTCGCTAACTAGGATTTTTAGTCTCCGACATGTTTGGAAATCTCACACTTCCGCACTCCATATGCACGTTGGATTTCATGCCGTCTAACTAAGAAAAGATTAAAACATTTATCGAAATTGTGTCGGTAGATTACTGCGATAGAGAGAGAGAGGAGAGAGTAAGAGAAGAAAGGGCAGGGAAATATGAAGTCAATAGAAGTCATGAGAAGGTCAACTCACGTTCTTACAGGCAATTTCTCGAATGATCGAGGATTATACACCAAAATAAATGCACTGTTCGGACATATGATACCCGTTGCAGACCCAAGAACTAAAAATCTTCATCAACTCTGAATACGAAGTTCTGTGATCCGTGTTGGAGGCTGGACATCACCGAAGCCTTCTGATAGTCGCCGACCCTCCTCTCGAAGAAATTTGCCTTCCCCCTGTTCAGCCAAGAGAGAAGAACAAGGGGTTCCGGATAGATCCATGAGAATCGTCATCTCCTCATCAAAGTCAACTATTATACCAGCATATGCGTAGGGGATTGTCAACGGGCCCGGAATTGGAAAGTCAACGGGACGAGAAACTCACTGCAGGGATATGGACTCCATCCAGTCGAAAGGGTTCTCCACGTTGTACTTCTTCGGACAACCCAGAGAAAACTGCGGAGATTCCCGAGAACCAAGTCAAAATGCCGCCCAATGGGAAAGCGGAGAAAGGGTTTTTAAAAGGGTGGTCGAGGAGTAATCTTTACCAGCAGACGGTCGGCCACAAATTTCACGTACTGGTTCATCAGAGCAGAGTTCATGCCGATTAATGCACATGGAAGGGCTTCACACACAAATTCTATCTCGAGCTCAACGGCATCGTTCACGATTGCGTACACTTTCTCCCAGCTCGGACGCTTCCGCAGTAAGCTGGTGCACCAAAGCTTAGCTAAATAAAGATGGTGGAGAACAGGAAGATGAGAGTCTCTCGTTCCAGGAATAGATAGTCTTAGGTTAGGAAATTAGGAGACTCTAATGAGTAATAACTTAGTTAAATATAAGATTTCGGAACCCGAACAAAGTGATACATTAGTTCCGGCAATAAATTATTTATGAGAGAAAAAAAAGGGAGAATCTGGCTCTTGAAAATGGGTAATAACTTGGTAAATATGGATATCGGAAACCACATTAATTGGTTCCAGCCATGAATTACTCCAAGGTAGAAAATCCGGAGATGTCAGAACCCAGATGGTTGAATTCTTTTGATCCAAAGGTAAACAGTTTTATGGCCGAAAACCGAGAGGATTTAGTTTTTCTGCCCTAGAACACGGGTAATGTCTACATTGAATAAAGATGTCGGAAACCAGATCATGAGACCTTTTCATTTCATTAATAAATAATTTTAGGGTAGAAAACCGTGGAGACTTTAAGCATTGTGCTCGGGAAAATGGGTAATAACTCAGTTAAATATAGGTGTTGTAACGCAGAGAAAGTGATTATTTTTTTCCAGTAATAAAAAAAATTATAGGGTAGAAAATCGAAGGGATTGAATTTTTAGGCTCTCGAAAATGGGTAATAACTTATTTAAATATAGATGCTGGAAACCAGATAATGTGATGTTTTTTGTTGCAGTAATGTGATGTTTCAGGGTAGAAAATCGAGAGAATTTAACAATTTTGCTCCAGAAAATGGGTGATAACTTGTTGGGGAAGACTCACCTATACAGAAGACATGCGAAATCACAGTGGAGACCCTCATCCCTAGAGATGAGCTCGTTTGAGAATGTGAGTCCAGGCATGAGTCCCCTCTTTTTCAGCCAAAAGATGGCACAGAAGCTGAGTACAAAAATCAAATCTTTTAAGGAAGAGTTGCCCCAAAAAAAATAAAGGGGAAGAAGAGAAGAATCCCTTCCATATTATTCGGAACAACTCACCTTCCTGAGAAAAAGATTCCTTCAACGCAAGAGAAGGCAACTAGTCTCTCTGCAAATGTGGTGGAGCTGCAAATAGAGGCAGAGAACCATGTTGAGAATCAATGTATTCTGCAGCAATAAGGCTCAAAGAAATTCAATAATAAACGCATTTTAGCTTGACCCATAGGAAAATGATGACCAGGAAAAAAAAAAGTCCAGGTATCATGTAAATTCCATATTTGACTCAAACAGATGCTTACTCTGGAATCAGGCCACTTAACTGAACCAAAATGGAAATAATAACTTGTCTACATCAATCCCAAACCAAGAATCCGAAAAGAGCCTACAAATTATTACTGACCTAATTTCAATGTTTAAATTTATTAGATTCAATTTAACTGTTACATTAAATTTGTTAGACTCTAACAGATCATCTACGCTGCAAAGCCTTTAAAAAATCATTTCCCCACTCATCACAGCCACGATGGGCGTCAGAGCATGAGATTTTTTGCGCCTTTAATAATTATTTGAAAAACGGAAGCTGAAATAGAAATGCTTCAAAATCTTAAAGACAACTCAAGGCTCAATTTTTCTCGCTAATGGAAAGGTGATTGTAACGAAAAAAATACCAATGATTCGGCAAAGGGGATTCCTATAGTAAAACTAGATCAGATACCAAGTTTTCTCTCTCATTAGAAGACGAAACAGTGTATTAGGAAAACGAAACAAAGCTACCATCAGCTCCCAGAAACTGCTGCTTCATATGTATATATATATATATATATATATATAGAGAGAGAAAGAGTAATATACCTTTCTATCCACTTCAGCGCCCATTTTGCCTTCTTGGTGACACATGGAATGCTCTCAACAGCATTAAATAGCCTGTTCTTCTCATTTGTATCCTTAATATATGTCTCCAAAAGCAAGCTGTACATCTCTATACGAAATGAAAAAACTAAAGTATGAGCGGAGACATTTGTCCAACAAGCAATGAAAAAGTAGAAGCCACATACAGAGATTTACCAGAATGTATATTTTCCATAGCAATCTGAAACCCATAAAACGCTCGAGCCTACAAAAGTTTGAAGCAAATTAAAATTTCCCCTCATTTCCATGTCACGTCATAAAAAAATAACAGGGGAATTCATTAGATGGCGTTGTAGGATTGGGGGAGGAGAAGCTCGAGAGGATGGCCTAGGTGAAACATATATCATACGTGTATGTGTGCATGCCTTCATGCCCATAGTTTATGGATCTGTGAGAAGACTAATCTCGGTATTCAGGACCTGATGAAAGGTAGTTCCCAGCTGGATATACATGCGATAGTCTTTGCTCATGACTAAAGTATGTGCAATGCATGTTCTCTATTCTCCAGAAGGTGGGGATCTAATATTTTACTCCTGTCGGACTTCAATTTACACATCAGAGATTTGAAGAAATGCATTTCATCTGTATATACACACAGATATCCATCGTTTACATGACAGAGTGTGAAAAAAGCCTTTCAGAGGCCATATAATATATGTATTTATTGTTTCATATATAAAATTTATCTTGAAATGGAAACATTGTATAAAATTTACCTTTGATTGAACAACAACACAAACAGATATCCCCAAAGAGGCTAATAAAAGTGAGAAGGATGAGAATAGAGCGCATGGGATATGAGTTGAGCGAATCAGGGGAACATTGTAACCCTTCTAGGCCTCTGTATGCTGATTACCTCAGGGATTTGAACGTCTTTTAAGAATCTTGCAGCCAAGTTCTCCAAGACGATACCATCTGAAGCAGCAAAGAACGCTAATACGTGGCTTATGAAATGCTTCTCTGACTTGGACAGACTTTCCCAGTGCATAACATCATTCGACAAGTCAACCTCCTCGGCTGTAACCAGTGTAGCCCTTTGCGTATCAGAATATTAAAAAAAATATAATCCAAATTTGGTTCAAAGATAAAGTCAAATCTAAAGATGGATGGAAATATGGCAAGCGATGTGGAAAAAGAAATAAAAATACCTCAAGGAAAGGAATTCGAACATTCGTATTGTATTCCATACTGGATTGGACCCGCAAATTAGGATAGACAAAGATGGGGATATGAACACCAGGGGGGGGGAGCGGAAAACCAGTGGAACCAAAGAAAGAAAGAAAATGTACGAAACAGATGAACTTGGCTCCTACAGAAGAGAGGAAGAGAAAGAATAACTAGCAGTGTCCAAGGAAAGCATAAATTGTGAGTACAGTACGGACCAATTCTTTAGGCGAGAAAAACGGACCGCAATAATCCTAAACAATCAGTCAAGATCAAAGTCAAGCAGAGCAACGAAATTTAGCAGAAAGTGAAGAAAACCCTCAGGTCTATTCCCTGAGCCGACCAGCACTCTGCGAAGATAAGCCAGACCAGAGGAAAGGTATCGAAGCCCAACAGACACAATCGCTTGCCGCTCACCCGTCCAGAATGAGGCCTCGGCCTTCTTGTACATCTCCCAGAGCTGTCTGTACTTGACTGGAAACATGCAGAACCTCTGGTTCTGCTCCTCCAAGATAGGCTCCCCACTGTCCGCCACCACATCCTTCACCTCTGCCTTCCCGTACGACCCCATGGCCGCCTCCCCCTCCAGGCTCTGTTCCTACACACCCGCGGCCAAAACCCTAGCAGAGCCCCTCATATCCTCTCCTCCCTCCTGGTCAGACGTCTCTGAAAGCGACCGCATAGTTGGTTGCTCGATGTTGGCCGTTGGCTGAAAACCGACCCCCCGCGCGCGCGAAAAAGATAACCGCCAGCCGATTTGGCAATCGCGAATCGTTTGATAAGGCTCTCTGACAACGACGATTCGTCTCTCCCAGGATGATCTCCTACGGTCATTAGCATGGGTGAGCCTTATTTTCTTCAGAAAATCCATTTTTAAAAAATATTTAATTAATTCCCAATGCAGGAGGCTGCCGAGAACACACCATGCATGTTATCCTATTATGTCAACTCATAATGGCACGTTGAACTCGTTGGAGACGACTTGCTTGAGACAGCAAGTGGGTAAAATAGATACACTTAAGCATGAGTTGACTTCTAACACCAAATCGCAGATGATAATCAGCATCATAACGCGACTTTCGTCAGACGATAATTCCGGGTGGTAGGATGACGATCTTGTCACAAGGAAACATCGACATTGATGAAAACGTATGCGCTTGCTCGTGCGATTTAGTAATCTACAGTTTCCCATCGTCAGCAGCGATGCTATCACGGAGTCAACGTCTTCGGAGAAGATGGAAACCAGATAGGAGGGGAGGGTAGATCATGACGGGTGCGGCGGCGATCATTCAGTCGTCGATCTGAGTCGGCGGAGGCGGGGCGGCGGTGGCGCTGCCGGCGAAGGCGGAGCCGGCCATCATCACCTTGAACTCCTCGAAGCTGACGAGCCCGTCGCCGTCGCGGTCGACGCCGTCGATCATTCGGCGGCACTGCGCGACGGAGGCCCGCTCTCCGAGACCACGGAGAACTCTGGCGAGCTCGTCGGCGGAGATGGCGCCGTTCCGATCGAGATCGAAGATGGAGAAGGCTTGGCGAAGGTCTTCCATGGCGTCGACGGGGCCGACCCCGGAGGTGTTGAGCTCCACGAACTCGGCGTAGCTGATGAAGCCGTCGCCGTCGCCGTCGGCCTCGGCCATCATGTGGGCGAGCTCCTCCGGCGATGGCGGGTGGCTGCTGAGGCTGCGGAGGATCGCCTCCAGCTCCGCCGCGGAGATCTTGCCGTCGCCGTTGGAGTCGAACTTGTCGAACACCTGCTGCAGCTCCTCCTCCGGGTTTCTGCTCGTCGAAGCCCGCTGCTCCGCCGCCGCCGTCGGCGACGTCGCCGCCGACTCGGCGCCGTCTCCCCCCTTGCTCCTCCTCCGGTGGCGCTTGAACAGCGCTCTGATCCGCCCCATTTAGACAGAGAAAGATAGAGAGAGAGGGGATGAAGGAAGGTAGTGGATGGGTTCCCTGCGGCGAGTGTAGAGAGAGAGAGGGGCGGAGAAGGAGAGGATCCCCCAAGGGGGGGGAGGAGAGAAGGGGAGTGCGGCGACCTGCTGCAACAGGTCGGGAATGGGGGACGTTGTCCATTCCAACATGTGGGAAGAGCGAACACGTAACCCAATTTAGGGGTATTATCGTCCACGAGCGCAAATCCCCTCCGCATAATAACGGGCATCTCGTAAATGCCGTTGCGGTGGTGCAGCCGCCGCCGCTCTGCCCGCCATCCACCTGGACAGCGCCCCGCAAAAAGGGTGCCCCTCCTCTCTCTTCCGCCGACGGTCACGGCAACCCCGTTCTCTCTCTCTCTCTCTCCCTCTCTCTCTAACAACGGACCTCCGCGCGTCCTTTGAACGCAACCGCCGGATGCGAATCAGCGGCGGAGGCCACGCCGTTAACTCGGGTTCCGGTGAACTCCACGCGTCCAGCATCCGATGCCGGCTCTCTAGAGAGAGGAAGAGAGAGAGAAAGAGAGTAAAAAGATACATGAAGGCGTAAAAAAATCATTTTATTTTTATTTTTAAGGTTAATATTATTATCCGAAAAAATAGAAAATAAGAATACATAAGAATGCATTGTGCTGGAGTCTTGGTCCTGCCCTTTCTCGTGAGTCAGTTACTTATTTATATATTTGAGTGTACTAAAATATATTCAATGATAGAGGGATAGAAAAGGGTCTTTTTCGGGGGTGGTTCATAAATCTATTAAACACATGGACTCTCGAGAAAAGTCAAGATATTTAGGTGAACTTACGTTTTTTTTTTAATAAACAATATAGTCTCTCGGAATTAGCATAAGATTAATCAGAAGGGTCGTATATACTTTATGCGGAGTTGGGTCTAAGTGAAAAAGAGAAAGTCTAATTTACAATTTAACAAGTTTGCGGCGTGTAAAACAATCCTAAAAAGTAAGATTACCATGTAATTATATTCTAAAAGAGTAAATATTAATATTTTTGAAATGTTTTGAAATCTCGAGAATGTTCCCGGGAGGAAGAGTCCCTGGTCTTCTTCTTCTTCTTCTTCTTCAGTCTGCAGTTCATCTGGGTCGGCTGCGACGGCGGCGTCGGTGGCGGAGCTCAGGTCCGGCGCTTTGTCGCCGTGATCTGTCTCTCCGGTGAGGCAAAAATTCTCGACGGGGTAGGCGACTTTTGACCGCTTCGTATGAAGCGGGAGGCAACCGCGTGAAGATAGTTGCTAGTATTATTCTTCAGTGTCCACTTCCTTCACCTTGCTCGACGGCGAGGCGACGGCGATGGCGATTGCGATGGCGATGATGATGGCGGATGTTCAGGACCAGCGGCTGGTAGGCGTGATCCTTCTGTTCTTTTTGTTGATCTAGCGAGGAGAAAAATATCCGACCGGTGAGGCGAGTTTTGACTGCTTCCTAGGAAGGGGTGGCAACCGCGTGAAGAAAGGTCAGCGTGGGATCCTCTGACGGTGTCGCCCTGCGCTCCTTCTCCGACCGCCGTCCACCCCGTTCCATTTTTCAAATTCAAGGAAACCTTCCCTCCCTCCCGTCGTACAAGAAGTCAAGCAGTGGTCCTTTGAATCTTTCATCCTCCGCCTCCAAATCGACGTCTGAAGTCTATCTCCGGCAACTGAGGTTTCTGTTGATTCTTTGATTGTTTTCCATAGGGGTTAATCGATCTGGCTATGAGATGGTTCAGAAGAAGTGCGCCGGTGGAGACGGCGAGGGCTGGCGTCAAATACGGGAAGCGTGTCCACTCCCAGAAGCTCCTCCAGGATGGGGGAAGCAACGGAGGAGGTGATCTAAGGAATGTGCTGAAGAAGATGAGGTCCATCAAGGCCATGGAGGGGAGCATCGTTCTCCCTCTGGAAGATCAACTCGTGCAGTTCGACAAGCCAGCAACGGAAGAGAAGATGGTGAAGAAGAAGAAGGCGTCGGCTACCATAACCCCTGGATCGGAGCCGAATTATATGAAGTTAACACAGTCATCCAGCGCAAGGAGGGAGAAAGTGAAAGTTCAGGTAATCGATGTCTCCCCTGCTATGGCTGCCGCAGAAAAGAGAAGAAACCCTCGGCCCGCAAAAGTTTCCGAACCTCCGAAGCGCCCATCTGGAGATGATTCCAATCAGAAACCTGCAAAAGTCTTGACGAGGAAATTGAGCTTGAGAGCGACGAGGCCATTAATGAGGGAGAAGAGCTTCAGTATCGGGCCCGCCCGGGGCACGTGCTCGTCCACGATGAAGCACTCAAAGTTCCCAAATCGTCCGGATCCCAAATCCAGACTCTCAGAGGCTGAGAAGACCTCGATCCTCCAGGTCTGCCCCTTCAATTACTGCTCCCTGAACGGTCACCACCACCCGCCCCTTCCCACCTTGAGACGCTTGGTGTCAGGTAGGAGGCAACTGCTGAAGAACCAGAGTATGAAGCTCAGAGGGCTCTCCTCCTTCAAGAGAAGGGGGTCAAACAAGAAAAAGGAGGTTGAAATGGGCGAGGACGGATGTGAGGACGACTTCTTCGTTGAGATATATGTGAACTGTGGTGAAGGCCCTGCGGTATCTGCCAGTGATGAGGTTGGAGAGAAGGATAGTCGAGCTTCTGAAATCTGGGATGATGTCAGGGCCTCCATTGATGATTCTGGATCTGAGGTAACCTTGAACAATGATTTTGATCCAATCAGCGTATTCTCCTCTGAAGAGATGGATGTTCTGAATGATTTTCTCCAGTTTGTGGAGTGTAGCGAGGAAGCAGGAACCGAGCTCACAGAGAATCCTTCATTCCCTAAGCCAAATTCTGCAGGGACAGGTTGGCGCTGCTGCATCCTCTCTGGTTCTGACGAGCTCAATGGCAGCCTTCCTGAGGATGACGGTCATGAAAGGGGTAACGATGAAATCGTTCAACCCTATGATGGGTCTCCGTTCGAGACAGAGCTCCAAGGCGAGGAAGAAGGAGAAGACTCAGCCACCACTATTTCAGGCTCCATGAAGCAGAAGAACTCAGGAGCCACAAGAAGAATGATCGAGGTTGCAAAGGAGACAGAACCGTTCAACCTACGACCACCGAGCTTCCTTCCAGTTGAGCCAAAGCCGGCTGCAGAGAAGGTTGACCTCCGGCATCAGTCAACGGAGGAGAGAAAGAAGGCAGAGGAATGGATGATCGATTATGCCCTCCAAAAGGTCGTTGACAGACTCACCCCTGACCGGAGAAAGAAGGTAGCGCTTCTCGTGGAAGCTTTCGAGGCTGTCTTGCTCTGTGAATCGGTTCTCCACCATGAGGAAACTGGGAGTTTTCCTCCTGCCATGGCGATCGAGGCTTGCAGGTGAAAGCCCATCGCGCACAGGTCATGTAAATCTAATTCTAGTATAATCTTTTAATTATGCAGAAGGATGGGCTTCATTATTTCTCTCTCTCTCTCTCTCTCCTTTTCTCTTTCTTGTTCTCTCTCTTTCTCTCTCTCTCTCTCTCTCTCCCTCCCTATCCTATGTCATAGAAAGGTTAAATAAATATCAGTGCTACCTCACGTGTTGACGTTGCTTCATTCAGCTTAAGTTGACCATTTTTTGTCGAAAGTCAACCAAGAGTTGTGTAATCTGAACATCATGAGTTGGCTTTGCCAGCTCTCAAACAATGCATCAACCAATTCTTGTGAAGAGATACCATAAACACAACATTAATAGCAACTCTTTGAGGGGATTGATTTTTTAGACTTGTTATCTGCTTTTTATGCCTAGTACAAAATTTTGTCAATATTGTATGTACTAAGTGATGAACAAATGGAAATATATGGTACCCTAATACACTAATTATTATTAATTAACTAGTTTGAACTCCAATTGAAGCTTATTTGTGATCTATTAATATCTAATGTTCACACATAATTTTCATAATGTTAGAAGTTAATGATGTGGTAATATTATGCTATTTAATTCCTAAATTCACTCTACCTTGCTGCTTTTGACATTTTAATGTTATAATGTTACATAATTATTCATATGAAAAAAATATATATTCAATTTTACTCCTCTTATCCACTAATACCTTAACATTTTGGTTTCATAAACTCTTTAAAGATAAAAAATAAGTTAAATAAGTTTTATGATTATGACAGTCACTTGCAATGCGGAACTTAGCTACTCAGACTACATAAATATATAAATATATTAGGAAGTTCCTCCGGCCATGTCAGGGCATTGGGCATGCACATGATGACAATCATGTTAAATCTTAGTACCATGCATTTAGCTCACAATAGTTAATGGCCTGGCTTAGCTTGGTAGTTGCATTTGTAAGAAGATTCCATCTAAGCTAAAGATTTTCTAGTTGGAGGATATTGAGCATTTATTTCAATATCTAGTTAATTGATACTTTCACATGTAGTAAGTACCTAAATCTATGTGACATAAACTCACACATGCAGGGGGTGCTGATGGCATGGAGAGTGGGCAATCTGCTTGAGACTGCCCCTTGTGTAAGATGGGTCTAGACTTCAATAGGATCTTATCTAAGAATATCATTGAATTTTATTTAGTCATTTTGTGGTTGACTTATGATTGATTGATAGAGTGATTACTCTTTATCTTTGATGATGCATTTAGAGAATTGAGTTAGGCATTTAAAGGTCATTCTTACTTCTTAAGAGCTTGGAAGAAACCACATTATATTAGTTTCCCTTTAGCAATATGCTAGAAATAAAATTAGAAAATATTGTCATGCTTTGGTTGAACTTGGCTAAGAACAAGCTTGGTCAACCTTGTAAAGTGTATTACCCAAAGATATGTCATGCATGCTTATTCTACCTACACTCATTCTCCTATTTCCTTTGAGCTTTATTTTTTTTATATTTTCGAATAAATAGTATATTATGATAGGTCAGTAAATGCTCAATCTCTTTATTGGTTTACTACCCAAATGAGCATTAAATATTGTTCAAAATCATCAGGATTAGATGATTATGTTTGGGTAGAATTATGCTTTAACATTACCAAAAAGTTCCCTAAGTTTTTGTGAAAATCTGACTATAAAAATTATGTTTTCACTTCTTTAGAAGAAGTGACTCCAATCACTTGTAAGAACAACATGGGATTGCATCATCACTTTCTAATATTTCTAATATTTAAAAAATGTTTGATTTTTTTCATATGAATGATTAAGACTAGCAAAGTCTAAATCTCTAAAAGAAAAATGTTCATATTAAAAGATTAACATTTGGTATGAGTCCATGCTGGTGTAACAAGATCTTCTATGACTACATCATACGTCACCACACCATAGAAATTTTATTTCATTGTTCATCTAATAGTACTAACATACATTATTGAAACCTGAGTACTTGTTCAACCCAATTATATGTGCATTGTGCCATGTTGACACAATGGTTTGACATACCAATGTGCAAAGTGGCATATACCTTCCTCTAAATTGGCAGTGTTGCACAGTCTAGATGATATATAATGTGCATGCCTATGTGAGCCTCCTCCACTTCGTGTGCATTGTGCCGTGACACACCTTACTGCATTGTGTTAATGAGTTTTGCTTGTGTGCATAGCATCTTAGATGTTCACAAATGCCTCTATTGGGCCACTCGTTGACCTAATAATGATGTTTGCCTAAATCATGCATGGGCCCTTGTGCAAACCTCCTTTGCTTTGTTTGTGTCGCCTGCATGTCGACACATGTCACACATGTGATTTTGTGTGCATCCATCTGCATGGCACCCATGCCATGTGTTGGCATTGTGCCATCTTATGAATTACTAGATGTGGGCCACATCTAGGTGGTGAGGTCCCATGCCCAAGATGTTGTTCATCAAGTAAGGAACATCACCCACACCTCTTGGCTGCTCTCTTAGCCTTATGTAGTTGATAACATTGGTTTTACAACATAAACTTTCTTAGCTCATATATTTTTTATATAGAAGGAAAGGAAACAAGATCAAACTAGTTGACTACTTAAGGTGACCAAGACTTGTTTTTAGATTCATAGAACATAAGAAATGATTCCCTAAGCCATAATCTTTGTATCTCTATTATACAAGAGATACAGAGGGGTAGAGAGAGAGAGAGAGAGAGAGAGAGAGAGAGCCATCTCAGTTGACAAGACTTTTTCAATCATAACTTGGATAAAATCTCTCTTTTGACTTGATATTAAACCCCTATGATTATAAAATCATCAACTTAAGCAACTTGTAATGAAGAAACTAATTGTTTTTGCTCAACTTATTAAACCTAAAAGATACCTTAGCTTGGTAAGTTGATCCTTGCAATAAGTACTGAATTAACATAAACTAATCTATGATAGAGAGAAAGAAGGTGATAGTTTATCAGACTAAATGTTAGAAAAATGAGATTATGATGCAAAGTTAACCTTGTTAATAAATCAACCATTATGGGTATATTAGGGGCCACCGTGTGGTTTTATCCTCATTTTATTTCTTATTTCTAAATAAATTTTGCGTAGAAATTGAAAAGCTTATTGATTTCTAGTGCGTTTCAGTATAGGGGCGTTAAGAATATTAATTATTTTCATTTGGTGGAGATTTGGAGATCATGACCGTTGGGGATTCAAAATCATTTGGTATTCGTTTTTTTGGCATAAAGTCCCTGATTTTTCGAGGATTTTGGAAAGATCCCGGTCGTACTTGTAGTGTTCCATTCAACGTGGAGAGCCGTGTTCCCACGCTGCCCGAAATGGCTCTCCTGGATCCCCCGCGGGCCCCCATATCCGGTCCATCAATACGATGTCTCTCTGGCCTGGGTACATCGGACGGCCCATGAAGCCTAATTTACAGCTCCCGCAGTGTTCCTGAGGAACAACAAACACTATGACCCCTCCCCAGGACCAGAAGAAGAACATGACTTTCTTTCTCCCCCGTGCTCTCTCCTCCCTCCCTCCCTCTCTCTCTCTCTCTCTCTGAATTCTCATCTCTCATCTCTGCATTTCACCGCTCCTCTACTCCATCTCTGGTTTCCGCAGCGGATCCCCTTGGAAGCGCGACGACGGTGGAGAAATTTGTAGGGTTGGGAACCCTCTGCGCCAGGGTGGAGGCGTCGTACGATCCGCCACCGGCAGCAGGGGGGACCGGATCGTAGACGGCAGCAAGGGGTCGTCGTCGGAGGCGGCTGGCGAGATCGCCTCGATGCCTGGACCTGTGGGCGGGTTTGGCGCAGCGGGCGAGTCTGCTCTGCCGGCGGATGTAAGACAGAGGAAGAGAAAGGGGCGGGGAAGAGGCAGGAAGGGGAAGCTGAGACGCGGTGTGGCGCGGGATCATGGGGGCTTGAGCGTCTCCGTGGAGGCCGCGGATGGCGAAGGGGGAAAGGCCCTGGAAAATGGGTCTTCCCCGGTGGCGGCGGACGACGTGATGGGTGATGGATGGAGGGAGGAAAATGGTACTTTCTGCGCCGTGGATGAAGTAGAAATGAAGGTTAATGGCGTTGGCGACGCCGGGGTGCGTGAGTTGAACGGCATTGGCTCACCGAGGGCAGATGGAGTCGGCCAGTTTGAGGACGACAGGGAATTCGGCTCCAAGTGCGTTGCCTTCTTTGAAGCTGGGGGGAACGAAGCAGTCGAATTGAAGCCCGTCTCGTCTTCCGGACCAAAGCTGGAGAGGGAATTGAGAAATGGTGGGGATGTTGACGCACATGGAAATGGTGATGCGTCATCGAAGGATGGTGAAGACGCACCTTTGGAAGCTCCAAGGAAAAGAAGGAGGCTCTCTGCGAAAGTGGCTATTACGCCAGATATGCCCTTGAGAAGGAGTGCCCGTAGAGCGGCAACTGCTACGGCACTCTCTGATCCATACGTTGATTTCAGCTCAAAAAACGCGAAGAGAGAGAAGCGTGCATTGGAGAAGAAACCTTCTATTGTGGTCGACGATGAAATCCTGGTCATGCCACCTTCTTCCAAAGACCTAGAAATAGATGGGCTTCCAGTTCTAGACGTGTTCTCTGTTTATTCCTGTCTGAGATCTTTCAGTACTCTGATCTTTCTTAGCCCCTTCAGTCTGAAAGCTTTCGTTGCAGCTCTTAAGTGCAACATTGCTAACAGCTTGATTGATGCTGTGCATTATTCAATTTTACAAGCCCTGAAACGGCACTTAGAAGCTCTATCCGAAGAAGGTTCTAAGTTTGCATCCAATTGCTTGAGGTAGTGAATTAATTTGTTTCATTGACAACATTCTCAAATCACATTCCTATTCCCATTGTTTTTATGCATATAAAACTATGTTAGTACGTCATTGGGGTTTTAAATTGATTAGTTATCTTTAAACTTATTTGATAGGAATCTCAATTGGGAACTTCTAGACACTGTTAACTGGCCTCTTTATGTTGCCGAGTACCTGCTCATTCATCGTCCAGAAATGTGTTCGGGTGTGAAGCTTCTAAATGGGGAATATTATGATCAATCTGCAGCATCTAAACTTGAGATTCTTCGGCATCTGTGTGATGATGTTATTGAGGTGGAGGTAATCAGGGCTGAAATTAACAAGAGAATGTTGAAGCTTGAGACCAATGTGGATACTGGTCAAAACACAAATATTGATATGAAAGGGAGGGCTGATTTCGAAGAAATGTCTGATGGAAACAGTGATTGGTGTTGTTTATGTGGGATGGATGGCAGCCTGATATGCTGTGATGGATGTCCCGCTGCGTTTCACTCAAGATGTGTAGGTATGGCTGGAGATCTTCTGCCTGAGGGGGAATGGTTTTGCCCTGAATGCATGGTCCAAAAGTTTGATGGAAATATGAAGACACTGAAGTCTTTTCAGGGAGCTGAAGTTCTGGGTACTGATCGTCATGGTCGTATATATTTTTGCAGTTGTGGCTACCTCTTGGTGTGAGTATATACATCTTTTATATTCTATTCTTACTCTGGTTATGTGTTCTGTAATCATTCTTTTCTTGAATGGTAGCTTTTCTGTAAAGAACTTTACTATTTCCCTATGCTGTTGACACGTGTTATTAATTTTTCGGGTGGATACTAGAGTGTTTTTTTTTGTGAAGCTCGCATGTAGAATATGTGTTCTGGATTGGTTACTTATCTTACAATCCTTCAAATAATCGTATTTTTTCTACACATACTTCTGTCCTTTTTTTCATTTTTTAGATTACAGTTGAGATAGGATTTATTTTCATGGAGATAATTCAGTACATGTGTCATTTTTCTAGTCCTGTGGGGACGAAACTTTAGGGCCACTCTTTTCAGTGTATCTGCCGTTGTTTATGTGTAAATTTTTGGCATGATGTCATGTCATTCTGTATAACCTAGTTTATATGATAGTAGACATTTGTTATTGTATCGCAACTTTCTCGAAACGAAACCTATCTGTCAATTCTGTACTGCAGATTTCATTATCTGTTGTGTGCAGCAAAATGGACAGTTCGTGCCTTGATGAATTTTTTTGGTTCAGCTCTTTAATGCGGGCTTCTTCTCATTGCCATCCTCTCTTCAGTCTGGGGAATGGCATCTAGTCTCAAATGTCATTTTTTCTTTGTTTACCTTATTTTCCTTCTTGTTGTCCTTGTCTATGCTCCACTGGATGTTCTCTATCTCTCTTTTCCACCTTTTAAATCTTTTGTCTTCCACTTTGACGACCTTTCACTATAAGGGGGTTTGTGGCTTAGTTGAGAGCGATTGCATGCTTCTAGGAGTAGACATTCTTCCATTTTTTGGTTGTGAGATGGATGAGTTTGAAGGTTATGCAAGAGTGCTTTGTACAGGATATCATCTTGTTATTCTTTGACGAGAGACCTGGCTTCAGTTCTCCAAGTTAAACTGAAATCTCCCTAAAAGTTCTCCATAAATGACCTGAATTGACATTGCTTCTGTTATCTTCTGTGATCCATTATCTCGTCACAGCAGATTCTTCGTTCATTTTGAGTTATTTCTTGTTCTCGCAACTTATGTTGTGAATTGTGACATGCAGATGGCAAACTATTCCTCTTCATCTTATTGTATTTACATCTATAAATGGAATTTTTTTTATTTGGCATGTATTTATGGATACATATTTCGTATCGAATTTTCATCTGCAACTTATCTTGATACATCTTTACTTATTGATTCCAGAGAATTCCTGACTAGGTTTGGTTTTTGTGAGTGAATGTCCCCTCCGGTTGCAGGGATACATTTATTCACCTGACTATGATGCTGTTGTGAATGCTATTCTTACGTCACCGGAAACCATGTAAAAGTGTGGAGAAAACGAAAAATACTTGGGGCTTTAAGGCTTAACAGGTGGTTTTAGGCGGGTCCCATGATAGGATAAGGATTCAATTGGCTTTCATGTACTAATTATTCATTGACCTCTAGGACTGCTGAAATTCTGAGGTAGAAAAACAGGGTAGGAAGAGGCCATGTTGTACAATTTAGACATGAGAAACGAAGATTGTGTGTTAAAGTCGGATTGGTATCTTAGGTTCTAATTTGTGTTTATGTTAGAATAGAAATCGAGAATTGTGAGTAAATGGATATGCGTTCAATGTATATAAATCTCAGTAATAAATTTTTAATGTTTCTGGTTTGAAAAAATGAAAAAGACAATGAAACTTAAAACACATCTAAGTCTGGTTTGATCACCAAAAACCTTCTAAACCTCTCCAGCTTTGATTACCCAATTCATTCGTCTGTTGGGGGGTGCAAGCTGAATGAAAAAGTTGTGGAAAGGTGGAAAGAGCACATTAGTGATATATAACTTACTATCCTTGAAGCGTGGGCCAGATAATGTGTGCGAATCTATAAAGTGAATCAAAATGCTTCCACTTCTTGTCTTTTGGTGCATGTGACTTATGCTTGTATGGTGAAGCATAGTTGAAACCGTAGCCTATCAGCTTGAACTTTCAAATGCCCAGATATTGGAAGAATTTTATTGGTTATCCTTTAAGTACTTGTGTTGCCATTGTTTCGAGTCTTTAATTTTATCTGTAAACTGATTCATATTTGTTAAATTGCAGGTCCGAGCCGCCTGACAGAAACCCTTCATACCGTTACTATAATGGAAATGATGTGCATGATGTTATTGAATTATTGAAATTATCTTATACTTCTCATGCCCGCCTCATAAGTTCAATCACCGATCACTGGGGCATTCCTGTCTTGCCCACTGGATCTAGTCTCCATTGCAACCCTGAAATTAGTCGAGAGAATGTGGATGTTTCTCATCAATTAGTTTCTAAAACTATATCACCCTTGAAAGATGGAATGGTTGAAGGAGTGAACATCATACATAAGGAATGTCATGTGGATTCAACGTTTGGTGGTGTGAGTCATGGCCAAACAGCCCTCAAAAGTTGCAACTTTGCTTCAGGAGCAAGAATTGCTGAAGACTCAGCAATGTCTCTGCCAATCCTTGGTTGCACGGACACTCCAATGCTGGAAAAAGCTGAGGATACTTGCTCTATGGCCTCTCCTGTAGGCCGTGGCAACTTCTCATCAAAAGTTAGTGACCCAATGCAAGAAATTCGGGATGAGGTTTCAAGTTTGGATAAAAAATTACTTTTGCATGAAAAATCCAATGAGGCAAGACCGGTGCTTTTGGAAGAACTTAGTGATTATGTAAATTGGTACAGTTTTGGACGTGTCACATCTTCTGTTGGTGAGTTAATAACTAAATCATCTAATGATATCACAAAGAGCTACAACTTATCTGCTGATGATATAATGTCAGCTCAGCTAAGGGCAATATACAAGAAATCAATAAATCAATACTGGTCTGCCGTTCAGAGGTTACCTGTGAATGCGCAGAAGGAAGTTTGTGGGTGGTGCTTTGCTTGCAAAAATCCTAGTGAACAAGAATGCTTGCTTAGGGTCATTGAAAACAAGATGTTAGTTGGTTCAAGAAGTAGGACTCTTTATCTTCATTCTAAAGATAACAGGAAGAGCCACATCGTTTCTGCCATTCATCACATCTTACAAATCGAGGACAATGTCCATGGTCTTCTTTCTGGGCCTTGGCATAATCCATATCATAAAAAGCAGTGGCGCAAGAATGTCTTAAAAGCTGTGGATGTTATGTCACTTAAACACCCACTTCTTACTGTAAGTTGACTCAATTGTTTTGTTGTAGAAAACGCAATATGATGTCCATTTTATATTTTCATCTCCCTTTTTTTCCTGGTTATGCTTACGGGAAAATTATTTCTGCAGCTAGAGTTACATCTTCGTCGAGTTGCACTTTCATCAGAATGGATGAAACCTGTAGACTCAACCCTTACAGTTGGATCAGGTTCCTATGTCTTGTCTAATGCAGTGCAAATTTACCCAAGATATGGAGGTGGTAAAAAGCAAGCCAAGAAGAATTCTGAGTCGAAAAGTATTCCTTATTTAGGACTTCGTCCTCTCGCTAGTTTTGGAAGTATATCAGATGCATACTGGTGGAGGGGTGGTAGACTTTCACGTCAGGTATTCAACTGGAATATGCTGCCCAAATCGTTGGTTTCAAAGGGTGGCCGACAAGGTCTGTAAGCCCCATTACTTGATGTAATGTATTCTCATTCTTCTTGACTTGATAAGTTGTTTAAAATGTCATGATTTTAACAATCTTACAGCTGGATGTAAAAAGATTCTCGGTATATTATATCTTGAGGGATCAGAATTCGCAAGGAGAAGCAAATATGTTGCTTGGCGAGCTGCTGTGGAGATGTCCAAAAATGTTGCACAATTGATGTATCAGGTGAGGTAGCTGTTCTTTGGTGTTTACAATTGGAAAGCTGTATTCTTCTGATTCCTTGTTACGAATGTGGGGTTTTGAACGTGCTCCAAACTTGCTTTATGCGTACCTTTTGGCATCAGGTTAAAGATCTCGATTCAAATATCAGGTGGACTGATCTTTCAAATAGTAATCCCCTTCCTATGTTGGGCAAGGAATATCGAAAGTCATTAAAACCATTATGGAAGGCAACTATCTGTCAAAAGTCTGAGGATGAAGGACTTGTAAAATATTTGCTTGATTTTGGCAAGCGAAAGAGCTTTCCAGATGTAGTGACTAAGCATGGTGTGCTTCAAGAAGACTCATCAAACGAGAGCAAGAAATACTGGTTAGATGAATCTTATGTTCCTATAAATCTATTGAAAACTTTTGAAGCAAGGAAGCTTGAGAAAATGTTGAAGAGAGCAAGCCTTAAGGTGGTTTCAGACAAGAAGGGTAAATGCAAAATGGCGAAGCCTAGAAGGGAGAAGGGACTTTCCTACCTTCTTTCAAGAGGGGAAAACTCAGATCAGTACCTTTGTCGTCACTGTGGGAAACTTGTCCGAGAAAGGTACATCATGATTCCAACCGGTGAATTCTTTTAATGTTTATTGCCTCACTTTTTGCTGCTGGACTGAACCTGAACCCATACAATTGATTCTTTGGTAGTAATATTTTTAGTGTATGAAACATTATCCCACAAGGGGAAAAATACAGATGTTGATATATTTCTTGTGAACACTCTCTTTCTTTTGTCTTTCCCTCTTTTTCTGTCTTATTCATGCTTGCATGACACATTCAGACGGTGTTTTTTAGGGGTATCATAAGAATGCTAGTCCATGCAGATGGAACTTAAGGTAGTACGAGAGATGGATTCGACAAGATGAATCAGGGTTTAGGTACTAATTATGAGAAAGTCTACCAAGTAATCATGTAAAAATGAGGGGTATGGGAGATCAAAACATTATTACTACATACTATTGTTACTGATGCAAAAGAAAGGGCTGATTGCACAATGAGATTAAAATCTATAATGCTCCAACGTTCTTTTAGAAATGACGTGTAGGTCACAAGATCCGCTTGACAGTTATTACTGTGCATTATGAAAAGAACTATGATAATTCATGTTGAAAAACATAGTACCTTCACAGTCTCTCCTTAGACTTTTAGCTGCTTTCTTTTTGGAAAGAGAAGCTGATACCTTGTTTCTGTCATAGTGACTTCATTTATCTAATTCCACCACAGTGGACTGATGATATATGCAAGGCCATCTCAAAAGTTCTCAAGATGATATCGAAAAGTAATGCCCTTGGTAGTTTTGTTCGTTTAAAAATAGATTTTTGACTGTTACGTTTATCTTCAATCTGAAAACTGTAATGTTTTTTGATTTTTTTTTCAGTACATTGTATTGATTGTGATTTATACTCCTGATTGCCCTTGAATTTTGCGTAAGCATATTGAAAGGGTCAACTAGTTAAATGAATTTTTTTTTTCATTATTATTCATTTAACCGCACTGAGCTGTTAGAAATCTCCACAATGGATGAATGATAAAACCTCGGTTTAACATGAAAACTAGAATTCTGGGAGATGATGTGCATCTATGCGGAAAAAATGCATCTGTGTTCTGAGAAGGAAAATCAAGTGAAATGGGAGAAAAGTTGTAGGCTGAACATTGTTACGTTTTTGGTTCATCATTTGTGAAAGCAGTTATCATTGATCAGCTGGGAATACGCAGATCGATGGTCATATTCCAGTCGGGATGACAAAACAAAAATAGGAAAGGAGATGCGACCAAGAATGAGGAGAAAAGAGAAGATGATGGTGATAAACACGATAAATCCTTGGGTAAGTTCTGAGTTTGAGGTCACTTTACAAATAAGTTCAGACAGAGATGATGAGAACTGGATGAAAATAGTGATAACATTTAAAACTTTGCTTGGAATATGGTGATGTTGTTCATGAGTCTACGTGGAGTTTGGCCATTTGGAGGTTGGTTGGCTCAGGAATCTGAGGGGTTAACTGGGTCTTTTCTGCAATCGGTATTTTTTTTTCCATCTTATTTTTCTTCTTTTTTATGTCAGTGAGAGAAGTAAAAACTATACAAAATCGATAAAAGGACTAAATTCTGCTCTAAATCGATCACATGCATTAAAAAGACCATTCCTTTTATAATGTAATAAGTGAAAAATATAATGCAATACCATGACGCGAAGAAATTGCTTTCAATAAATTTCAGTTTCTGATGCTCCAATTTTTTTCAACTCTGGAACACATTTATTTTGGTTTGGTTGATTGTCAAATGCACGCGTGGTTCTGAGCTGTAGTGTTCCCTGAAGAGTCCAATGTCACCATATTTTTCAGGCTACTCAGTAACCCATATTGAGTTCATAAAATCTTGATTTCAGTTTTCGGCTACATATTTTTTGTGCATATCGTAGACATAAACCCCAGATTCATGATATTTTTTGGATTCGGAACCAGTGGGAATCAGGGTGCGTTGCCCATTTCAGAATATGTTGATGGCGTGCTCCTTTTCTCGTGCTCAAACTAACCTGAATTAAAAAATTGGGCCCAAATACTGGGAAGTAATTTCCATATGAATTTAGGATCATCTGCGATCAGGTTCTTTGAGATGTATAAGTGCTGACCTTTGTCTTTGGGCTTTCAACTTTAGGCTGCTGTTACTTTTGGAGGGAAAATTTCCTGTTTGGAGAAAGTGAATTCATAGGTTTGATTCTTTGAGTGGTAGTTTTTACGATGTCAGGTAACGTAATATCTCTACATAGGAGTGGTATCCATGAGAATGAACTTTGTAGCCTTTTGGTTATTGTTGATATCTTTAGAGTTCAACCTTTGACTAAAATATGCAAACCATTTCTTTTTTATTTGTGGGAAGGAAGAACCTTTGTAGAATTTGTTCAACCTTGAATATTCCTTCTCACAGGAGATTTCGTAGATTTTCTTGTGAGACTTACAGTAGCAACATTTAAGTAAGATCGACGAGTTGTATAGTTAAGCTGGGACTTGTACCTAGACCATGGAAAGTGTAATCATATCAGGCTGCCAGATTAGCCTGACCCAATTCAGTCAGGGTTGAAATCTGATTCAGTATTGAATTCTCAAACCTTTCTTGCTAGCAATTTGAACCATCAGACCGGGTCAGAGTAGCTTGGAATTGGCCAATCCATCTTTGATCAATTCATATAATTTGACCCATACAAAGCAGTCTGCTTCAAAGCTAATGGAGATCCGGATGAAAGGCTGTAGTTTCGTTTGTTTCCGTTGATAAAGAGCGTACATGGGGCAATCTAATTCAGGTTGGCTGATTTCTGGCCTATCTATCGCCTAAGCTGGATTGATTTTGGAAAAAAACTTGATATATGTATTCATGTTTGCAGGCATTGAGTATTATGCTTGGGAACCTTGGATACTTCGGTGTACTTTTATTGACAACATATTTCATGTATATCACATTGTGTTTTGTGCCTTTTTGACGGTTGATTTTCACTTCTGTGCATGCTTGCACAACATGGATTGAAGACTGCCTAGAAGTTGAAGTCTTGAGCATGATTGTCCTATTTCTCACATGGTTTGTGTTATTTATTAATTTTAGATCAGTTTCAAGTCAGTATGAAAGAGACACAGCTTCAAGTCACCAAGTTGTTCAACAAAGACTGACCTTGAACAATGTAGCCAGAAGAGAAGCCAGATGGTCTTTTAACTTCTTTTTTAGTGTATTGCGTGGGGTGATGTGCTACCCGTTTGTCAAACAAACATTGCGGGATTTACCTTTAAAAACTGATCTTTCCTGAAAATGTTTCTTCTTTGTCCAGACTTAATATTCTCTTGTGAACACCACCATTCAAGTGGGTTTTTTTTTTGGCCTGTTGTATTTTATTTTACTTTATGCAAGAAGACATTAATAATGCGTATACTTTTTCTACTTGACTTTTCTCCTGTTTCAGACATGCTTAAAATGCTTTAGATAATATGCTAATAGATGCTTTTGTTGGCAAATTTTGAATTTTATGTCGTAGGATTTTGAAATTTTTAAGATTCTTTGTGGTATCTACGGGTACACTTTTTAGCATTTATTTTTCTTGCTGTATAATGGTTTGACGCAATTTTTTTCCTGCAAGTCTTTTTTCACCATCGAGTATATTGAGTGCATCAACTAATATCGTTGCATCCATCTTTTGAAAGCGGTTCAAACTACAGTCATTAATTATGGAAAAGAAGAAAGAATGAATATATCACTGAGTATCTCTTAATTCTATGTTTCTTAGATGTTGAAATGAATATATATTGTATTGAAAATGTATTAATGGCAGTAAAAAAAATCCCTGAAGAAGAGAATTTCATCCCTAATGTTTAACAAGAGGCCTTATGTTTCTATTTCTTTTTTCTTACAGGGAAGAAGCTGTCAACTGCCAGTTCTGTAAAGGTATAATCTTAGAAACTCTATCAAGCTTGATGTTTCTTCTGTGTCAAATGAAGTGCCTTGCCTTTGAAATTTTTTGGAGAACACTGTTACTTATAACCGTTTTCTTGAAATACCTGTGCCCTTTTATTCATTTGTTCTCTTCACTATCCCAGGATCTGTAAAGCTCATTTCTTTCAAACTTTGGTTTATTTTATGACAGTGATATCTGTGTGGTTCAGTTTCTGTGGTCTTTACTTATTAATAGACATAATCTCATTTTTAATGTCTATTTATCTCACAGGTTGAAAAATTATTAAACTGAAATAAGTGGCTGGTAGATTGTTACCTTATAATGAGTGTAAGAAATAATTTTATCTGGACTAACGTTATGTGTATCATATGTTGAAAACCTGATTCTTTTGCTTTGGGAATTAAGTTAGATTTTTGTTACTTCCCCGTGCATTTTTGCACCTGCTAATTCGTGTTGAAATGAAAAGACAGTTTTTCCCATAGAGGTACTGAAATGTTTGGTTGAAAATTGCAACTTTGCCATTATTTTACTGAAGCAGCTAGAAAAGGGGATCACCAAATGGCAATATCCCTTTTTGATATTCAATACTCTCTCCTCTTTTTTAGTAGCTCTTCATTTCTTCTTTTTTTTTTCTGTGATGAATGATAATTACCATATTAAAGCTGAAATGAGTTTTATGATTCCTTAAGGAAACGATTGGCAATTATTTTGCATGCCTATGCAGTCAATTTGGGTTATTGACGACCCAAATGATTTGAGTTTACGACTTTCTATTTATAATGAGAGCTTTATATTGAAAGGCTTATTGTTGTAGAGCTACCTTGCATTGGAAAGTTGATATGTCAAGTGATGTTGTGGATTATGTAGAAGGAAGTTCCGAAATGTGCAATAGACTGACATACTTAGTTCGGAAGTTCCGAAATGGGGGCCTGTTGATATGAAAATCATGCAACGCTTACTTAAAAGTGAAACGTGAAGAGAAGAATAGGGGTAAATGGATGGAAGAGGTTCAGCAGTTGCCACTAGGCCCAATTACTATGGCACCCTGTGGGAAGAAGGGGAGCCCAATGGCACTACCATTGTTTCAATGTCTTCACTAATAATAGCAACTCCATTAAACGATGAAGGTCCAAAGACTTGTTGAAGCCAGCCGCTGGCTTACAACTTCAAATACAACATTCAATATCAGTGCCATCTCCATCTACTGATGAGGCAAGGAAATGTTAGCACAGCTGTCTGCTAGCCCTGGATCCCGTTCTCTTTAGCTGTTCATATGTACTCTCCGGTGTCTGTGCCATTCCTGCCTCTTTCAAGGAACGATGTGTGAACAAAGTATAGAAAAGCCTCTCTGCTTGAAAAGACAGAAGAAGGAATGGTCAGGTGTACAGACCCGCCCTTGCAACCTCCTTCCTGGGGGAGGAGAGATCATGAGAAGCTATTGTGGCCCAATGCTTGTTGCCCATGGAGTTTCCCTTGGAGGATGTAAGGAGGCTGAAGGGAAGGGGGGACTGGTTGTCTGTTGTGGAAGCAAGAACAAAAAGGGGAACCTTCTTGTCAGGCTGGACGAAATTGAGGAAGGACTGGCAGAAAGAACATGAACATGGTCACCAGGCCTATGAGGTTTAGCATTGACTGGGCCACAAGTGTGGGGAGAATGAATGGGCAGAAAAATGCCTGTAAATAGCTGCTGATGATCTGAGAAATGTTGGTTATGAAGTAGTGTCACATCAGTACAGGAGAGAAGGATTTGACTGGGATAAGAAGGCTTTTGACCATTTCTTCTCCAACAGTGACATGTATGAGGATCAGACATACGGGATGAAGGAGAGGCAGAGTTATGGGGGGATTTTGAAGTATTTATGATGTATACTTTCTTATAAGAGATTATCTGATACTGAACACAAAGGAAAAATGTGGCTGACCCTTATAAGACTAGGTCACAAATTACAGAGAGTATTTGGGACTTCGGTTCCATGGCCAATGCCCAAGAACAATGGACCGCAATCTTTATGGCCTGTTAATGGGAACGTGAGTTGCTTGTTTAGGGCCAAAAAAGAGAGCCAAAATCTCATTCTCTATTAGGAACCATGAGTTGTGTGTCCAAGCCCAATAAGAATGGGCCAGAAAACCTTAGATGTTAGTTTTAGTTGGAACGTAATGGTGATGAGGGGTCTTAGTTGGATTCGACCCTGAAGTGTTAAATGAGCATCATTCCATCAACTTTTTTAAATGGACTTTCATCTCATTTACATGTTGGTAATCAAGCGTGAAATATTAGATGAGCGTTATCTCATGTATTTCTTAGTGTGTCTCATCCCACAACTTGTCAAAATAGTGCGAATCAAATGCCAACAGGTCTCCTAAAATGGAGGATGAAAGTAATGTGGGAGGTTTGTATATATACACACATATACATACATGTACACATATACACACATACACACATACACACATACACACATACACACATACACACATACACACATACACACATATACACCCATATACATGCATAACAATACATAATATATATATGTATGCATATGATGTAGGAAATCAATGAAATAGGATCTGTCTCCAACCCTAATTAGTTGGCTAGGTAGGTGTTGGGAATGAAATACTACCAAACTTAATGATCTCCACTTTGCTGCATAGATCGCTAGGCTGTGCTTTTGATTTTTCTCCTACTGAGTACGTCAACTCCTTTTGATGAAACTTACTTTAGCCGTTTTAATTTTCCTACTAAAATAGCAGTGCTCATGTGTAGATTTTTTAAAGTCTGAATTACAATGCATATAGATTAAACTGGAACTTCGAGATGTAACTTTTGAATGAATTGATGAATTTTACTTAATCATCTTAATTTTCTACATTTGCTGTTTAAATCGATCTTTTTTCTTATTTTAACTCCACATATGCTGATTCTTGTGTTGGATAAAACAATGCTAGCTTCAAGTGTTTGTAGTCTTATTTATTGTTGACAAGAAGATTAATGTGCAAGTCGTCTTACTGCACAAGTATGCCAATGTTCAGAGTCTCTAGCATACCATCCGTTCTGTGGAAGACCATCTAGTTTGTCTCCTTTTACGGTAGATTTCAAATGGAAGATGAACAGTGTGATCAACAAACGATTATCTAGCCATTTAATTGGTAGCATGAACTAGGTGGTTTCATTTCTGAAGGTTTTGCTTCTGGACAATGTTTTGCGAAGGTATTGTTGGAGCTGCTGTGGTGAAGCAGTCAAAGTTATTTTTGCATACAAACGGTTGCCCATTTTTTGGATTGATTTTTGGGGCTATCTTCCAGAAATTTTAAACTTGTTAATTGCTTTGTAGCTTTCATTGCACATACTGCTTAAGTGTCTGATAGTGTAGGTATTGATTTAGGATTTCGAGAATCACCAATCAATAAGCACTCTTTTTATGATTTCTGAATTGATCTTGGATATAATGAAGTGGATGGATGCACATACTTGTTGGATTTTTCCTCGATATTTCACCTAAGATGTGTTTTCAAACAATTGAAAGTTTGTTTTGTTGATGTTTTCTGTTGAATTAACTCAACATGTCCTTACCTCTTTGGTATATCGACATTTCAGGTTTTATCCACAGGAGGCATTTCAGAGTGCCTAAAGGTGCCATCACAACGACATATAGATGCTATGCATGCAAGGACAAGAAACCGGCTGGATACAAGCACAAGAAATTTATGAATAATACTGAAGATGTGAAACTTCCTAATAAATGGGATGACAAGAAAGTTCTTCCAAGGGGTAAGCGCAAAAATGTTTTGGACAGGGACACGAAGATTTTGCATGATAGGATGGGCATTAGTACTTTGGATGGATGCAATAGAAGAAAATCATTTAAACATAGTGGCGAGAAGATTGTGGATGGGTACGAAGACAGGAAACGTGGAAATGGACGGAAGGATAAGAAACTTACTGATGAGTTAAAAGAGAGGAAACTTGAATCTAGATCCAAAAGACGAACGAGAAAGCCAGTTAAGTGTAAGATCTTGGCAGTTCGAAAGTCAGAACGCTTAGCGAAGAAGAAAAAGCATGCAGGGAAGATTAAGAAGCAGAAAGTTGGGTTTAAGAAAGGTCACAAATTGCAAACAAGAAAAGGTCGACGAGTGACAGCCAAAGTATCGAAGGAAGGAATTAACTGGCACAAACGTCAGAGAACAGGCATTCGCCCTCCCTTCTGGTTGAATGGTCTTCTGTGGACAAGGAAAGCTTTTGACGAACGTGCAATTCATTTTAGAGAAACAAGTGTTCTTTTACCCTCATCAAATTCGAAGGCTAACATAGAGCCAGTGTGCAGCCTTTGTCATCAAGAGTACGACTCCCATGTGATTTATGTTGGTTGTGAAAGCTGTGGAGGTATGACTTCCCCCCCTTATCTTTTTATATTCTTTTTCTTAGGGCAACAGACACTTTTGTATCGATTCATCTTTCATTTTGAAGGTCAGTAGATAATGATTGTTTTCTTCTATAATCTACATGAAAATATCCTTACCTGTATATATCTTCTTTTTGAATATTTTCTGACCATCCTCATCATTGGAAATGCAGATTGGTTCCATGGAGATGCCTTTGCTCTTAATCTTGGGAATATTAATAATATAAGGGGATTTAAATGCCACAGGTGTCGCACCCAAAGCATGCCTCTTTGCCCATATCTGAATGCAGCTGTCAGTGAGGCCAATTTGTTGAAGGATAAAAATTTGGGTGTTAATCACCTTGATGATTGTCAGAAACTTCAGTGTGTAGTATATAATAATGAAGACTTACCGCATGATCATTGTTGTTCAGAGATAGGTCATGGTCAGAAGTTTATGGATGAAGGGTGCCAGACGGATTCTTATGCTGGAGGAGAGTAGTGAAGCAAAATCTAGCTCAATCTCCAGCTGAGGGTTGCAATTGTAACCAAAGCAGAACATTCTCGTGTAAAACATGATCAAATAAAAATCATTGATGCATTCCACTGATCTTGTTATAACAGTAACTGACAGAAACACTTTTAAAGGAACAATGTGTGAATTCCATGTATTGGATAGCCTATTCTACTGATTGGAGGGGTTCCACTTTATTGTATGCAAAGATTGCAATCATTATTACGAAATGACTTTCAAAGGTGGGGAAGCTCCTCAGGCCAAAGGATCATTTCCTTCTTTCCAGGGGTATTTGATGCTTCCTGTTAAGATAGCCAGGTGGTCCCTCGGGAATCAATAGGCTACATGCAACTTTTCAGAATCATAGAGTTCACATCATTAAGTTATTTTGGTGGCACTACAGTTTGGCCCTCGTTTGTCTTATCGTGAACTGTGGAAGCATGGAAGACTCATTTTTCCTTTCTTATTAATATCAGCTGTCCGCTTCTGCTTATTCATTTTTCTGTCGGATTAATGGTTTTATATCACTCAGCAGGATATTTCTCTGCTGATCCACTCCTGATTTGCGTTCCCTGTGATTACGTAACCAAGTAAGTAAAATGCTACAGTCATTCCTTTGTTTCTGAATTCTTTGTGCACCAATGGTGAACTGTTATTTGATGAATTCGTTACAATAGATGTCTCTTACTTCTTCTGCTATTCTTGGGTTCAGTCAAAGTCTCATGTTTGCTGGTGACTTCAGATTTTTATTTGATTATATGCTGTGGGTTTCTAGAAATAATCTATCGTTATGCCTTTGATCTGGAGAAATTATGGAGTTCTAAATTGCTTTCAGAGAAGATTCTTTGATTTGTTGTGTCACCTACTCTAATTTTTTCTCGATTCTCCTTGAGCATCTATCTTGATAGTGTGAACGTTTGTGGGATATTTCTACTCTTACAAATTGTAGTCGAGATGACACACGGTCTGGAGCTCTGATAGGCGCTCAACACTCGTGGAAGAAGAACTCAAAACTTTATTCATCAGAAACTTATTACAAGGAGAGCGGGATCCAGCATTTATACCAGATCCCTAGAAGGTTCTACACATACTGATGTAACACGAAATGAAAGGTACATGAGGACATATATGTAAACATGTAAGGTATACAGGTTATTAAGTACATCTCGACAACGCAAATTCAATGAAATTAGGATTCATGAATTGTACGAATTCTCTTTTTCTACCTAGTTGATGGATTTAACTTGCGATCCTAACAGTGGGAGAAGCCTCAAGTAAGGAGACCCCATTTGCCCCTTCTTTTAGCGGTTAAGTCTTTGATTGGACTAGAGGAAGTTATATATGTGGATATGAAAAATGTTGTGTCGATAGTACTATTATTTTCTTGTCTGTAGAGAGTAAACTGGCTTTTACCACTCTGATTCTTGAAGTCTTATGAAGGATAGGTAGGGTTAAGATAAATGCTGAAAAGATTGATGCTTGAACTCCTTTCTTGGTGCCATGACGGTATACAGCTTACTCATTTTTTAAGAGTAAGCTGGCTTTCTTGATTGAGAAACGTATGTAGACTTTAAAACGATGGTGGTTTTACAATCATGGGTATAAAGGATTTTACCTTGCACTGAAGTGGCCGTTGAAGTGATTACCTAAGAACGAAGGTTATGGCAGTAAGTTCATAGACATAGATCACCATTATAAAATTGGGACCAAGATCATATTGTGGATCATAGTCACTAATAGAAATGAAATTTCTGGCATGTAGAAATCTTATGTGCACTTCTCTGTAGATATGATTGGAAAGCTCTGTTTATGAACTATTGTGACTTCATATACTGTGTTTGGGATTTGGGTCATTTGTCTTTTGAGTATTCTTTTTCTGAAGTTAGCTCTACAATGATTGTGGTATTCAGTATTTTAATCCAAATTTTGAAAAATCTTGGAGATACGAGATCAAATCTGCGCTCAGATAAACATCCCCGCATATAAATCTACTTAATGGATTCGTTTGGATATTCAGTTGCTTGGGACTGAAATGAAAAATAACTACTTATAATTGTGGGTATTTATTTTCCGTCTTCTTTGCTTTTCATATTGATCTAATCTAAAATACTATCAGATATTTCCACAGAGTTTTTAGTACTATCTGATATCTAACTGTACCTTTGAATTGCCTTCTACAGTTGATACTGTAGGGTATCTGACAATTTGCTATCTTGACATATCATGTTGTCTAAATTTATATCATAATAAAATATTTTGGGAAATCCTATTTCGGATTAGCTGTTGATTTCATCTTCGTAGTGTTATTTCAATTAATTTACCTTACTTTATGTCACAGACACTTTATTACATGGGTCTAAAATTATGAAGGCAACACTAAAATTAACCAAATGTAAAGGCAACATTTATGATCCAAGGGGATTAACAGTTGCCGAAGATCTTGTCTCACTAGTTTCTGCATAAGGTCACGCAAGTTCACTTTCCTGACGTTATGTTTACTTGTCTGCCAGTGGTGTTGATCTTAAGACAGAGGAAGACCACGCATGTTTTATAGTCCCACGCTTGTTAACTACTTTTAATCCTGAGTTTGTCTCAAAGGCTAGAACAATGATCATCAATTTACGTCCTTGAAAACCTTTGCTCAGGATGGGGACTTTATTAACAACTCTTAGTTGTTTGGGAGGCAGAATTGTTTGATACGGAATGACTATCATGGTCTCCCAACCAACACCATGCTCCCTCAAGAGGGGAAGGCCATATTGAAGCATGTTACTCTTCATACTTGGCACAACTACCAAAAATTGTCATCAAAATACCCAAAATGAGATTCATTACAGCTTATGATGACGGATTTCTATATCAATTGTGTAATTTTTTTTGCTCATTTCATTTATGGTTTATTGTTGTTGTAATTGCCGTATCAATGTCTGACGTATACACCTGGTATATCACACTTGAGGTTTTTCTTTTGGGCAGAAGAATTTTCGGCAATAACATTCTTCTCCTGCCCAGTTTAAAAAGAAATTCTTACAGTGCTTCGGAGAGCAAGATGATGATATGATGAAAAGACCCATTTTATTCAAAAAACAAATGTCACACATTGCATATTTTTGAACATTTTATGTTTACTAACGCGGATTCCCTGAATCAATCACTGATAATTTTCTGGAGCGGCTTTGAGGCAACACACGCCCTGTATAGCAAACCCTGTTCCTGAAGGCCTAATTTTTCTTCCCCTTGTCACAGACACCAGATGCAGGTTGCCCCAGATACTTGGACTAAGATTCCGAACAGATAGATACCTGTAAAGTTCGAGAAGTTTGAAGATTCACAAGTGCTAACAAAGTATTCGGACTGTTCTACGAGGAAGTCAAAATGGACCCTTCAATTATTTCCTTTGACTTCTCCTTTGTATACATAAAATTTTGTTCTGTAGATCACTCAGAGTTGACTTCTTCGAGTATCTTAAAATGATGCTTATACCGGTCAAAATAAATTTACTGGCTCATGAATGTTGTCCTGCCTACAGAGAAGCTTCTTCAGTAATAAGTTACCGCTTGGAGATTTCTTCTTTACACGGGAACTCTTTAAAAAGCCACGCTGCATCAAATGGTTGAGTAGTTTTTAGGCCACACTGATAAGCTTCTTTAGTTGCACCCTGCATCGAAGGGTGAAGAAAAAATATGGTCATGATTTTGATATCGAGGGATGCTTATTTTTGCCCACGAGTGTAAAGATCATTCATTTTGATATGGTCATGATTTTTGTTACCTTGGTGATCTGCAATGAGATTCTCAAGCCTTCGGATTGGCCCATTTAAGATCTTTTCTATCCTCGTTACTTGAATGTCATGTTCTGTTGTAATCTGTAGTTGGGGGATCATTTGTGAACTGGGTCGCTGGCTTAGTTCTAACATATGCGTTTGTATGTGCATCACATAGACACTACATCGCATGAAGACATTGATTCTGGCATACTCTGCATGCATTATAACATCCAAACAAACCAAAATTCTATGATTTCGGAAAGCAGGGTTTCTAAGGTATAATTTCTTTTTGGAAACCATTGGAAGAAGTCCTCTTAATGGTTGTGAGAGTTAATTCTTTCCTATTGTTCTGAAATCTTATACATGACCAGGTGCCAAAAGAGAGATCTCTAGCTTTCAAGCAACGTTGTATGAATAAAGAGTGAGCATGGATCTTTAGAGAATCTTTTTTTTTTTTTTTTTTTTTTACTATCTCCCTTTAGGAAATCCTATTTGTCATAGGAAATTCCTTGAGTTTTTATTCCAAGGCATTAAACTTTCACCATCCTTCTTTTACAAGTGGATTGAAAATTGATGCCATTTTACAAAGGTGTGAAAAGGCATAAAACCTTGTAGAAATCACATATGGCAACTAGGACATTTTAAGTGTGATCTTCAATTGTAATGTTAGAAATAGGGTGTCATAGAGTTTCATCACTCTAAGAAAGTCAATAACGTGATTACATTTTATGGTCAAGACATGAGAAAAAAAGTTATATTGGGCACCAAATGAGGTCACACTTTCATAGAAGGGTGCTTAGTGCATATAGGAACTGCATTAATATGGAATCATTATTAATCCAAGAAACCACAATATGATGTGTGACATGTTTATGGAAAAATTGGTTTTGAGAGTCATTTCTTCCACTAACGAGTGGGCTAGTGATTAGCTCGTTGTTGGGTCACATCTCTTCTATAGATTTATTTAAATTTATGAAAATTTCCAAATAAGGGTCAAGATCTAGAAACATATAGACTGGTAGAAGAGTATAGTAATGATGTCATCTATACCAATTGTATCAACAAATATATTTTTTGGTTCATGATCTGAAAATAATTATCCATATGTTTAACTTCTAATGTTTTTAAACATATTATCTGGCTAATTGTGTGGTGTTCTGAATTTTTTGTTGGTATCCTCATCATATGATGTCTATTGGTTTTAAGGAGATTACAGGAGAAACTAAAATATGCATTAAATTGGTCTTTTTTGTATCACTTCAAATGATGTCTAATTTTTTTCTGACAGAAAGTTGTAGTTCCAAAATGTTCATCTATTAATGCGTCTATTAACATTAATACTAGAATCAATAGATGCATATCAAAACTAGATTAATGTCTAGTTATTTTCTTCTAGATTAAATGTTCTAAGTTAGTATACATTATTAACTCGGATATAAAAATAAAAGAACAAATAGTTCTTAAAATTTTGGTACATAGCTTCTTTAGGAATGAATACATGGATGGAAGGTACATAAACTTTTTGGGGTGTAGGGATAATTTGAATCCTTGAGAAATATATGAAAATGTTGATCCAAATTATAGAATCTCACATGAAGTTTTGGAGTTAATCCTTAAATAAGGAAAATTTCTACTTCAATTTTGAGCTGGTAATAATTGAAAAATATAAAATAGTTTTATATGGTCGTTCTAACAACAAGCTGCACACTCTTAGTGGCTAGTTTAACAGATTATGACACTAGTGTTTTTGTATTTTTTTTACTATTGTGCTGCACATCAATAGTTTATAAAGATGTGAAAACTGCCAATTTTATGACTAGTGTCTCAAATTCTTGGACTATTTCATTGGTTTAAACAGAGTTGTACTTAATATATTAAAGGGTCATTTGAGTATGTAACTATGTTTGTGATGTAAAACTACCACCATCCTGTATTGTGATCTCTATGAATAGAGACTTGTCTCACCAAGTTAGTCTAGTCAACTACTCTCATTAATATTAGGAGTTCTTCTTATGAAGTAAGTTCACATAATCATTGAGCATATTGAAAATTCTTCATATTAGATGAATCAACTTCCTGCATGTGATAGCCTTGTCATTATAAATACTATAATTCTCACTAATTGAGCTTACTCACTTCATCTATAGAAGTTCCAACACAATCTTTACCAAAATGGTAGAGTCTAATTACATAGAGCTTAACTCCAATTTATGATGTGACATTCTCAATTGATAAAAAGTCATTTAATTATGTTTATTATAAAAGTGTAAAATCATCCTCCTACTAGCTGATCCATGAGTTGACATCATTCCTAAAAACAAAAAGAGATTATGAATCTTGTAAATAGCCTTGAAATCACATGGGACTTCACTTAGGATTACATAAATATTTTGGCAATACTTTTATTACACATACAAAAAAAATGGTAATTAAGAAAATGGCTATTTTATGTCTATATGTATTCAATGAAAATAGGGATATCCAAAGGTCAATTGTATCCTATAGAAAATATTTTGCCATATTGTTGACTCCAAAAATTTGTCTATATGTATGCACCCCCAAAATTTGTCATAATAAATAAAATGACTAAAAGTCAAACCTTATGTACATGGTAAATAACCAACCCTAATTCAGGATTTTGAATGATCATACTCAATTTTAAATATTTTTCCCATCTTCATCAAGTTATAATAAATATCTTATCTACGTCAGTCAAGCAATACTTTTCCTCCCTATGAGTTAGTAACTCAGTGACTATATGCAAATTTATAGGTTGTCTAAATGAGACTCAGATGACCACTTGATAGAAACTTACAATCTTGAAGAACCCATTCACTAGAGACCTTTACGAAGTTACAGTTTATCTTGGATGGAACCATGAATGAACGCTGTTTGATTAGTACCCAACTTTGTTACTCATTAATCCTGACTATGTCAGATTGAATTCTCTTAGAAAAATACACAACATTTAAAACCTAAAATTCAAAAGATGCCATGTTCACTATTTGGGAACTGTTGACTTCTGGACCACAGAAATCTGATCAGCATCAGGGTTAGAGAAGATCAAAGCGACCCCAACAGAGAACCAGAGAAGAACTCATTCAAGGTCACCACCAATGAAGTTGCCTCTCTCATCCCAGGGGCGAGATTCGAACGACTTCCCAACAACACTTCGCCTCTGGTTCGTCGTTCCATCCGAACATCTATACTCGGGGAAGTAATCAAGGAATCGCTTAGATCCTAGGTAGTTAACTCCATCGAACAGGAAGCTCTCTACCAAGTCCTGAGACACATGAGAGAGCGAGCATGGAGCTTGGGTGAGAGGAAAGACAATTAGAACTGACTGAAAATACAAAATTAGCCTCCTTGAAGATACCCTTGCAAGAGATTCGCCAATCAACTTCCTCAGAGTCGGATAGCCGGGATCCTGCTTTTCCAGTAATATGCTATTAGAATATCGATCAGCAGCGTTTGCCCACTGGAGTAAGAAAGTTTTACAAAACAACCCTGAAACTGACGTAAATATTTTGCAACCATAATAAATAGTCTTGGTTTCTTGGCTTTTTTAATTGGACTCCCCACTTTCTGAAAATAAGGGGATGATGGGTGAAATTCAATTAAAGGCAGGATAAAAGGTTCTCCTTTCCCAATATGTAAATAATGATTAGGAAAAATGAATGGAAATCTGATCATTCAGGATCACATGATAGCAGAGGACGTATGTGGAGGGGAGATGGTTGCCCATGTTGAGCTCAAAGGGCACTCTAGCTGGATGTTGATGATACCGCAGTATCCGAAGAAGGTCTCTATTTATTTTTATTTTTTATTTTTTTTGACATAACTATTTTGAGATATGGTGAGTGACTCCGGCAGATAAAGAACTAAATACAAACCGTATGACGCAAAACCATGGGATGACGCTGAATCTTAAAGACAGAATGGTGGAGAATGAACAAGAGCCGAGTACCTATCCTCAAATTAAGATGCATAACATATTTTTGAGGGAAAGGAATATTTTTGGATAAATTGGTGAAGGATATTGCCCATCCTCATAAACATGAACATTCAAATGGATTTTATGAATGACGTTGGAGCATCTATCACCTTCTCAGTCCGCCAAGTGAGATATCTGTGTTGTGCTTGGCGATTAAGAAGAATTTTCTCTGGATCTTTCTCTTCTACAGACTGCTCCACCATTTCAAACCACACCTATGATATAAGCAGTAATATCAGAACAGAACATAAGCTCAGGAAGCATATCATTGGAAATACACCAGGAATTTGACAGTTTGTTAACCCGGAAGGCCTCAGGCTGCAATTAAGACAATTAATTTAGGACATCCACCCAACTTCTGTTCATCAGAAAATCGCATGCAGTAGGAGACTGTTAATTCATCTTCAATTTTGTGCAATTTTATACTCTATTTTTGTATCCATAACCATTTGTTCAGCCGTATGATTGACACATAAGTTAATGGCAGAGCAGGGTTACCTTTCTTCAGCAGAAAGCAAGCATTCCCTAACTTGTGCAAAATAGATGTTTAAGGTGTGCTTTGAAAATGACTGAAAATATCCAATTTTGATAAAAATCAACATGTTAAAAATGGTATTGTTTCCGATGGTAACTGAGGATGAATGCAACCGGACAATCAACACAACTGGTAATAGAAGTAAAATGCAGATATAAAATAGGCATGTATAAAATACAGGGTAAGTTGACTGATCATCCAATTTGACCGAATTGTTTCTGACCATTATGGCTCCTGAACAATCTAGAAGAGTTATTTCATCCTGTCTACGATAGCCTATGAAGAAAGCGGTGCAGGAATATCAGACATTAATCTGTAGAGCTTGCTTCCATGGAAATGCCTAAATTTACAATGAAACCCAGAGCTACCTTCGTATTACCTCGCTGAGGAAATGAACAAGTGGAAGAATAAGGGAATACAAGCATCATCTGTAGCTAGACAAAGTCATCAGTGTAAGACTGCAAAAGTAGATTTGGTATTTTCTCGTGGACCCTTCAGCAGATGTGATTGGAGGGGTACGAATGAGAGAAGACCTAATACTGCTCTGTTTTGCCGGTTGATCACTCTTTCATCTAAGATTTTCTAGGCTTCTTCTCAACTTACCAATAATTATATTCAAGATGGTGCTTTCTACCACATGACAATGTTTCTGCTGCTACCACTTTGTTTGTGTTAGACTCCACCCCTTTTATGTTTCAGTCCTACTCTTTAAAAAACATAAAACTTCAATGCCCCACTATTGAGTCACTCATGTCTCCACTCACCACTTTTCCTTGAACGTTTTCCGAAAGAACTTTATAGCAGACTTATTCTAAGGGGGCTTGTGCATAGAATTTTCGCTCCTCAGTTTATAAAATTCTTGGCTCCATCTGACAAAGAGCTTGGAAGGTTCGTTTCTTTGAACATATTTTAGGAATCTCTCTAATAACTTCACACAGAAGGTTACTAGTTAAAAACATGGTAGGCACAAACATCCCATTTACCCTTTTGGATGCCAAAATAGCCACGCAAGACCATCCATAGACCAAATCATTTAATAGATGGAGGGAGCACATAGGTTTTGTCCATACTCGTTTACAGGAATAACCATCTCTGTAGATACTCCAATTCCTACCCCTGATCCCTAGAATGTCTCAAGTATGGAGGCTAAATTTTCTTATTAATATAAGAGATAATGAAATAATGAACTTCCCTGCATCCTTGCCTCGTCATATACATTTTGGCGAGATATATCATACCATGTAATTCCCCTCATCTAATTTCATATGGTCATCTGGATAGAAAAGCTTTGCAAACCGATGATTAGAGCATGCCCGAGCTGCCAAAGAAGATACATCACTCAAATATTTGGGTATTGAACACAGATTGGCCTAGAAGCACGAACTAGAATCCCTAAACTCCCAGGCAGGAAAAACTGTAATGCCCACTTTGATACAAAAGCCAGAGGCTTCCAGCAACCATAACGGCAGTGCACCACAGGTGGAATGTGGCAGCCAAAGAAACCAGAATATGACAATTCATCTAGTTGTCGTAACACAGAACAACTTGAAGATATTTGGGAGAGGTGAGAGGGGGAGAAACTTGTAGAAAAAGGAAGAACAACCGCTACACCAACCACAACACTAGATGAGCCCCTCAGAGTATCTAGTGAAGAAAAATGCACAAAATAGGGCTACAACAACAACCGACCACTAGACCAGCCCTATGACAGGAACACGGCATTAAAATCTAGATAGGGTCCCTGACAGCAACTGCGCTGAAAGGAGACTCCAAGACATTAAAAGAAATAAAAATATGCTCCTCAAGCACACCCTTTTTCACAGGTTTTACCCTTGAGTTCAAATCCTGAGCTGCTGTGGACTAGGATGCCAAAGTGACTAGCAGAAAGGACCAAGACCTTGATCTAAATCAATGAAGATTATGAGACCCCTACAACCTTGGATACGATATCCAGTAGCACTCAGATCTGCCAAATAACGAAAAAACGAAGATGTTCATGATGTTAGCAATATTGACAATCTATTTTTACGTGTTTCACTGAGTACATTATAATAATGACGTAATATGGTTCAGTAGCAAAAGCTGATCTCCCTCCCTGCCTTATTTACTGGAGATTTTGACGTGATCAATAATTTTTATTCAAAAGAAGCTAAGACTCGAGGTTAGGCCATGCCACAAATGATGAATAAAAATATTTAAGGCTCATAAAAAGGCCTGATGTAATGATACCTTAAGATACTCCATGAACGCAGAATATAAACTCTCATGCCTATAAAGACTTGGACTAAACTTGCTCCAGATCACAACTGGCGAAAAAAATCTTATAGATTCAAACGTAATCTTCCCCCCCCATGGAAAAAGCTGCATCAATTTGCGATAAACGTTCAAGCATTATTTTCTTTCTACAAAAAAAAGAAAAGAAATAAAGTTACTAAGGTGGTGAACGTGAGTAACAAAAGTTGTCATCAGACCTCAGCATATTGCTGGCAAAGAGGTAATAGCTTCTTATAATACTTGTCCATATGCTCACTTTGGGTCATGGCACCATGTAGAGGATTCAAGTCCCTAAAATATGATTAAATGAAGAAAAGTATCATAGGAGAAGCCACCAAAGAGGGATGCATATAAGTAAATAAGAAAATAAAAAATACTAAAAAAAATCAGGTTTGTTGACATAATTGAGGCGTAGATGGTGAATAATAGTATATATATAATATTTATGACGTGACAACCAAGTGAAATGAAGGACTTAACAAAAGAAAATCAGGACTAGGGTTTATTAGGATAGAGTGAGCTTCTTTCATAGTCTGACAGAAGGAAGATAAAAGCACTAGTTAATTATAGGTTCTATTAAATGAGGGACAGAAGATTTACCATCCAGGACTTAACTCGCAAAATGTTAGATTTAATAACGAGGAAAAGGTCTCTAGGAGATGGAGATGATACTCTAGGAACCGAATGTAGAATGTTGATATCCAGTGGTCCTTCACATGGGAATCCCAACGTGCTAATGTGACTGAAGAAATATTGACTCTTGGTGTCTGCTGTCTTGCGGACAGTATGCAATTATGAAACATGATAATACAACAAACTTTCATTCTACTTTTCATCTTGCTCAGGATTAGAGTTAGAGTTTCCGTTCCCTAGTCAAATGCAGCAGGCATTGAAAACCTATAAAGGATGTATTGTTACATTAAATAGCCACCTAAATCTTCTTCGTGAAAATCCTTCCTTGTTAGCTGATATGTTGTAAGCCCTGTGATACCTTGATGGAGCTTGGTAATTGATCCTTCACCAATCCACAATATGAATCATTTTTTGTCTAGTGTCACTAGCTTCTTTGATGACTACTTGAATCCTCGAGGGAAGAAAAATATTCGTTTCAAATGTTTTGCATATTTCTAAATGAAATGAGTTGCTCCCAAAAATAAGAGAAAGAAATAAACTTGTTAATTAGACCACCAGCAGAGAGAAAGGCCCCTTGGCCAAACGAAGTTCAACATAAGGGAGGTGATCTGCACTATTCCAGCCTTTAAGCTCTTATTTAGCCATCAAAACGTCATCAAGGTGGAGACACTGAATTGTGCACGAAGACATCAAAACAATGAGCGAAAGGACTTGAGGTATTGGTTGCACACTGAGGTTCAAAATATTAATGTCCTGAAGTGGGAGAGTGAATAATTGGATTTTATAGTACAGAACATAAAATTAAGTAAAGCAGAACAAAAAATTAAGAGCCACTAAGTACACAGTATACATATGTAATGCAGATGGGATGCTCATAAAGAACGTACATTATGACATTTATTTCAGTTGTCAATTTCATGGATTTAAAAAATCAATAGCCAAGAAAGATCAAGCAGTACTACAGTCTAGTTCAAATCATTAATCATAGTCATGAACAACTGTAAATTCACGTGTACCCAAAGGCTGAACGTAATCAACCAACAAAGTTCTCATCATCTTCATTTCGGACACAATAGAATGAAGTAATTAAAGCCAAGAAAATACCCTTCGAATTTAGAATGACTTACAAGACCACGATGCTCAAGGTAGGACTTGCAAAAAAGTTGGCACAAAATATAGGCAAATCGAATTCTGCCTCAGGGAAAATGCAGAAATCCAGAACCTATGAAAAGTGCAACCTTTTCAACATAAGTTGCCAACAAGACCAAAATAATACCAAATACTTGGGGTGCATTAAAAGAAAATGCTAAACAAGGCAGAAGAAGAGAACTTTGATTGTATTATAACGAAATTTGCGAATTACACTGTCAGTCAACTAACTTGGTACACAGAAAAAACTGAGATAAACTGACTTGATCTTTAGCATGTTTTCCGTTGGTCTTCTGTTTGCAACATGAGAATAAACTGACATATAAAACTGAAACCTATCATTTTTACCCGTCTTCTCTGCCTAACCAGTGGGAGAAACATTTACTTGACTCTCGTTACATGACCTCTCATAAAACCTGTAAAAATTACTAGCTAATTTACGGAGTTACTCATAAAACCAGTCAATGCTATGGTCCTCCATGCACTACTAAGAGACCTTAGGTGTCACATGGTGGTCAGTGATGTGACATAGGATTTTGGAATATCTATGGGCGGAGGTGATCCTTTATGAGCTAGGTCTTGGATGTCACAAGGTTGAAAAAATATCACTTCAGAAAGTTCCACAAACTACATGCAAGTCAACCTTTATATGAAGCAGAAGAACCATCATGCAACATGCAGATACCCTGAAAATATGTCATCTAAAAAGAGATCCATTTACAGCTCTGTTTGATAGTCTTAACTAGTGTACATGCTTTCAAAAACCCAGAGTGTTGCATGTGCCTCTCTCTGCATACTGGACTAAGAGAACTTCAGCGTGCAAGACCAAGTATTACAAGATTCATATGTTGATTCTCGGATATCACTATCATTTAAATTCAAGTATTTAAATTAAATTTATTTTTCATTTATTATTTCAATTTATTGTTCAGTTCATCATATTATGTTTATTTACTCTAGCATCCATTATTATTTATAATAACACACAATATACATGTTTTCTCCCTCTTTGGAAAAGGCTTTCCAAATATTTTCCCATATGACTGTGATGGCATCATTCTCCCGAGCAACTAACCATCAGATTATCTTACTCTTCACAGAGGTGTTTCTGAACAATCAAGATTCGTATTATTCATGATTTTTTTTGTCAGAAATAAACACGATTTTAACGGTAAAACAAATATTTTCATCTGAATTGTAATTTCTTTGGCAACTAAAAATGATGCTGGGATGTGTTCCACCATAAACTGCATCTTCCAAGGGGAAACCAAGAAGCCTTGATGATTTATCCTGAAATAAACTAAATCTCGAATGTAACCGAGAATCAACAATGAGGAAGATCATGAGAATAAATTTCTTCACTCGGTTTAATGCCCCAACGAGGAATAGAGGAACCTTAAGTGTTTCAAACAGCCAAAAGGGCCATTTTTAACACATGGGGTAAATGAGTTTTCTTGCACAGGGAATAATATTAGTATTCTCTATTTCATCCACACTTAAGTTGGTTCGCACAAATCAACTCAAAATTCATTTGAGTATAAAACAAACACTATGACTGGGATCCCAGGTAAATAAGTTCTTGGAAAGAAGCAGATCGTTTCTTAGGACCAAGTTCAAAAGATATTGACAAGATCAACTTTTCTGGCCTTTGTCTATATCAAGTTAGGTTACATTATTTTAAAGTTCAGTACACACTAGACTCCAGTAAATTTTTTCTGCGAGTCCTTTCCATCTTTACAGAGTGTTTGGATTCAGGGCATAGCCGTACTATGCTAGTATATTTTGCGTTTTCAATTATTAGCAGACTCCCCACTCAAATTGTTCAAGTAATGATTATTTAAAACGCTCCTTATGTTTTCAACGATTTTAAATTGAGGGAAAAAAAATTGCAGGGAGAGAGGGAAAAGTCAAAAGAGAAAGCCAGCGAACGGGATAATTCAACCAAACTCGTAGGATTGGCCCTATCTGACCATTTACCGGCCAAAACAGAGGATCCCAATTTTGAAAAAAATAATAGGAAGACTGGAATCAAATGACCTCTTTTAGTTGCCTTGGGTCGGACAGAGTTTCCAAGCAATGATTATAAGTGAATGGTAATGTAGAAACTCCTCAAATGTTCTCAATAACATTTGAGAAAAATGAAAAATGAAGTTTTAAGATAACTTGGTACATTATCATCATTTAAAGAGAACACTGCGTTCCCCTTCAGAAGGTGGGAGTAATAAACTCCTTTGTTGAGCTACGCAGAAACAATGAACAGCTTGTTCACAACTCAGGTGTTCAGAAAAATGAAACACGAAAAATTTACAGCTGAAGCTAAGATAGGCCATGCAAATCGCTAAATAGGCTAACCATTACCTGCATCGTTTTACCTCCAACAATGTTCAAACTCCTAAGGCATCTTATCTTGGGAGCTCGAAAAGAAAGCGTGCAGAGCTCCGTCTGATTGTCCTTGGCCATGATGGATTTAAACCTATCCTGATACCAAAATACCAAGAAACTACTTTTCATCAAATTTATGAATTCACACATTTAATAAACAACAGAGAAATAGAATAAGAAACAATGTTGTGTAATGTACATCAAAGACTTCGACTGGGAGTAAGAAGATTAGGAAGAACTTGAGAAACCAAAAAACACCGAGCACAAGAAGAATTAAGATTTCAGGACCCATGGAGCAAACCTCTGAGATAGAGAGAGAAGGTGAAAGAGAGATTATAGATACTGATTAATGAATGACGTCCGTAGGACAGTATGAAGTCCGAGACCGCAGCAAACCTGAGAATGAAGGGGGGTCAAACTAGTGCGCCGCTGGGCCTCCTCCACCGCGAACTGAACGAATTTGCTGTAGGCTAAGGAGGAGGCGTCCATGGCAGGACGAAAACCAAAACAACCTCCAGAGGCTCGTCGTCCCAATCGAAGCAATCACGAGCAGCGATGGTTCCTCCCCTCCACCCTTCCGCCTTCTCACAATAGCAGATGGCGCCTTGGCAGGGCAGCCCGGAGAGAGCCCCCCCCCGTCATCCACAACACCTCAGCTCAAGCGAACTCTCACATTTGGCGGTTCCTCGTCGTCGGACCATTTTTCGTTTTGCTGACTCTTCGGTTTCAGTCTTACTCTATCTAGTGTTCATGTCTAATTTACAGTTTTACGACTAATCATTTCGAGAAATATTAATTTACCCTCAAGACGTATGTAATTGTATTATTCCCAAGGTAAATATCCAATATTGTCAGGTGTGACTCCACATTTGATTTTTTTGTTATTTAGAATCTTAATTTTAATAGTTTGAAATCTAAACGAAAATTTTAATTTAATGTAAAACCCGGATGAAGTTTTTTACTTTCATATAAATACCCATATTAAAAAATATATGATCTGATCAACTAAATGAATTCATTTTTATTTTTAGGAGAAAAATATTTGTTGTTTATATTCTCTCTCTCTCTCTCTCTCTCTCTCTCTCTCTCTCTCTCTCTCTCTCACACACACACACACACACACACACACACACACACACACACACACACACACACACACACACACACACACACACACACACACACACACACACATGCACACACACGATCTACTTTTTTGGGGAAAGCTCCAAGAATAAAAAGGAAATAAAAAGAGGATATCACTAAAAAAATTCCAATTTGATTCATAGCAAAACGTCTTCATTGACAGACTTTCAGTCAACATTCATATTAGTCAACTCATCACCACAAAAGGAAAGGTTGCTACTATGCAATCATTTTTAAAGCAGAGAAAGGCAAAGTTTTTGACCCATGTGGCCCAAACCTGGTGGGTGAGGTACTCTTCAAGCTTGAAAGATAGCCTACAAAGATGAGAAGACCCATGTGACCAAAAATCAGAATAGTCCCAAAGAAAATTTATTAATAGCATGTTGAAGATATTATTTTAGTAACTTACTTGTTACCTTGTTATCAATTGATTTGAACCTACTTTGTAACTCCATACACACCTTGATTCATACGATTTTTCGTCTCTATGAGAGATTTATCTCAGCGTATGGATTGGAGTCAATGATATATTTGTCTCCATGTACAATATTGTAGATTTAAGGGAATATTATGATTATTGTAGAGTCAACAATCACTCCAACTAGTACTTCAAGAGTCAATGGTTGAAGATTCCAAGTTCTGAGAATTCTGAACTTAGTTTATTCATTGAAAGTTGGTGTCTTGTGAACATGAAACCTTGTCCAAGAGGAGGTTGAGACCGCTGACATACTGGGAGTCGTCGCCAGCCAAGAAGAGCACTGCTGCAGTAACATTGACCATCGTTAGTGATATTTTTTCTATTTATATATTTAAATTAACATTTAAATGTAGCAATCTGGTCTTCCTAAATAGACCAGTAGTATCCTGCACTCTCATCTGGTTAACTTATCAAAAGAGTTCATAAAATACATTGCACAAATAAGTCTTGAACTTAATATTTGGATGATGACATATCATCAGCATTCATAGATAAAAGCTCAGTACGAAACATGATTATTTGACTTGGTCTTCAACAGAAAACTTGTTCCCCATCAAGTAAAGATGGTTCAAATCAAATTCTAAATCAAATGAACAAGATAATAGAAAGATTTGAAATGAGGAAGAGTCAAAGGTTGTTATCATACATTTTAGAAAATGATAAGTTTTTGAATGAGTTTTTTAATCATTTAAAATCCTATTATAATAGTAAATCGTTAAATGATGATGGCTAATATATAAAGAGAAACTTAAAAAAAAACTCTCTAGATGAATATTTAAGTGAGAATCTTATGTCATTCCTACTTAATACATCAATGACAAGTAGAAAGCTGCATTTTGATGTTCATTAGGCTTTGGAAACTCAAACGACGTCCAAATCAAAAGAGAACACTCTCCATGAGGCTCTAAGGTAACTGAGTGGTGAGGAGAAAGGTTGTTGGGTGAAGGCACAAAGTGCTAGTAACTTGTTTTTGCCTTGAAACAATGGATTCTCTATGGAGACAAATTTGAGGTTGGGTGGCTGAGCTTGTGGGCATCAATGTGTATTTAATGAGAGAAATAATGAAGCACTAGTAGGACTTCTCCAAAACTAAACATAGCTAGGTGAGGGAAAAATTAATATAAAAATATTAATGTCACTAGTGAGAGAGAGTTACATGCACAAACATGTTGATACATCTAGTGATAACCCACATAGATAATTAGTTAGAAACGAAAAACATTTGAAAAGATTCAAAACCCAATTCACTCCCTCTCTTGAAGTTTCACCCAACCCTGTAGTTCTAACACTGTCTAATATGTCCTTGTCTCTCTAACTTGGGTCATAACTTCATAAATACCTAGTAATATATCCTAATGTTTTCTTTCATGACAAATGAAGACTATATTAAATTCTGTCAAATCTAATTCACAAGTCAATACACTCTTGTCTCTTGGATTCAAGGAATGATTTTCCTATGTTAATCATCTAGAAGTTTCTTAATCTTTAATGAATTATCCATAATGATTTCCCATAACCAATGATCTAAGGCCCAAATAAAGAATTTCATCTTAAATTTTTAAAATGATTAGTCAATCCACTAAAGAGAGATGTGCTTTTTGGACAAAACATCCTTCCATAGTATTACCCAATGTGCTTACCACTCTAAGATCTACTCCTCAAAGAAAATTTTCTTTCAAGCTTTGATACAAATTAGATTTTAGGCTACACTTGACCTGAGGTGTATCTTCTTTTTAAAAATTTATGATTTTATTTCGTTCTCATTTTCATGTGGGGAAGCTATCTTATTGCAAAAAGCTTTGCCACCTCAAATAGGAAATAATATTTTATTGTTCTATTTCCTCAACTTATCATCTTCTTGTCATCTGACCAAGCTTCCAATACCACTCTAATTCTCATCTAATTATTTAAAATAAATGTTAGAAAGATTCTCGAGATAATAGAGAGGTTAGAGATGATGATTGTAAATAACTAATTAACTATTAGAGAAAGACTGAATTCTTAGATAAATTTGATTCAAAAACCATCAGCATATTTTTTTACAGTCTCAAAAGGAAAATCCTAATATTAGTTCAAAATTTTGAACAATAAAAAAATTGACACAACGTGTCCTTTAAGGTTTGCATATCTTGTAAGAGAAATAAATATGCACAACTACTAAGCACCAATATGCATATTTGAACCATATTGGTTCAAATGAGATATGTGACAAATAATTATTTGTAATTAAATTTCATCTAAATCACCTCAAATAAATCATGAATATCAAATGGAGAATTAATTCATGATTTCAATATGAGGTATTAATAGTTTGGTGACTTATGATATTCTCAAATTGTTTTTCAATTAATACTTATCAATATTTACAAATAATTTGGATTCAATCAATTAATTTAATATCATTGATAACATAAAGTAATGCTTTTGTATCATAAAGATCAACTATATTCAGTGAATTTTCATACATATATTTTTCTTCAATGATTATTATTAATTTAATATATATTAATCATTAATTTCCATTAGTGCCATTTTTATAATTCTCACAATACTATCTAAGGTAATAATTTTGATTGGTCAGATCAAAAAAATCCATAATTCGTTGGTGTGTGACTCAACTACATGCATTGAATTCGTAAAACAGATTTAATGTGATTAGTTTGAAATCTTCATGAATTTCTACTTGAGGAATTTTGTGTCCATGTCCAAAAGGATATTTATACATAGTTTATGTGTATTGCATAAGAAACTGAATTTGATCTTTTCATCTTTCTAATATGTATCTATCGCCATCAAACTATTACTTCATTAATGGTATGACATTATGATCTATTTTTTGTTTGCAATTGTTAGCAGCCTCCTCAATCAAGTTTCTCAAGTAAAGATATCAAAACCCTCCTTTTATTTTCAATTGCTTTACATAATCACTTACAGAAAATAAAACTAGATAGTGAAAAAATAATCAAGAAAGAAAGATTCTAGGACAATTTTATTAGATTCTATATTTCTGTAGCCCACTCAAAAGGGTGATGAATTAGTAAGTTTCAAATGATTTCTTTTCTACTCTACTTTCATGCTCTTATTTGGCTCCTAGAAGCTAAGCTATTTTAAGTCTCTAATTATTTCACACACTATTTATTGTATGGTAAATTGATTATAGGAACTAAACTTTTGAAGTAAGCTCTACATTAATTTTTTGAGTTTTGCTAATACCTTAGCAAAATAGATGCTAAATTATGGGCTCTAGAAGTCCTACATGTTGTATTTAACAACTCTAGCCAGCTTGATATTCTACCCAAAAACTTTCTAGATTCACAAGCTCTAGGAGGTCTAGTAGATTTTGTGTTCTAGTGGGCTAAACAAGAGAGACCCACTCCCTTCTTTTAGATTCTTAACACTTGGGGGTTAATAAAGATCATCTAATTTCGTCTAGATTCATATTCTGGATCAACTTTGAGTGCAAGAAAATTCTAAATACAAGATAGAATGAGTTCTTGTTCTTAGATGCACATCACAATGCTTCTCAAAGGATTGTTCATCTTATTGGAGAACCTCATGAGAGTCTTTTTGGTCTTGAGCATAGCAGGCTGACAAAGGTTTCAGGTGGTCAACAATTCATGGTAGCAACTAGAGTCTTAGAGGAAGGTGGATGTTGAATGTCATGCTTGTTGGTGGAATAATGCTTTTGTGTTTCCTCTATTATATCAACCTCTCAACTTGAGGAGAGATCCCTCTAAGTAGATAGAGTTTACCATGCCAATCCTGATTTCTGGGTTAATCTTTTCATTGGGCAAGGTTAGATATATGATGTAGAGCTATTTCTCCATGATACTATGAAGATTTCTTTTCCAATGAAGTAGAATGTAAGTAAGCATGTACAAAATTGTATTCGGAAGTAATGATAATTACATGCAAAAAAATCTTCCAGGATGACATAAGGGGGACTGGAAATATTTTCTAAAATAAGTGATGTATCAAATAGAAAGAAAACAAGAGGATTAATCCATATCTTCTAGGGTTTGATCTGGAAAATCACACTATCACACCCGACCAACAGCCCTCCACCACATGAAGAAAAAAGCAGATTTAAATTTGATCTAAATACTCAGATTTTTTTTAAGAGACAGATACTGGAACTTGTTGTTTATACTCTCTCTCTCTCTCTCTCTCTCTCTCTCACACACACACACACACACACACACACACACACACCCTCTCTCTCTCACACACAAACACACATGCATACAAAATTTATCTTTTTGAGAAAACTTGAGGAATAGAAAGGGAACAGGAGGAGGACATGACTCCAAATTTTCCAATGTTCAATACTGCAAAACATCACCACTAACAAATCTTCAGTCTACAATTGATTGGTCAACCCATCACTACAAAAGAAAAGGTTGTTACTGTGGCCAGTAGCTTTGATCCGTGTTGATGTAGGACATCATTTTAGAAAAGAAAAGGACAACAAGTTTTTGACCAATGTGACCCAAAACTGGTGGATGCTTGAAAGATGGGCTACAAAGATGAGAAGACCCTAATCGGCCCATAATCAGACTAGGCCCAAAGAAATTTATTCATAGCAGTCATTGTTACCTTGTACTCAATAGATTTGAACCTATTTAAAGACTGAAACATTGTAACTCCATGCACACCTTGATTGTTACGAATTTTTATCTGTATGAGATATTTCTGTTTGCATATGTATTGAAGTACAGTATTGTAGATTTAAGGGAATATTATGATTATTGTAGGCTCAACGACCACTTCAACAAGTACTTGATGATTCAATCATTGAAGATTCCAAGTTCTGAAGATCAGAACTTCATTTATTTACTTTAATTTCGTCTTGTAGATTCAAGGACGAAATTTCTTTTAACGCAACCCCTCTTCCTCCGGCGGGCTCATCTGAACATCCCCATAGAATGGTTCACGCATGTGAATCCCCCGTCCACGAGTAGGTTGAGACCGCTGACGTACCGCGAGTCGTCGCCGGCCAAGAAGAGCGTCGCCGCCGCAACCTCGCCTGCCGTCAACGTGACCCCCTTGAGGTTCGCCCGACTTCCCATGAAGTCGTTGAACACCCTCTCCCCATCTTCGATGCCGTCCCTCGCCGCCGGATCAATAACACCCATCGCGAGCTCGGTGACCACCCCGTAGGGTGAGATACAGTTCACCCGGATGCCGTGCTTGCCGAGCTCTGCCGCGGCACTCCTGGTCATCCCGACAACAGCGTGCTTCGAGACCGTGTACGAGTGGGAAGCGGTGCCCCCGATGACGCCTGCAACGCTGGCGAGGGAGATGATGGACCCCCCCGCCTGCGGGATCATCACACGGGCAGCGTGCTTGATGCCGAGGAAGACACCGAAGAGGTTGACGTCGACCACGCGCTTGAACTCGGCGAGGTCCACGTCGCGGATGTCCCGCACCAACGCGTCGATGATCCCGGCGTTGTTCACCATGATGTCGAGCTTGCCGTACCTCTCAACGGCGAGGTCGACAGCGCGGGCCACGTCATCCTCCTTTGTGACGTCGCCGTGGAGGAAACAGGCGGAGGCACCACCTCCGAGGGACTGGCAGACCCGCTGGCCGCGGTCGTCCTGGATGTCGAGGACGCAGACCTTCGCCCCGTGGCTCCAGAATAGCCTGGTGATTCTCTTGCCGATACCGGATGCACCACCCGTGATCAGCGCCACCTTGCCTTCCAGGCTTCAGAGGACGCATCAAGTAAACAGAAAAAATTGAGACTTTCAACTGGGACGGCTACAACCCTAAATGGAGCTCATCGGGTATTGACTTTTTCAAGCGTTCATCCGCCGCAAAAGTCTTACCGACCCAAGAAACAAAGGAAGAAAGGAGAGATCTTGAGACAAATCAGAAATTCGGATAATACCAAGTTTGACTTTGTCAGCCACATGCGCGGACATCTCGGGGATATTTTGTTATCTTCTGAGATTTAAAATAAACGGACATTGACAATCGCATACCAAAAAGAATGACTGACCTCACACGGAAGAAAATCTGAATTATTTTCAGAAATAATGGTCAACCATGTTCCAAAACTATCGAATAAATTCATAAATAGAGATTTTGCTTCCATCCATAGACTTGAGCGCCTTAGAAATATCGATCATTTTCTCTATAAAATAAACTCGATGGATTCAAGCAGATGATTAAAAAGGATCAGATTAAGTACCCATGAGGATGGGCTTTAGATAAAACCCTCGGAATTCCGAATATTCACAGAGAACTAGGCCATGCCCATGGGTGTGGGGGGGTCAAGGAGAACGCTCAAAAGAGAAGAAACAGAGAGAAGGCGGCGACGACGTACCGTCGGGCGGCGGGGTGGAGAAGCTGGTCGCCAGCAGCTGCGTCTCTAGTGCCCGCGGTGGAAGACATTCCGGCCGGGCGCCTTGATAAGCTGCAGATATCCGGATCAACTGAGGAGAGCAGGGCAGAAGTAGACTGCTATGACGGAGTCTGTGGCCGCCGCTGGTATTATAGAGCTCCCTGCGGTTACTGTAGAGCAGCTCAACCGTCTCGCTTCCGAACAAATTACGAATGCGGTTATTACAGACACATCAAACACTCTTTCTCTCTTTTCCCACGTGTTTTGACGGGGAAAACTGCCTTCGTTGTCGTGGCGAAGCAGATGCATCCCCCTTTTTGACTTCTTGGGGAGTGCGATTCAGACGGGAATTTTCTAATTGAAAAATCAATTATGTTTTGATTCGTAATGAGACCAGTTGTCCTAAGTAAGGATATATTAGAGTATCAATTCATGTGATTTCATTTTGTTTTATAATTTACACAAGAAATTTATTTAAGTTTAAAATACTAAAACATGAGAACTAATTCGTAAGTTCTAAAATAAGGTAATAATAGACCAAATACTTAGAGCTGTTTGATTCAGAATATATAAAGTCATAATTATAAATATTTAATTCACATATGAGACATTTAGGGAGGAATGCATGCAAAGATTAATTTTTTATACTTCAGCACTTTCTGTCGGATTATTGGAAAAAGACATTGAATGAAAAAGCAGTAAATGATTTCTTTTCTTTTTGTTGCTGGACTCTACTTTCCCTCATTTGTGATTATTTTTTCTTTAAGATTTATCGTTCTCCCAGACTCATGCTACTTTATTTCGAGATATAATTGTGTCATTAGTAAAAAAATATGGAGAAGGTTGCAAACTCCACCGAGGGTAATGCACCCATATTTTCATTTTTAAATCATGAGAGAAAATTAATGAGAAGAGTGGTTGGATTTTGGGGTAGAATGTATAGAATTCCAGATGGAGTAGATTTTACCAAATAAAATTTTCTCTTTTAAAATCGAACTTGAAGTAGTGAAGGGAATGGTAATGGCCATGCTTTAGGGGACTGAAGGCTCAATATTTTAATATATTTTTCCATTTGGTCAGTGAATAATTTCGCAAATTAAATGGCTTGACCCTTTGTGAGATGATAAGCGAAAAAATATCAGCAATGATCAATGTAACTTCAGCATTTGGATGGGGGAGTAAGCTTTTGAAGTAAGGTCATTTTTGATTCAATCTTTGGAATCATAAGCCGGATTTTGGTTATTTTTAATTAAATCATAGGAATAGCACAATTTTAGAAACTATTGAAAACTTATTGACTAATTATAAGTAAATTTGTCACCTAGTAGTGATGATGTGTAACCATCTATCATTGTTCGAAGTGCCATAGAATAACTTGTGAGATTTTAGGGCAGATTCTAAAATATTGAATGGTATGAGGCATCAAGTGAAACCAATTGAATGTATGGAAATATTATGTTTTTATTATTTTATTACTATTATTTGAAATTATTTTAGATTGATCTGATTAGAGAATTTCTTGAGATTGATCTTCATTATCAAATTCAATTTCAATGATAGTACTTGGATCATATTTGTTGAATGGAAAGATAGCAGGATGGGTGATGAGGTCCACTAAGAGAATGCAAGAGAAAAAACTCTTCTAACTCACTTTCTAGTGTATGTTGTATACCTGACCTGGTCAAAAAACGATATTTATCACCTACTTGGTCCACCTTAAAAGCTTTGACAAGAAGCACCAGTCTGTGGCAATTGCCAAAAAATATAGCTTCCAATATAACCATGAAGAAAATGAGAATTGAGCAAACAATGCACAAAATAGTAGTATAAATATGCTCTATGATGTCAGCTTTGATTATGGTTGATTGATCCAGGAAAGCAAGTCCAAAAATCAATGAGATGATCAAATCATTGTGAGAACATGTGCCGAGAACAAAATATCATAAGGATTGTTTGTCCCTAGAAGATGAGTATGAGAATCAGCTTGAATACAAGAACTAGCTATTGCTTTAGAATAATGAACTATGTCTCAAGGATAGAAGGTAGAAGGTCTACGAGAAAAATAGAAAGACCAGAGATTAAACAATGGTTTCTTTATAAAATATGGTTCTCTTTTCGAAATTCCAAAAAATTAACTTCACAAAAGAAATTTCAAGATAAGGCTTGATTCTTGGGATGTTAGAAAATAGTATGTTTTTCAAATCTAGATCCTTATCTATAAGTAGTAGTTGGTGTACAAGACATAAATTCTGCAGCTTAGATTTCATCTCAGTGATTCAGAACTTTAGAAAAAGGGGACATTTGATGAGTGAAACATGGGATTAATGATGCAGATTAGTTGTCTCCTAGATATTGAAATAACAAGTCATTGAGGGTCAAGATGTGATAAAAAAATTCCAAATTATTCCCCTTATTAGTTTGACCCTAAAGATAGGTGGGATCGACTATTTTTCAAGTTCAAAATATTTCAATTTTTGTATATAATTAGTTAAATTATGATAAACCATTACTGTTATTCCCAATTATGTTGATCATTAGAATGTATACTTCAATCATTACTTACTTTTTTCACATGAATATCTTCTAAATTTTCAATATATATATATATATATATCTGTTGTCCTTTTTATTTGTTTCCACCAATCACTAAAAATTATCACTTTTGGTTATAGTTTTTATTTAAAGTAAAAAGCATTTGACATTAACCATAGACACGTCAATCAACATAAAATTCTAATGTTTTTTTAAAATCAGCATGCAAACATCATGCAAATCACTTTCTCAAAAATTGTCAAGAAATCCTGAACCGATTTCAATTAAACTTTCTAAATAAATTTTGAATTAAAAATATAAATTTAATTTAAACTACATACCTCCTTCCCACTTTACCTTGAAATTTTTTTTTTAAGAATGTTAAATTTATCTGCGCACAGAGGTTTAGTAAACATATCAGATGAGTTGAAATTTCGTGTCAACAAAATTTTTAAAAATATTATTCATACTCACATCATCTTGGATAAAATAATGTTTGATGTCTATGCATTTTCTTCTACAATAAATGATATGATTCATAGGAAAGATAATTAAACTTGTATTGTCACACATAACTGTGAAGTTTTTAAGACAATCTTATAATCTCTTAGTTGCAATGTAAGCTATAAAATTTGGGCACAAGATAACTTGGCAGCTATATATTTAGCTCAAATTATGGATAAAAAAACTTTTTCTTATTCCTTAAGTGTCTAGGAAATCTTGAGTGCCCCTAACATCAAACATGCTACTTGTAATACTTTTATCAATTAAATTTTCAGAAAAACCTGAATCATTGTGTTCCACTAGTTTCATTTCAAACTAATTTTATAGAGATCAAACTATCAAAGTATCTTTAAATAAAATATAGGTAAAAATTCATATTGAACTGTGATTTTTCAAATAACTTTAAAATTTGTCACATAAAAAAATAGTTGAAACATATGAAGTTGTTATCAAATATAATATAAATATTGTCATTCCTCTATATGTTTTTTGATCTGTAGGTTTTCTATTATTACCATGATCAACTTTGATCTTTTTCTCCACAAATTTTCATATGAAGATAGAAAACTATATCATCAAGATATGCATAAGTATATATTTTTATTTGGTAAATAGAGTTATGTGCATGCTTACTTTATTTAAACAGTTTGTTGGTAAAAGTGATGTTGACTTCTCATGCCAAGGTCTATGAGCATCCTTGAGACCACAAGAGGCTTTAAATAATTTCATAACATAATTGGGATAATTGTAAATTTATAAAACTAGGCATTGAAAGACATACTTCATTTTTAATTTCTCGTCTTAAAACTACACTCTTCACATTTATTTGGTATAAATTATTTGTTTGTAACATCGATATGTGAAAAAAAAATTAATTACATATAATCTGGTATATGATGTATGAGGTTTATCATAAATTATTACTTGAGTTGGGCATATCCTTATATAACTATCCTTGGTTTCTTCGTAATAACTTTTTCTTCATCATTTATTATTTTTGGAAAATATATTTGGTTCTTAACATTCATCTATTTCCTCTCAAGAAGTGATGTCCAATAGATAAGATTTGAAGTAAACTTTCTTCACCACAATTCCTATAACATTTGGTTTTACATTAAATTCAACAAGATATCAAAAAACAAAAATATGAGTATGAAAGCTTACTCAATTTATTTCTCTCTCATAATATTCGTTCATTACTTTCCAATATCAGTCTAATCAACTACATTCGAAATTATTATTTAATTAGATAAAAATTTCATAATTATTAGTAGATATACTGTTTGATAATGTCATTATCATTCTAAATCACTATAAGTGTAGTTACTAATTTTAAAATCTTGATTGAATGTGTTCACTTGAAGATTTTATTCTATGTGAAGTAATTCACATAGATTTAATTGATAAGTTATCATGTCAATAAGACACAAGTCACTATTTTGCATTCATACCTTGGAATCTATATTGAACAGAATTTTATGAAACCAAATAAATAGGAATGTAATGACATGAAATGATTGAATCTTGGTTTCACAAAAGGATATCTGAAAATGAACACAATGAAACCTCACATCAGATTTTTAGAAATTCGAATTTATGTTTATTCCAAGAGAAATAGATGTTGAAGACCTCAAAGAGTTTGACTTAAAATCATATGTTTATGCACATACGATTTACATAAAAAAATATATAAAAGATTTCGAATGGATAAATAGTTGTCCAAAAGTTTTCACCATCAGCTCAAGCTCTTGACAATAGCACTCTTCAGTAAGAATTTAGTGAAAGTAAAGTGAGGTTATCACAAACAATCTCTCTTGACTCTATGTGAGTTGTTTCTCACTCCATCATAGCTACCATTATTTCAAGGAGGACAAAAATAATTTAGCATCAACCTTCTTCAACTTTGTGAGAACTCTAAATGAACATCAAGTCAATATCAACCTCTAAAAATATTCAATGAAGATTTTTTATTATTTTTATTGAAATAAATCTGATAACTCTTATTTATCATAAGTAGAAACTATCCCAGCCAGCAATGCTTTGGGCTCCTAAAGTCAAGAATCTAGAAAGAAATTTCTAGGTGAAATTTCATGGAGACTATCCCCATTAAATAGCAATTTGGCCTACTAAAGTTGTGAATCTAGAAATGAGTTTCTCGATGAATCTCTAAAAATGTTGAGCCAAGTAATTAGTATTTTATGATTAGATGATCATACTTTGTGAAACTCAAGAAGAAAGAAATTTCTCCAAGAGTGGATGTAAATAATTAGTCAAACCACTGTAAAATCATAAAATCTTCTTAAGTGAAATAGGATGTCTGATATACTTGTAGGTCTAAAAGAAGATTTATATTAGAATAAATCTTATCTAAGACTAACATAAAAGTAGATCAATTCCTCCACCTTCCTGATCTTAGTACATGAAAAACCCCAACAAGTGGTATCAAAGACAACCTCTACAAATATAAAAGAGTTTTTCTAGAGTAGTTCCTATGGCAAATACACCATGAAATTGCCTAGAAGGGGATTCGTTCTACATACCACCTCTATTCAACTGATCAAACTATATATCTTAGAAAAGTAGAATGGAAACATATGTATAGGGTGTATACTACCAACTGTGGGAAGTCATTATAGATGATTAATTAGTATTAAATAAGAATTGACCCATAGAGAAATGCAGAAAAATGTTGTTTCTGAATGTTAGAGTCAAAAGTATTTTGATTAGAAAAGTAGATGCAAAGATATTCAACAACATGCTAACATAAATTTTTTTCAAAGAAATATGGGACAGGTTACAAATAACATATGAAGTTACTATTAGAGTGAAGAAGTAAAAACGATATCAATTGATGTAGAGGTATAAAATGTTCTCCATAAATAAAAAATATGACAAATGTCTTGACAATTTTTTTGACAAATTTATTGACATTATGAATGACTTGAAAAATCTAGGGAGGTGGTATCTTTTTAAAGACATGAATAGAAAAATAGTTGTCATTATCTCCACATTGGAGAGAAAAATTCATTGCAATCAGATCAATCTAAATATATTGATGAACTATCTCTAGATGATCTCTTGGATCTTTGTTGACATATGAGATGGGACTAAGAGAGGACAAATTAGAAATACACATACACAAAGAAAAAAATCACATTAATAACACTCGTGATGACTAATGAATCAACTTTATCTATAGATGAAGAGGAAGATGGAGAAGACTTGGCCATGTGGACTTGGAAATTAAAGAGACTTTCTAAACCAAGGAATAAGAAGTTTGTCAAGACTCAAAAATCTTCTACTCTTATGAATGATACATCTAAGGATGAACTAACTTGATTTGAGTGTAAAAAGCAAAAAAATGAAAGTTGATTGTCCATGGATAGATTCTGAAAGAGAAATAAAGAAAGTAATGATGGCTATATGGAGTGATAAAGATAACTCATCCTCTTGAAATGAAGATGCGAAAGAGAATATGTGATTTGCTGCTCACAACCTTGAGATAAGTGAGTTTTATGATGAAGAAACATCTAAAGAAGAATTTATAAAACTACTTTTTAAATTCTGATCTACTTTAACTAGAGAAGAAAGCAGTCATAAGAAAACTAGAAAGGTGAACCTGAATTGAAAGAAGAAAATAAAAAACTAGAAAAAGAAATGAAAACCATGTCTGAATAAATAGAAGCGAATCAAAAATATATGGAAAGGCAGAATCATGAAATTGAAGCACCATCTATTGATTCAACTGAGTTGAATGTTAAGTTTGAAAACATAAGGAAAAGTGGAGAAATAATCCACTCTAAAAAAATGGTGAACATAGCTGAAAAAGAGAAGAAAAATCAGATGATTTTTTCTAAAATTTAAGAATAGCTAGCTAAAGTTAGAAAAACCATTTAGATTCTCAACATAGATACATGAATGAAGAGGGAATAGAACATATTGGGAAATTCAATGAGAAAGGACTGAGAAATTAATCAATGCTACTCATTATACTCTGGTACACAAAAATAGTAACATGAGTAGGAGAAGTGATATCCCTACACCCTGATTTAGATAGTCCAAAAGTTACAAGAAAAGATTTACAAATAGAGAAGAATCAAAGAAATACTCTAATTAGAAAGCTTGACTAATTGGTATTTTTTAAATTGATATTCAAGAAAATTAGAAACATAAGTCCAAGTTATGTCTAGATACCCATTATAAAATAGTTCTATGTCTTTCAAGGGTCTCTATGGGTGGAAGAAGTTTTTATGATACTTTGATAGCAAATGTTTAAGGCACTTGATTGGAGAGACAAGGTGGCTCACCTCATTGTTGAAAGGAAAGAGGTGATGTTACATTTAGGGTAATTTAAAGAAAATAATAATTAGCTATAAAATTATAAAAGTAAATCAAAATAACTTAATTAATAAATTCATGTCAGTGAAAAGCTTAGATCACAATCTTCTTAGTATCAATCAATTATGTGATAACAATTTTAAAGTGAATTATGACATAGATTTTTTTCTACATATTTAATACAATCAATTATGAAATGTGGTGTATATAACTTATCTACATGATATGCTTAATTCTATCATGTGCTTACTTTCTCATGATCTCATTCATTTGATAAAATTATGGTATGACAAGATTAGGACATGTAAGCTCTAGAATAATAGCAAAATTCTAAGGCATGTCTATTCTAAATCTAAATGATGAATTCAATTGTGTGGCATGTAGTAGAAGGAAACTAGTAAGAAATCTCATAAATCCAAAGATGTGGTTACAATATGTTGACTTTTATGACTACTATGTACAAACCGATTTAGATTACTAAGATGGTGAGTATGAGAAGGAAAGGCATATACTTGTGATAGACTCAAGATTTGCATGGTACAATAGTCTTGATAAATTCAATAATTTCAGTAAGGAAATAAGGAATAAAATGGAATTGAAAATTAAGAAACTATGTTTTGGAGTCATTATTTCTAACCCACTAGTTTGGGCATCAATAAAAATATTATAATACTATTACACTTGAGAAAATGAAAAATAAAGCTTAGAATAGGTACTTCAAATGGTTCAATGAATTATTACCTTTTGAAAGGTAGGAGTAATAAGCTCCCCACTTGAGCTATGCAAGAGAAGATAGTACACAATTCTTTACAACCCATGCTTTCAAAGAAATAAAAATGAACTACAAAAAAATTACAGCTGGAGCTAAGGTAAGGCCATAAGACAACTAACCAGGCTAATCATTATCCAAATCATTCTAGCTCCAACAATATTCAAACTGTGAAGGCATCTTGTCTTTGGAGCATGAAATGAAATCTACACAGCTCCATCTGACTACCCTTTGCTATGACAGATTCAAACCTACCATGATACCAAAATATCATGAAGCTAATTTGCACCAATTGGATGAGTCCTGCACATTTAGTAAACAACATAGAAATGGAATAAGAAGCTAATGTTGTGTAATGCAGGTCAAAGACTGCAATTGGAACTAAGAACATCACATAGAGCTTGAGAAATCGAAAACCTCGAATACAAGAGGAACTAGAAGTTCAGAACAAAGCTCAAGCAATCACAAGATAATGATTTTGCCTTCTCACAATAGCAGATGGTGCTTGGGCAGTGCAACCAAGAGAGACCCTTCAGCCATCATGCGCAACACCTCAGCTCAAGTGAACTGCAGTTCAGCATTGTCTCATCATTTTTCTTTGGTTCACTTGACTTCTTGTCTAGTTTACACTTTTACTACTAATACTTTTGAGAATAGTATTGTATGCTCAAGATGTAAGTATTGTAAAATGATCTCTTTCCCAATATAAATATCAGACAATTTCAATAGTGCCTTATTTGACTTTTTTTTATTAATGTTTTTATTATTAAAAAACACGAAACAAAGTATTTTAGTTTTAGAATCCAGATGAATTTTTTTTACATTAATTTAAAAATCGGAATATTTTTTTTAATTTCATTTTAATATGTGACCTTTTAATTAATGTAAAAATTCAGATGAAAATATTCTTGTGTAAAAAATCAAATGAAAATTTTAACTTGGGTGTAAAAATTGAGATAAAATTTGTTCTTTTAATTTCGAAATTCAGACGAACATTATTAATTTTTCAGTGGAAAACTCTCTCTCTCTCTCTCTCTCTCTCTCTCTCTCTCTCTCTCTCTCTCTCTCTCGCTCGCTCACACACACACACACACACACACACACAATTGATCCATCTCTCTGGGGAAATTCCAAGAGTAGCAGAGAAACACGAGGGGGACTGCGCTCCAAATATTGCAGCGTTCGATTCGGAGCATAACACCGTCACCAGCAAATGCTCGAGACTACGAACCCGACCAGCTATCCCACCACAACAGGAGGAAAAAGCCGCAGCCGCTTACTGCGACCCGCATCTTCTCTTCCTCTGGCGGCATCACCTGAACACCCTCATGGAGTGGTTCACGCACGTGAATCCGCCGTCAACGACGAGGTTGAGACCGCTGACGTACCGCGCGTCGTCGCCGGCCAGGAAGAGCACCGCCGCCGCCACGTCGCCGGTCGTCATCGTGACCCCTTGGAGGTTCGCCAGGCTTCCCACGAAGTCGTTGAACGCCCTCGTCGCATCGTCGTTGCCGTCCTTCTCCTCCCCGGGCAAATGCGGCACCGCGAGTTCCGTGGCCACAGCGTAGGGGGAGACGCAGTTCACGCGGATGCCGTGCTTGCCGAGCTCCGCCGCAGCGCTCCTGGTCATCCCCACAACGGCGTGCTTCGAGGCCGTGTACGCGTGGGGGCCGAGGCCGCCGATGGCGCTGGTGACGCTGCCGAGGGAGATGATGGAGCCAGCCGCCTGCGGGATCATCGCGCGGGCGGCGTGTTTGGTGCCGAGGAAGACGCCGAAGAGGTTGACGTCGACCACGCGCTTGAACTCGGCGAGGTTCACGTCGCGGATGTCCCGCACCAGCGCATTGCCGGAGATGCCGGCGTTGTTCACCATGATGTCGAGCTTGCCGTACCTCTCAACGGCGAGGTCGACAGCGCGGGCCACGTCATCCTCCTTTGTGACGTCGCCGTGGAGGAAACAGGCGGAGGCACCGCCTCCGAGGGACTGGCAGACCCGCTGGCCGCGGTCGTCCTGGATGTCGAGGACGCAGACCTTCGCCCCGTGGCTCCAGAATAGCCTGGTGATCCTCTCGCCGATGCCGGATGAGCCACCCGTGATCAGCGCCACCTTGCCTTCCAGGCTTCAGTCAGAGGACCCATCAGATAAAAAGAAAAAAGTTAAAAGGACCTTCAACTGGAACAGCCCCAACCCTAAGTTGAGCTCATCGGGCAGTAGACTTTTTCAAGCGTTCATCTTCTAGTTCGACCCAAGAAAGAAAGAAAGGAGAGATCTTGCGACATATCAGAAGTTGACCGCTCGGTGATATTTTGTCATATTCTGGGATTCAAAAATACACTGACAATTGCGTATCAAAAAGTGACCAAAAACCAATGACAGGCCATCTGATTTTTTTTCAGAAATAATTTATAATGGGCAGCAATGTTGCACGATTATCGAATAAAACTATAAATGGAGATTTTGTTTCCTTCCATTACCTGAGAGCCTTCTAAATCTCGATCAGTTGCTCTATAAAATAAACCGGATGGATTCAAACAGGATCTCACATAGTCAAATTAAGTACCTATGAAGAGGATTTTAGATAAAAACCCTCGGAGTTTCAAATGGGCACGGAATTAGGCCTTGCCCTTGGGTTCATCAACTAAGACAGCCCCAAGAAAACAGCGCAGCTGACATAAATAAGGGGAAAGGATCCGCTGACCTCTAGAATCCGATACCTATCTAGATGAAATAGGATGTTGTATGAACATTTGAACTGATTTTAGAGTCTATGCGAAAAGTGGGAAGAAAGAAACAGTCAAAGCCAACTATTGAGCAATTTTGCAGACCAGTATATGCAGTCTAATTTAACCAGGCTAATTCAATCAAGTACTGGCTGATTCTGGGCCAATTCCGATCTACTCAAGAAAGGACGATATTGGGGATGAGGTGAATAGTGGTCTTCGCAGAAAAGCAAATAAAATCCAAGGAAAGAAACCTCATTTCTCCCAGATTATTACCATTAACTAGAAGCGCCCAAGTCATTGAAAGCGGCAGAGAGATGGCCAGAAAGAGATCTGACTCATCAGCTTTTAACCATGACAAACCCGTCGAGCAATATTTTACATGGGCATAAGCTCCGACCTTAGCTGCATCCGGGTATTTTTGCACAGGGATGTCTACGCTCGGAATGGTCAGAGGTAGAAAGCGATGACTCTGATCGAAATCATCTGATAAACTCGAACGAAGAGAAACAGAGTCGCCCATTCTTGGGAATTTCGGAAACAAGTACCCCCATGGATCAGGGATCAACGCAATTAAACCTGAATTAGATGGTCAGAACCAGTCAAAATCCACAAGCATATCTCATGGTGTCTCCCTCTAGGTATCTTTAAGGAACTGAAAAATGAGACGCAGTCTTCACTTCTCCACTTACAGTGAGCGTACACCTGGCCAACATTCAACTGATAGAACGACGGCGATGGCCGGACCGGAAGGATCCCGTGATTTTGAAATTCAAGAGGGCATGATCTGTCGGAGGGGGCAGGGCTTCCAGAGGGGAAAAGGAACGCCCAAAAGAAAAAGCAACGGAGAGAGAAGGCGGCGATGACGTACCGTCGGGCGGCGGGGTGGAGAAGCTGGTCGCCGGCGGTTGCGTCGCTGGTGCCCGCGGTGGAAGACATCCCGGCGGGAGCCTTGATACGCTCCAGAGCTCCGAACCAACTGAGGAGAGCAGGGGGGAAGTAGATGATTGCTGCGAGAGGGTCTGTGGCCGCCGCTGATTTTTAGATTGGTCCGGCGGCTACTCAGCAAGCCCACCGTCTTTTCTCTTCCAATAAACTACGAATGCCGTCAAGCCACAGCTCACCCCTCCCCACCGTCATCGCCATCCTCTGTCTTCCGTTTCCAAGGTATTTTACTACAGAAAGCAGCCTTTGTTGTCGTGGCATAGCAGATGCTTCCCCATTATGGATTCCTAAAGGGCTCAATACAGACAAGCAGACATCGACGGGGGGATACGGGAGGGAGGGCGATTGCCAGATTATTCAGATATTAGCCTGTCCATTAATACTCTCTCTCTCTCTCTCCCTCGCTATAAATATTTCATGACGCCTAAGGATGTGACCTTAATAGTCTCCCCACATTTCTTTACTCTCTCTATCTCTCTCTCGCTATAGATATTTCATGATGCCTAAGGATGTGACCTTAACTCTCTCCCAATGTACATATATTTAATGGTTCCCAAGCCCCTGACCTTAATCCTCTCCCTATATTTTTTTTACTCTCTCTCTCTCTCTCTCTCTCTCTCCCTCTCTCTCCCTCTCTCTCTCTCCCTTTATATATATATATATATATATATATTATCTTTCCTGAGCATGTGACCTTAACCATCTCCCTATATTTTTTTACACTCTTTCCCTCTCTCCCTTTATTTATATATATTTCATGGTTTCTACGCCTGTGACCGTAATCCTATCCCTAGATTTGTCTATCTATGCATGTATATTTCATGGTTTCTAAGCCTGTGGCCTTTGCTCTCCCTAGATTCCTTTACTCTCTCTCTCCCTCTATCTGATGCTGGAGGCTGTGAGGCTCCACGTCGCCGTGCTGAAAGGGGGACTTGAGGATCACACCTACCGCTGCAACCTCCTCCTGCGAGCCTGCGCGAGGTCCGGCGCGACCCGGCACGCCGATGACGTCCTCCGGAGGATGCCCTCGCCCAACCTCGTCTCCTTCAACACGGTGCTCGGGGGTCACCTCCGCCACCGCCGTCCCGACGACGCCCTCGCGCTCTTCCGCCGTATGCCGGCGGCGGACTCTCGCACCTGGAACATCCTCATCGCAGGGCTCGTCCGCAACCAGAGGCACGGCGAGGCGGCGGCGCTCTTCACCGGCATGCTTCGGGGCAGCGTCACGCCCGACGACGTCACCTTCGCCGCTGTTCTCCCCTGCTGCGGCCTCCTCCTCGGGCGCCAAGTCCACGCGCTCGCGGTGAGGGTTTGCTCCTGGGCAGACCCCGTCCTGGGAACCAATCTTGCCAGAATGTACGCCGCAGGCGGAGAGATCTATGATGCTGAGAAGGTGTTCGAGGATATGGCGGATAGAGACCTGGTTGCCTGGAATGCCCTGATCTCTTCCTACTCCAAGCTCCGGATGGGCGACCGCGGCTTGCGGCTCTTCCGTCAGATGATGGTTTGCGGGACGAGGGTGGATGCCTTCACCATCGCCGCTGTTCTCGACGAGATCGCGGGAAGGTCGTGCATCTGCGGCGGGATGCAGATTCATTCGCTGATGATCAAATCCGACTTGACTGGGGATCGCTTTACCTGCAATGCGCTGCTGAATCTGTACTCGAAATGGGGTTCCCCGGCCGATGTAGGCAAGCTGTTCGACGAAATACTGGAACCAGATCCGGTGTCCTGGACTCTGCTGATCGCAGCGTTCTCGCTGAGCGGTCGCCAGGACGAAGCAATGGAAACTTTCCTTCGGATGCGGATCTCTGATGTTCGCCCCAATTCGTTCACCTTCGGAAGCTTGATCAGCTCCTTCTGCGGCACCAACTCCTTTGACGGCGCCAAGCAATTCCATGCTCTAATCTTGAAGACTGGATTGGAATCCGACGTCGTCGTCGGGAGCGCCATCGTCGATACCTATTCGAAGTGTGGCGATATTATGGACGGGATGAAGCTCTTCCGAAGCTTGCCTCGTAAGGATCTCGTTTCCTGGAATGGAATCATCTGTGGCCTGGCTCAGAACGGCGAAGCAGCAAAGGCCATGGAGATCTTCGACGAGATGGTGGCGCTCGACCGGGACGACGCCGTCCCCAATGCCGTGACCTTCGTCGGCCTTCTCAGCGCCTGCAGTCACGGCGGCCTGGTCGGCGAGGGGCTCCGATACTTCTCCAAGATTCTCCCAGCGTACTCGATCTCGCCGCAGGCGGAGCACTACGCCATCGTCATTGACATCCTAGCTCGCGCCGGACTAGTGGAAGAGGCGGAAGCCATCCTCGCGGCGTCTCCTCTCCAACCTGATGCGGTAACCTGGAGCACGCTGCTAGCGGCATGCAGGAAGCACGGGAACTTGACCGTGGCGAGGCGCATAGCCGGAAAGCTTCTCGCCGGCGGCCGGGAGGATCCCTCGCCCTGTGTCCTGCTGGCAAACCTGTGCTCCGCCGGCGAGGAATGGAGCCGCGCATCGAAGATCAGGGAACTAATGACCACCGGCGGCCACGAGAAGACGCCTGGCAATAGCTGGATTGAGATCAGGGGCTACCGCCATTCCTTCAGCGCTGGTCTGGCTCACCATTTTCCCGATCGCCATTCACTTTATGATACCCTTCAAACGTTGCAGTCCCACTCGTTCAGTTTGGCCCTTAACCTCGGGTGAAAGAGAGAGAGAGAGAGAGAAAGGGCCTAAACACTAATTATACTTAAACATCTGGACAAAGGAGAATTTGGCCATTATTTGGGTTTTTGTAGAAACTTATCAAGTTACTTATTAGGACCGGATCCTTCCGTTCTTTGGCCTCAAGCTCGGGTTAGAGAGAGAGAGGGCATAAACATTGATTGCACTAAACATCAGGGCAAATGAGAATCTGATCATTATTTTGGGTTTTTATCGAAAACATCAAGGTTATTATTACTGCGGGATCCTTCTGATGTGGGGTCTGCTTCCGATGAAGGTTGGATTAGAAGACTAGATAGAGATAGTGTCTAAACAATTATTATACTTAAACATCAGGACAAATGAGAATATGACGCATTATTTTTGGTCTTTTCGAAGATTCTCAAGGTAGTTATTAAAGGGGTCCACTTCCAATGTTTTGCCTCACGCTGAGGTTAGAGAGAGAGAGAGAAAGAGAGAGAGAGAGGAAGGGGCTAAACAATGATTACGCTAAAACTTAAGGACAAATGAGAATATGATGCATTATTTTTGGTCTTTTTGAAAAGTATTAAGGTTGTTATTAAGCGGGGTCCCCTTCCAATGTGGGGTCCACTTTCTGGGACGGCTCTTCCTCTCTCTCTCTCTCTCTCTCTCTCATTTATGCTTTTGGCGGAGCTGCGGCAAGGCAAGGGCCAAGATAGGGCCGCCGTTTGGGCCATTTTGGGCCTCATTTCGGAACAGGCCCATATAGGCCCGTTGGTGGTGTGGGTGGTGTGGGTGAGGTGACTGAAACTGCCAGTAAGGGGATTCCGCCGCCGTCTCGGTCGTCCAGCCGAGTGAGACCGAGGGAGAAGCCATGGCGACGGCGAGCCTGCCACTGCCGGAGGGCCTGAGGCTGGGTTTCGTCGGTGCGGGGAAGATGGCGGAGAGCATTGCCCGGGGAGTGGCCATGTCCGGCGTCCTCCCCCCGTCGAGCATCCGCACTGCCCACCGGCTTCCCGAGCGGAGGGAGGTCTTCCGATCTTTTGGGGTCAAGATATTGGAGAATAACGCACAGGTGAGGGAAATTATGAGATGGATGATTTAAGAATTCAAAAAATAAATTCCTGACCCCACACCGGCTCCTTGCTTGACATATGTTGTCTCTGATGCCATTCAACGAGCGGAGAGAAGAACGTACTCGCGCCCGCGGTTGATCTATGTCGTCTTTGATGGATAGACTTGGCTTCCTCGTTTGATTTTTCTCTATCTGCTCTTCTTTATGTATGATTCCACTCATAAACTTGTCGTAATTGAGCTTTTGTTAGCCATCTTTTATAATTTGTACGAAAAAACTTTATCTTACGTCCTGTTGATCCCTGGATATTAAAAATACGTATATGTGAGTCACTCATACTGAAAAAATTATATGAATGTTGATTTGAGTACATTCCTTTTAACATCAATTCCTTCTATGTGGATCACTATTTATTTTAGCATAGTAGAATTTCTTATCTCCAGGTTCCTGAGTTGTAATCCTTTTTTAGGGTCAATGTGAGGGAAGTGAGAAAAGAATCCCAAATGGGAAGCAGCAAATCTGGAAAAAGGATGCTAATATCTGTTAGTCGGCGTCGTTAATTACTGCTTTTGAATTGAATAATATATTCATTCAACATATGCTACGAAATGGGAGGAACTTCCCACGCATTAGCCAGCTCTCTTAGCCTGATTTCGTAATTTCAAAATGCTTCATTTGGCTTGAGAGACTGTTTTTATCATACTCGAGTTTGCAACATTCATTTTATCATGCTTCATTTTGAATACTTCTCTCTTGTTACAACTGTACATTCATTGTTGAAACATGCTACATATCCCTTGAGAAACTCATTCTATTTTTTGACCTGAGTTTACAACATTTATTTTGTCATGCTCCATCGTCTTTGCAGACTTCTCCCTTCTTGTGACTGTGCTGTGATCTTCCGGTGTTTTAACTCTTTGCGTTGTCAATAGGTTGTTGACGATTCTGACGTAGTCATTATTTCTGTCAAACCTCAAGTAGGTAAGTGATTTTTTTGGTAACATATCATTTATGTGACCCATTTTATAATGTCAATTGTCAAAATATCTGAAGTACAGGGCTAAGCTGCGTTTTTAGAGTTCCATGTTTGGGGGCTCCCTTATAACGTATAACAGGAAACATTCATATTACAGCTCTTCTTTGAAAATTCTGAACTATGTTTAGGCATATTCCTAACCATATATTTAGTTGCCAAAATTAAATATTAATGCTTGAGGACCCTAGCTTATAACAAAGATCTTAAGTCCCTTCCTATCTTGGTGGAAAATGTTGGAAACACATTGTATAATGCAGATTTTTTAAGGGTTGTGCTTGCAGATATCCACTATTTTCATTTCAGTGATTAATATTAAGATGATATGGAGTAACAATTCATTTAAGGTCGTGCCCTTCTTTTGGTAAAAATAAATTACTTCATTCATGGAATGGGTCCCACATGCTGCACGGAATGTGGGAATCTAGGTGGACACAGCAAATTGATTCAATGACATTTAATGCGCAATGGACTCTTTTCTTGACTGCTTGTATAGGATAATATCCATTATGCGATCATGATGATGACTTTATGGACTCTTTCAGATTAGAACTAAAAATGGGAAACATTCTGTGGAATACATGAATGGATATCCATTGTGCTTGAGTACTCATTGCCATTTGAGGTATCTCCTGAAACGAAGAGAGAGAGAAACGGACGGAGTGGAGGAGGAATTTCTTTGTCTCAGAGGACAAAACGGAGGAGCGGAAAGCACCTCACTTTTTATTCCCATTTATCACCCATTATATAGGGTGAGAACCCTACATGATATCTCCAATATATCATCAGGCTATTACAATATTCCACCACAATATGATCACGATTTAGAGATCCAACAGCATCCACTTATTTCAGACAAGAATCACTCAAATTGGGACATTGGATTGTTCAAAACTCGATTAAAATCGTTGAGAATCAACTTGGCAGATCCAAAGAAAGTCATCTGTTTCTGAATCATTTTTCTCTTACATTCCTATAACAGAACACCTTTTGAATGAACTTCTATAAAACTAACACCATTTTCTTTAATTGTGAAATAATATTGAACATTATAGTTGAAAATGTTTAAACTTAAACGTACCATATAGTGTCCGGAATCTATGATGGAGGTTAACAATAGTATATATACAAGCTTAGATGATGAATCCACAAACTGTTCTTGCTGGTAGGGGGGGGATACGGAAATTTGTATTCTCATTCTTACTCACATGTTGGAAGTAATTTACATCCATTCTGCTGATCTCACCTGATCATGCTCAATCATCTCTGCACTAAACACACTAGTTAGTTCGCTGAAAACCGTCATTCATTCCAAACTGGACAAAAATATCATTTCGTCCAGGATCCCATATAGAATACTTTGTGTGATATTGCATTCATTTATCTTCCATGCTCATATTTTGTCAATCGAGGGCCTGAAATTATACAGTTTACCTTCTCTCCCAAAAGTCAAACCAATGACTCCTATGGCTATCTCTAAAATGGAGTTGAGCAGAATAAAAATGTTTTTGTGTGGTTTAAAGCTTCCAGTATTTCCCACCCTATCACAAGTGAAAGACTTTGACTTAAAAAAAAATATTGACTATTATAAAGTAAACCTATATGAAAGTTGATTGTTCCATATTATCATGACATATTATGGGAGACTCGTTTTTTCGAAAACTACATTATCAATTATTCCGAACATAAGCGATATTTATTCTCTTATAAAAATAAACATTATCTTATAACAGATTACCTCCAAGATAACTGCAGTAAAATGAAATGGCGCACATTTTGAATCATAAAACACTTTCTGCTCTTTGTATAGTGTTTCTTTCATGTGGATAGTATCATACTTTTAGCATTCTTGAAAACCAAATTTAAGCTTCGAGCTTGATAAATAGTTTGAGGAGAGTAAGCATTATTTACATTTAGATGCATTTTGCCCAAAAAAAAATTTGCCTTTGGTTTAGATGTTTCACACAAGACACAAATGAAATGCTACATTTTGGGTGATACTTCCCACCTTTCTCGGCCTCACACTGGATAGCAATGACTAATAATTAATAGTTTTCTCAGGTCTTGTCAGACTTCACTTACTGACAAGAGGATGATTCGGTTTTTCGCAGTGAAGGATGTCCTGCTGGAGCTAAATCCGTTATTTTCAGAGGGAAAACTTTTAGTTTCTGTCGCTGCTGGAATTAAGATGAAAGATCTCCGGGTACATAAATTCATCATCTTCCTCCGAGTTTCTTTTTCTCCCATTCCTTGTCCATGTTACCCGTTGTAATTTGTGAACTTTTTATCTTGCCACACTTTGGCATTTTGCCATCAAACTAAAAGTGAGGTGCTCAGATTACCTATTACAAGGTTTGGGGTTAATCAAGATTACCTAGAAACGTCAAAATTATCAATTTACTCTATTAATTAATATGAATGTAAAGAATAACTATCAAAGTATATGCAAGTTTTTGGATTATGTAATGAAAGCATCTCCTCTTGGATATCTATCTATCACAGTGGAAAATCCTGGTAAATAGAATGCATGGAGACACTGACTAAAGGATGGATGAAAAGTGATCATTGTTTTTCTTCTTCCCGTGACCATTTCATGCTTTTTGTAACTTTTTAGACAATGTTGACGAATATTACCTTTTTTTGTTGATGGCTAAATTAAAATTACAGAGCATTCTTAATCTGTAGCAAATTGTGTTTCTACTCAGTTTTAATGTTATTTTTTCCATCTTTACCATGGTTGATAATTTTTGAAATAAGTATTCTTGCAGGAATGGTCTGGTCATAGCCGGTTAGTCAGGGTAATGCCAAACACACCATCGGCTGTGGGTGAAGCTGCGTCAGGTGGCACTGTCTCCTTGCCTACTGTGCTTCCCATTAGATTAATGCGTCAGATCTCCGAAAATCAACATCATAGCTATTTTTAATTTCTTACTTTTAGTTACCTCTACATCATAAAAGCTTGATCAATTATGGCCCATGGAGGCGCTTTTTGTGTTTTATGGATTCATTTTTAATTACTAATTCATGAATTGGTCTCATATTGAATCGGAAATTAGCGGATCTAATTTAGGATTTTTTCTCTTTGACTGTCATTTAAAGAACAAAAAGTATCTAAAAGGTGGAAGCAGGACAATCAGAAAAAGAAACATAAACTAGAGCGGGATCTTCAAAGGTACGTGAGAATGAATAACACTATTAAGTATTAAAAAGCTAAATTGTCATAGAAATAATGTTTTGTTTTTCTATTGACACCTTTTGCCTGCCACAATTTTGAAATGAAGCAAACATCTCCTATATTTTGGAAGTGAGCATGTGTTTTTTACTGAAAGGAATTAATGGGTAGCATATAGCTGGAATGTAGTCCATAAGACCATGATAGTCTGGTTAAAATCGAAAGCTATTTTAGAATACATTATCAAAATTTTATAGGTTGGAAAATGCTTTTGGAGATGGAACTTCACTCAGAGTTTTACAATGTCCAGTGCTAGGTTACTAGGTAAGTTATATTGACAAGGTAGGTGTGAGCCAAGGCTGAGTTTTGCACAGGTAGGGAAACAAAAACTCACCATAAATCAAATAGTTCTTCTATGGGGGTCACTACAGACACCAGACCGCTTTTGCTAACACCCTTCTTAAAGTACTAGATGGACAGGAAGGCAGACTGTTGAGGCAGAAGATTAGTGTGACTACTACAGAGGGTGAATTCATTTGACAAGGCTTGAACCATTCAAGTCGGCTACACCTCAGATACCTAAGCCAGACTATTTATAAACTTCAACTGAATGCATGAATCCATCATTGGATTATTCCATGAGGTCCCATCTTTACCCAAACTGGGTGAATTTGCAAGTAACGTTACTATAATAATTTATGGCGTGTGGCATCTGGCATGTGTGTTTACAATGTGGCTTCAGTTCAAGTTGCGTTGATCTGACTGGGACGAGACTCTTCTTTTGGTTATGCCAATATGGTCTATTTTCCCACAAAATAGGGGCATTAGGGTGTACTTATGTCAAAGCAGCTTCCACTTTGTGCCATATTTTATGACTTTCACTTCCAGATCACTAATATGCGTTTTCTTGCCTCCCACATCATTTTCTTGCCCTAGTATGTTTCTGCTATGGGAAATTGCATGCACGCATATCCTTTCCACTATATGATTCTTTTCATTAAGCACAGGTATCCTGTACAGAAAATGCAGTGTGTTTGTCAACTATCTTTTATCTTTCAGTAATGTGCTTGGGAGAACGGGCAACAAAGACTGATGGGGAATGGGTAGCAAGCTTGTTCACCGCTATAGGAAAGATATGGATAGCTGATGAGAAACATTTTGATGCTGTTACTGGTTTAAGGTATTATGTGTATTAACTTAAATTCATAAACATGAATTTTGGTTCTCCTTTCTGCTCTACGATCCAATAGGGAAGGGTGCGTTGACTCCTATTTTCCTCATGATTATAATTGTGGCTATCTTTGAGTTTTCAGCGCAAGTGGCCCTGCATACATCTTTCTCGCCATAGAAGCCATGGCTGATGGTGGAGTTGCCGCCGGTCTTCCAAGAAATCTTGCACTAAGCCTGGCATCCCAGACAGTAAGTGCTTTGGACACTAGAAGATTATAGATACCTCAAGATGAGCACTTGTTTCTGTGTTACATATGCGTTCAAACTAGCGGTTCAACTCGCAGACTTCAGATTTTCAAAGTAATGACGGTAGCATTCGGGTAGTAATTCACATTTTATCCATTTTCATAGGTTCTAGGCTCAGCAGCAATGGTGAACCGTACAGGGAAGCACCCAGGCCAGCTGAAAGATGATGTGGCCTCCCCTGCAGGGACTACAATAGCGGGGATACATGAGCTGGAGAAAGGTGGCTTCCGCGGAACCCTGATGAATGCCGTCATTGCAGCTACAAATCGGTGCAGGGAACTCTCAAAGTGATCCCGCCTGGTCATCAGATCCCATAATCTTATTAATCAGGTTTTTCTTCAGTTTTCCATTTCGTCACTCCCAATAATTTAGTTAATATTCTAGGCTTCACCAGCAGCACAGATGGAAATCATTCGAAGGCAATGGGTCTCATTTGGGATCCACCTCAAACATTGTTGATCCATTGCCCCTTGAAAATAAGGCGATTCAGTTGTTTCTGATGATGACTTGTAGGTCAACGTAGATAGTTGTGTTTCTTTGCTTAGAGTCTTTGATTCCCAACTGCTGGAGATAGAGTGGACAGTTTGACCTTTGGGCATGTATGTCATGATATTGGTTTCGAGATTGCTAATAGGATTTTGCTACAAAGTTGTGTGCTCATTTTCTGTCACATTGTGATTATATTAACTCATCTCTCTCTCTCTCTCTCTCTCTCTCTCTCTCTCTCTCTCTCTCTCTCTCTCTCTCTCTCTCTCTCTCTCTCTCTCTCTCTCTCTCTCTCTCTCTCTCTCTCTCTCTCTCTCTCTCTCTCTCTCTCTCTCTCCCTCTCTCGTTTATGTGATTGCAACCCTTCCTATAGAGCAGAGAATTGTTGGCCAGTGGCTTCTTTGAAATTTGAGTGCCTTTTATTTCATGCTTATGGTCCCTACTTTACCATACATGACGTAAATGTTTTCAATGTAGTCTTTGGGGATTCTCCAAATGGGAGCCAATGTTCAATTCAACAATCCTGTTTTCCTATCGATCATTCTCCATTTGAAAACCAGCCTTTTCTTAAGTCAGCCATCATGTTTTCCTTTCTTCTTCTTTTTTTTCAAGTACAATCAAATTAAAAGTGTATAACGATTTTTGTGCATCAGAAAGAGTTTGGAGCTGTTCTTCATCTCATCCACGACATGAACCTTTATCCTCCTAGTCAACCTTTTTGAGGTAAACTTTTACAATCCCCTCTACTCCTTGTGTTGCTAGTGTGCTGTCTACTCTTTCACCTCCTTGGTCTCTTCACACCTCAAGCTGGCCATGCAGCCTCTTCTACTACCTTCATCCTATGTCATTAACCTAGATAGCTCAAAAGGCACCACATCAATCTTCAAAGCCCATATTTAAAACATGTCGCCTTTAGAATAATATGTTGCTTGAGTAATTGATGTGATCTTCCTTAAAAGGATCAGATCTGAGCAAAGCCAAAGAGAAAATGTTTGTATTGATCTCACTAAATCTAGTCAATGATGTGGGATAGAACATCATGATGACAGTTCTATTGAGATATAAGAAAAGGAAGAGAGGAAGAAGAGTAAGGTGTGAGGAACGAATTCGAGAGGATTCTCTTGCCTCTCTATGTTTCAATTTGTCTCCGCCCATATGGCCCTCACTTGGTGTCATATTTATAGCCCTCACACGTGTTGTGCACATGACTCCTTATGCCTTTTACATGTCAATAATGGGGCCATATCATTACTCCTCCCCTCTAAATTCACTTGGTTCTCCAAGTGAAATTCTAAAATTGCCAAACAATATTACAAGCTAGCTCCCATGAAGATTCATGATCTAGTAGATTGGCCCCTTTCATTAGAATTTTTAAACATACAAGCATCTTCCACACTCCTTTGAATGTTTGAGGGTTGACATGCCATTCCATATATGTATTGAGTGAAGGTGAAAGTGGTCCACAAGTGTTAGGTGATAAGGCCTGTTGTAGTTGAGATATATAGAATACTAGATGAATTGATGGTGAAGATGTGAGATCAAACTTATGCATTATTTGGTTCACTCAAGAGAGGATCTTATATAGTCTAAAAAATATCAGAGAAAGCTTTTCGTTCACTTTTCATGTTAGAGATCTCATTTTGTAGGAATGAAGTTGTAGATAAACAATATCATTAACTTGAAACTCTAGTGGATGACGATGATGATCTGCTTTATATTTCATTTGAGATTGAAAATTTTGTAGATGTTGTTTCAATAGGTTGAGAATTTGGTCACATTTCTAGTAATTATTGGTCCACAATTGAAATCAAAGAGATAAAAGGCTCATTATTGATGATGCCAGATGGATCATGGCCATAAACTATTTTAAATGGTGTTGTCTTGATACAAGAGTGGTAAATTGTATTACAAGATAATTCTGCCCAATGTAATTGGAATTGTTCATCACCTCAATTTGTCCATTGAACTGAGGGTGATAAGATGGTGACATTTGAAATTGAGTTCTTTGTAACTTACATAACTCACATTAAAAAGTGTTTGTAAACACTTTGTCACAATCCAAAATAATAGATTTAGACAAGTCATGTAATTGAACCACTTTCTTGTAAAAGTTTGTGCTATAAAAAAAACTGTTTTAAAGGAATAAAATAGTTATACTTACTAAGGTGATCAACCATGACTAGTATAATACAAAGCTATTAGATCTTAATAAACCTTCTATAATATCCATAAAAAGGTCTTCTCATACTAGGTGTGGAATAGGAAGTGGTTGCAATAAGCTTACAAAAGATAGATAAAATCTTGTTCCTATGATAGACTTGACAATTTTCTACATGCTCTTTGATAGTGTTTTTCATCCCTTTCTAAAACACATGTTGGGTTAGTCTCTTATATGCATAGGAACCCTTCACGGCCTCTTAGTGGTGACTCATAAGCTTCTCTTAATTGCAAAGGTATTAAGGTTGAGTCAGATGATAACACCAATTGATTTTTATAAAGAAGTATCTTATGATGTAAAAAGAAATGAAGAACATTTGAACCATTAGTTAGTAATCAACAATAGCTTGTAGCTTGGTATCAACTAAAACTTCTTGTTGAACATTATTAAGATCCAACAATTAGGGTTGGAAAACTAAAGTCACTCTCAATTCACTTATATATGATTCTCAAGACAAGACATCAACAATATTATTAAGTCATCCTTTATATTTGATGACAAAATTGAATCCTAATTATTTGATAAATTATTTGTGATTTGTCGATAGACATACCACTACTCAAAAAGGAATTTAAACTATATTGATCAATTTGGATGATGAAAGGCCAATGAATTAAATAATGTTGTATTTTTGTACTACTTTAATAATATCAATGAGCTCCTACTCATAAGTTGACTTGAATGGACGCTTATAAGGAAGGACTTAGTTGTGGAAAGTCACTGACCTTTTAGAAATACATAAGAACCCTTCCAATCTATGACTTGAGGCATTTCTTTGGAGAACAAATAGTAATAAAAAGTTAGACAAGATTAAGAACTAGTGTAGTTGACATTGCCACCTTAAGTTGGAGAAATGCTTCTTGACAAGCTAAACTCTAGGCATACGAATTTTTCTTAAGTAGCCAATTAATCGAAACATAGTTAATTATAAATTTTCTGTAATAACCTATGAGAGTTAAGAAACATATTACCTCCTTGACATTCTTTGAATGTGGCCAATGGAGTATAACTAAAATCTTATCTTTATCTACAACAATACCTTCCTTAGAAATTCAATGACCAAAATACTCAATAGAGGACTAAGAGAATTGGCACCTTTTAACATTAATATAGAGGTTGTTTATAGATAAAATAGTAAATGTATCAAGTGTGCTTTATGATCCCAACTAATGTAGTTGTAAATTAAGAGATTATCAAAAAAATATAAGCACAAACCTCCTCAAAAAGGGTCAGAACAACTCATTTATAAATGATTAAAAAGTCACTAGTGTATTTGAGAGTCCAAAAGGCATAACAACAAATTCATAATGCACATCGTGAGTTTTGAATGCTACCTTTGGAATATCTATAGCTTTCATGTGAATTTGATAGTACCTTGACTTTAAATCTAATTTAGAGAAAATACTCGTATCCTGAATTTTATCAATCAACTCATTTACAATAGATATAGAATATCTATGTGAAATTATTACCTTATTTAAGGTGTGATAGTCCATACAAAATTTCTAGCCACCATTTTTTTTATTCACCAATAAAATGGAATTTATATAAGGACTTTGTGAGGGTTGAATAAAACCTACTAACATGAGCTCTTGTATTAACTTCTCAATTCATCTTTTTGGAAATAAGAATAATTGTAAGATTTTAAGTTTATAGGCCTACTATTTAGAATAATCTTTATTGAATGGTTCACCTCATGCTCTAATGATAGTTTGATTGTAAAATGAAAAAATAGATGAAAATTATGATCATAAATGAGATTATATTGAGAAAGTGACGGTGGTACTAGTTGTTTCCTCTTGTATTTGCATCTAATGTAGCTCAAGTAAGATTGGGGGCCATTGCTTTTGGTCTACCTTTAGGACTTCAAACATCTCATTTACTAAAATCTTCAAATTTACATGCATCCATCTTGTGGAACTTAACTATTGCATTTTGATTACAACATGAGTGGTAAAAATCTTGAATAATGTCTAAACCTTGAACTTTTAGATAGACACTTTTATAAACTTTATTACATTGTAAAGCCTCGTCATTTCTCATGAGAATATTATAATTTACTATTTTTCTTTGATGAAATTTGAGGCATATACATAATTCTATGCATATGAAATTGTGTCACACTTGAATCAATTAGGATGGTGACAACATGCCCATGCAAAGTTACTTCTATCTTCATAGTTCTTGTTTGAGTGAGTCCCACCACTAAATTCAATGAGACTTGTCCTACAAATAATGTTCATTTTTATATTTTCTACATCATACCATCTTTAGAATTAAATAGAATGGTGTCATTAATTTCTTAGTAATCTTCATAAACTATTAGAATCTAGAGTTGTTTCTTTTAGTGGTTTTAGACTATTTTTTTCTTCACAATGATAACAAAGACTCTTTTCACAACAATTTTGGTATTCTACATCAATTAAGGTGATCTACTTGTGATAGTGGTCGTTTTTTCTTATCACTTGAGGTGGAGGATTACCATTGGGCTCTCACTTCAAGGAGGACATGTTCTCATTTTTCTATTTATTGGATTGTGAAGGTAAACAACTATCAGCAAACTTAATTGAAGTAGAATTACCTTGTTGAAAAGATTTGGACATATGATCATCCCAAGCTTTCCATAGGGTTATGAATATATTACTTTACCTCTACTAATGCTTTCATCATCTCTATCAGCCCCACTAGACCCATGCAAGCAAATGCTACTTGAATCTCTAGTTTCAAGCCTTTTATATATACATATCTAAAATGACTTTGTCAAGATTCTGCTTAAGCCTACTACTCTCAACCTCTAAATCTCATTTTTATCAACCTTATTGAATAGATCCTATAACTTCATTACTAGATTTTCATTATGTCATTGGACTCATTTTATGATATTTGTCACTTTAGAACATATATTTACTCATATCTCTATTTTTATCATTATAATTATGATTTCATTTTTTACCTTTTCAGTTCACGAAATTGAAGGATTATGTGATTTGTCAGAAAAAGGGATGATAGCAACTTTTTTGTCAATAACAAGATTCTTAGATATTTGTTGGATTTATTTGGGACATTTCTCATTAAGTCATTCGTATGAATCATGAATGTTCCTTTCATAGAGTTTTGCTATATTCATATGATTCTATTTTTAATAAGATTCTAGCTATAAGCATACATGTACTATTATATGCTTCTCCATGGATATCTAGTCACCATATATTTTGGGGTATAATTGGTGATTTTACATCATAAGCAATAAAGAAGCCAAAATATAATATTATTTGATTATTAATTTTTTAAAATTATATATATATTCTCCATTACAATTTCTTGGAGTTTAGGTAGGTAAGAAGATAAATGTTCATGTTCAGTTCAATATTCTTGAACTAATTGTTCATGTTAGTTATTTAAGAATTTGTGAAATGTGTTACTTGTTGTAGAAATACAAAAATGTTTTCTCAATTGAATCTTGAAATCTTGCTATTGCAAAATAGCTATTTTTCATCCTTCCATAACTACCACCAATGCCAAGCCTTCGAGCTTCATCATGACCATCTCTAATTGGTCTCATTCATCTACCTATTTTAATCTAAAGAATTTTTTAGTACATCTCAACCAACCTTTGAGATTTTCATCCCAAAATATTGGTATCTCTCCTTTTAGGGTGAACTGAATGACATTATGGCCTATTACATATTCGTTTGAAACATGTTCTTAATAGAGGACAAGAAATTATACCTCGTCTTTGTTCTATCTGTTCTTGATGGAATGATGATGTTGGCTATAGAATATGGGTTTCTTTCTTTTCTAGGGCATCCAATTTAACACATACCATTAGTTTGAAATATTACATATTTTGTACGAGTTAGTGCATTAGATCCATAAATTCTTCTCTTGATTTGTGCATATCTTCAGTCATTCTATGATGATCAACCCGTAGGTTCTCATTTTGTGCTTCTAAGGCTTCAAAATAAACATCAACTACCTTCACTACCATGATGTTCGTAGTCGTAAGATCGTGGCTCTGATAATAATGATATGATTCTCCTTGATAGGATAAGATCTAAGTAAAATTGAAGAGGAAAGGTTTTGTATTAGACTCACAAAATCTAGTCAATAATGTGAGATAGAATGTTAGGATGACAATTGTACTGGGATACTAGTAAAAGAAGAAAGGAAAGAGTAAAGGATAGGGAATGAATTTTAGAGAATTCTCCAGCCTCTCAAGTTCTAATTTGTCTCCCCCCATATGATCCTTCTTGTGCTATATTTATAGCCATCACACATCTTTTATATGTCAATAATGAGGTGGTACCAATAACTTAGTCATTTATATGACTTTTTAATTCTAGACATACCTTAGTTATCAATAAGTTAATCACCTTCTTACATAGGAACCTCTTTACAATTACCAATAAGTTGTAGGAAGGCAAAAAATATAAAAGAAAAGACTTGTTTTATCTATCCTAGGAACCTTCTCTTTTGAAAACATCATTTGTCTTATGAAAGTGTATCAGATTGTTACAGCACAAAAAAGATTGTAAGATTTTTTAACATTTGTACACACTCCTTGCAGTTCTTTAGACTCCTACTTGACTACAAGTTCTGCATAATTGCTTTATGTGAAGTCAAATGTTAAGCTTTTCTTCTAATTTCTACTTTGAAGGTCCATAGTTGGTAGAGAAAGTTCCCAAATTACTTTATTTTGTCCCTCAACTATATAGTTTTTTCAAAACTATCAAAGATACTTTTATTTGTAATAGATTTATTTTTAAAATTATATTTATTTTGAAATATACAAGCATTACTTTCTTTCACTAGAAAACTATGAAAAATATTTACACAAAAGAATTGAGCTCATTACTTATTTGGGTAACAAATGTAATCATACTAAAATATTGGTCGAACTCATTTACGAATGAATGTTTCTAATAGAAGGGTGTGTGTGTGTGTACAAGGTATCCAAATGCAATGAACTGATAATGCAGTATTTGGTTCCCAAAAGAAACTCAAAAAATTAAAATAATATAGAAATTTAAAACAACCAAAACTCAATGAGAATTTTAAAACAAAGCTTATCAACCACCATGCACTCCCAGCCCTCACAAGGAAGTAATGATCTTCAAACCTAAAACAGTGACTCTTTTATTTATACAGTCCAAAATTGTAGGTTACTCACCTTTTAATGAGATAAGGGTGATTTGGCATTCCCATCCTTCAGCCACTTGAGATGATGTCACCTCTTCACCGAGACATGAAAATCGAAAAAACTGAAAGCAAAAAAAAATGATTGACGTCTATAGGATTTGTTTTGTATATTGAGAAATCCAAAGCAGATGTGAGTTAGAAGAAAACCACACACCTTTTGATGGTTATTAAATACCTTACGCATTGTTGGATGGACACTCAGTACTTTATAATCATGTTTATGCAAATATGACAGAGATAACAATGAAGAGGATAAAATAAATCTTATTAGAGTGTTGATAGCTGATGATTGCATCTCCTAAGTAGCCTAAAGATATCCTCATGTCATCTAGATTTTTATCAGCACAAGGAATGAAAAAGTACAAAGGAGACCTGCTCAAGAATTTAGAAATGTTGTCTAGATCTCATTCATAACCCTCTCAAATTTCACATATCCTCAAAATAGTTTTCACAAAGTGAAACTGATTTTATCAAGATTTCTTTATTTGTAAAAAGACATAATGACAAACTGTTACTCTTTCTACACCATGTCACACGTGATGTGTGATGTGTGAAGTCCATGGCTCATTTTCACGATTTTGAGCTGTTCATTTTAATATATTTTTATTATTTCCATGTTATCATTCTATTAATTAGAAAAAATGTTGCACACAAGTCAAAAGCACAGTGTTTACACGTTCCATACGCAAAATGCTTTCCATGAAGTTTATAATAACAATGTAAAATGGACTTGGTACTGATTATGTTTTCATGAACTGAAAAAGAAAACTTAATGGGCATTGTTCATGCTTCTGAGCTTTTCTTTGCTACTATTCTGAAGTCAAGTTTGCAACCCTTCCCCACCGGGAATAATAGGCACAGGATCAGCCGGCTTAACAACAACAGAAGACCCTCTAAACCGCAGGTATAACCCAAACGCCAAGTTCGATCCTCCAGAGTGTAAGTATCTTTAGTGCAAATGCTCTTCTCTCGCATGGATTGGGGATACGAGATAAGTGCAGTGTTTATGCAGCGCACTACGTGGGATTTTTGTGAGTCTGATTCAAACTGGATCAGTTGGCCGTAGTCTGCCTGCGTTTTGCGCACTGGGGAAAGAAGGTTTGGTTCATTAAGAGGGAGGGAGGAGTGGCTAATGTTGGCTGCTGACTTCGCCAAATGTTAGATTATGACGCTCAAAATCCAAAATTTAGAATACGGGAATCGGCATTCTTTTCCACGGGTAGAACTCAAGAATCGAAAGAAAAATGTTTTTGTGAAGTAATTGCAAGAACCAGAGGTTACACGTTTTTCTGAAAAGAAGAGGTTCTTTTTCTCTCTCTCTATGATCGAGATCGGATCTTGGAGCCTCAGTCGCGTTGCCGGTTCGTGGCGTCCAAGCGGACGCTATATAAATCGTCAGGGTGCGAAGTTCTGGGAGAGCTCGTCCTTCTATCTGCTGCCAATGGAGAGATCCGAGCTACTGTTCTTGATTCTAAGCTTCCTCTTGCTTTGGAACCCGCTTGTGCTGGCCCGTGGCCAACTTTCTCCTCCGACGTCCGTCGGCGGAGGAGATGACGACCGCCGCCGGTTGCAGACGTATATTGTTCACGTGCAGAAGCCGAAGAACTTGGTGTTCGGCAGCTACTGGGAGAGGGAGGAGTGGCACAAGTCCTTCCTGCCGACGACCCTCATCGACTCCGGATAACCGCGGCTGGTTTACACGTACGAGCACGCGATCGGCGGGTTCGCCGCCCGGCTGACGCCGGAGGAGGTGGAAGCCATCGAGGCCGTCAACGGCTTTCTCCTCGCTCAGCCGGACGCCGAGTTGGTGCCAAGGACGACCCACACGCCCAAGTTCCTCGGGCTGACACGCAGCGGTCAGTTTTGGGAGATGGCCAAGAGAGGGGAGGGGCAGGTCATTAGCGTTCGGGAAGTCTCCTTTTATTCTGACCAGAAATCCTTCAAGGACGCTGGCATGCTGCCACCGCCGGCGCGGTGGAAGGGCGCTTGCGAGTTCGAGGTTGACTCCTGTAAAAAAACCTGATAGGTAACAGGATGTTCAACGCTAGCGGCATCCCCTACAACCCCAATGAGGACAGATCTCACGGAAGCCACGTCGCCAGCACAGCAGCCGGGAACTACGTCCCGGGGGCCAACTACATGGGTCAAGCTTGCGGCGTCGCGGTTGGCACCGCCCCACGCGCCCACCTGGCCTTCTACAGCGCCAGGAGCGTCTCTGATTGGTTAAGGGCCGTCGACCAGGCTGTAGACGACGGCATCGACGTGCTCTCTATCTCTGTAAGCCTAACTACCGCTCCACCCTTTTACAATAACCCATTGGATATCGCCACCCTCGCTGCAGCAAGACGAGGTGCGTTCGGCAGCGTCGCTGCCGGGAACGACGGGCCTGAGCGGGCTACCTTGCTGGACAACACGCCGTGGTCGCTTTCTGTCGGTGCGAGCACCAGCGACCGGATGGTGAGAACCGAGCTCCGGCTGGGGGATGAGAGCGTCATCCCGGCCGAGTGCGACCTATCGATGTACTCGTTCTTCCCTGTCGGCGCTCCGATCCAGGCCGTGTTCCCGGGCTACTGGACGGGGAACGAGAGCGCCACTCACTGTCGCGATGAATACCTTGGCGGCGAGAACGTCACGGGGAAGCCGGTGCTGTGACTCGGGGACCACGGAAATGATGGCCAAGTTTCGTTCCAAACGAAGACCTGCAACGTCAGGCAGGCCAGCGGGAAAGTGGGAGTGGTCCTGAACGAGAAGGTGCAAGGGTCAACGCTCCTATACGGAGCTCAATGCGTACCTGCGGTGCACGTCGACTACGAGCACTCTCTCGACCTTATAGACTATTTCCGGTACGCCGAATAACCCACCATCGCCTTCGAGCCTGTGGGAACGATAACCGGAGTTCGCCGGAGCCCGGCGGTAGCCTACTTCTCCGCCTGGGGGCCGAGCCTGGTGAGCAACGGGGTTCTGAGGCCCGACATCGTTGGCCCCGGTGTCAACGTATTGGCTACCACCAACTCTCATGTTCCCTTCTTTTTTCTGTCCGACACCTCCATGGCATGCCCCCATCTGTCTGGGATCGCCGCCCTGCTCCGGAGCGTTCACCCGACCTGGTCGCCGGCGATGATCAAGTCTGCGATGATGACCACCAGCGACTGGCTGGACAACGCGGGGATGCCAATCGCCGACGAGACCGGCGAACCCGCCGACCTGTACGCCACCGGCGCCGGCCACGTGAACGCAACAGACTACGTGAAATATGTCTGCGGGTTGGGCTACACTGAGAAACAGACCAACGCCGTCCTGGGAGGCATTTTCGACTGCGCCGTCTCCGGAGCCATCAGCGGCGAGCAGCTGAACTATCCGACCTTCTCGGTGCGGCTATGTTCAACGCCCAAGGTCGTCACCCGAACTGTGACGAACGTCGGACCAGCCATAGTCAGCTAACTGTGTCCATAGAGCAGCCGCCCAACGTGTGGATAAGCGTCTTCCCTCGTAAGCTTGACTTCTCGAAGGTTGGGCAAAAGAGGAAGTACAAAGTCACCATCGCCTCGACTAACCCACGACGACTACCAGGCGAGGTTGTGGAAGGACAGCTCTCCTGGATCTCAGCCCAGCATATCGTCAGGAGCCCGATCTCCATTGTATTCTGAAAAAGAATCTTCTCTGCGGACTTCCAATGTATTGGATAACTTCTAATATCTACGTACCCCCAAGGGGAAGACATTGTTGGGAAGCTGTGTACCAACTATTGGATCGAAGGATCAAACAAGATTAAACGAATAATATTTACTATTTCTGCATCTGGAACCTCATCAGGTGTTCTATCCGCTGCAATAACCTTCACCCTCTCTCCCAAACCTCTTTTGAAGGTTACCCGATTTACTTCTTTAATGAAGAAGACTTAATTTTCTGTTTCGCTTTTATTCTTGTTTTGAGTTTTTTCATGTCTCTTTCATCTACACGTCCCAAAGTTTCCCGTTAGCCTCCTCTTCTACCTCTCTTGCACCGACATAAGCACTTGATAATCACCATGTATCCATATACTTCGTGCTAAGACATAAGTATGTCATATGCTGCCATTAGAAGTCCCTTGCCATTGTTCATATTATCCAATAGTATATTAGATAGTCAATCTTCCTGGACGAATATAAGAGAACGATCAAAGCAGGGGATTAGCACTTGGAGTATATAGTCCCTAACCCCATGATATAAAAGGTCACTATCGCCACTCGTAGTTAGAGATGACTTCTGTGCCCAATGACTTCTGTTGGAACTAAATCCATTCTTTTCAGAGGGAGAAATTTTAGCTTCTGTCGGCTACTGAAATTAAGATAAAAGATCTCCAGGTTCATAAATTCATCAGTTTCCATGGAGTTTCTTTTTCTCTCCCATTCCTTATCCATGTTATCACTTGTAATTTGTGAACTTTTTATCTTACCACACTTTGTCATTTTGTCATCAAACTAAAAGTGAGGTAATCAGAAGTGCTTTGCGATTACAAGTTCTCTTCATGAATTATAATGGATCGTAGATAATAAATATTATCTAGAAACGTCAAAATTATTAATTTACTCTATTAATTAATATGAATGTAAAGAATAACTACCAAAGTATACACAAGTTTTTGGATTATGTAATAAAAAAATCTCCTCTCTTGAATCTCTATCTATCTCAATGGAAAATTCTAGGAAATAGAATACATGAAGACACTGACTAAAAGATAGATGAAAAGTGGTGTTTTTTTTCTGCTTTCCTTGACCACATCATGCTTTTTGAAACTTTTTTGACAACGTTGACGAATTCTACTTTTTTCTGTGATGATTAAATGAAAATTAGAGAGCATTCGTAATCTGTAGCAAATTGTATTTTCGATCATTTTTAATGCTATTTTTTCCACTTTTACTATGGTTGATAATTTTTGAAGTAAAGTATTCTTGCAGGAGTGATCCAGTCGTCGTTGGTTAATCAGAGTAATGCCAAACACACGATCAGCTGAGTTTTATTTCCATATTATATCATACAGGTTCCCCAAACTATTACAATATCAAATCAATTAGGAAAAAAAGAATAGATCGAAGAATAATTTTTGGAATGTTTATCTTGATAGTGACACATCAGATAAGTATGTGGAAAAAATGTGAAGTAATGTGTAATGATTTGGAGCCTGCATTTATATCAACTCATTCCCCACCACTTTAGAATCCTTCAGTTCAAATTTAAATTCAAAACACCAAAATAATTAGGAAAATTTTAGATTGGAAGGTAAAAATATGAGAACCAAATACTCTAGAAAATGTTAAGAATTTGAATGAACAACTCAAATGTTGGATATCCGAGAAAAATTAAATTGATACAAGGCAAGGTTATATAATATCAAATAAAATTAATGGACCAATATCAAGAAATACTTTAGAGATTTAGTGCTCTTCATCAAGATTGATGAAGATCTTGATGGAGAAAAAAATAAAATGCAATAATTCTCTTCATCAGCTTGATCCGTTGATAAAAAAACTAACCAATTAAAATCAATTCATTAGCATTCATTCACCAAATCTATTCAAAGAAGGTCCAAAATCCAATAAATCAAGGTCCAATATGCCTTAGCATTATGGCCCATTTTGAATCCAGCTCTTCACTTTCATTTACTCTTTACTTTTTATTGAAATAAATGTCATATTTCAGGTCCAATAACCCATTTCATTTACTCTTCACTTTCAAGCCTAAAATCGGTTTATTTCACATGTCATTTAGGTTAAATAATAATTTATTCCTCGTCATTTGATCATGAACAAATCAGAATATAATCAAAAATTAATTAACACTATTTTTTTAGTGTTAATTAACCCATTTAATATTTTTGTGTCTCTAAGACTTTGAAAGACAAATGACTTAGTCTATTGTGTTACGTGTGAATTAAGACATTGTTGCAGATGTTGTAATTATCCGATTGTCCTTATATGTGAAGAAAAATCAATGTAAGAAATGAGAAAGAACATTATCTACAACCAAACATGAAGGTTTTTCGCTCTAATACCCTTGACAATCATTATCTTGTGATATGAATACTTAATCATTAAGTGATTGAAAACAATGAAGTGCAAACTATGAATCAATTCTCATGACACTCATAGATAGGGTAAATTAAACCTAAACTACAGAACAAAGAGAACCAACCTAGAATTTAATCTCATGTCACCAATTAAATTAACTAAAATATGAGTGCTACTATGTAAAGTAACAATTGAAATCAATATCTAGGATAGAGAAGTAAATGCATTAAGAATGAAGAATCAATGTATTGGCATAGTAGCATTGTATAGGTAAAGTTTTCTAAGAGAAAAAGGATTCAAAAAATGAGATATATACTTTTATATAAAAAAATGATGGTGTATCGTGTATGTCAACAATTGTTGCATATGAATCCATTTAGAGAGCATTGTCATCAGTTGATAAAATTCATGTACATTGAAATCTCCTAAAAAATAATTAATACCACCATCAAGTTGCTCACTCATTACTAAAAATCCAATTTGACAAGAAGCTTGATTAATCAAAATGAATAAAATTGTCTTTGGTTTATAACCCAATAGATAAATCACGAGTTTACAATATTTTATAATAGTATATTTTGGAAATTATTTTTTTTTTCTATCATTGATTATGTTGAAAACTATTAGAGTTTTTAATATTAGTTGCCTTGGAAATAATTGAGACAACATTAGATGCATCAACACCACAAGATGGTTGATTGTTGATCTTCTTGATGAATAAGAGAGAAAATCTTATTTATAGATGACATGGGATCAATAATTAATAACTACATATTCTAATTAAAAGTAATTGTAAAATTCATTAAACATTTGCATGAATGTTTATACTAAGACAAGAAGTTCTAAAATAACTCATTACAACCCCAAGAGTTTTCAACTTGGTGAAACATGTTACAATAGAGTTAGCAATGATTAAGTAATTCACAATGTAATTGAAAAATATTACAATCATATTACTTTGTCAAAATATCAGAGTTCAAAAAAAATAATCCTACCTAACATTTCTTGAAAAAATGAATTCAAAATCTAAGAAATAACCAAATTATCTTTTTGATGAGTAAATCATCTGATTCGGCACTTTGGCCTTAAAGGGAATTCAGACTAAATGCCGAAGTCTATAACTCATGGTTAAATAGACTTTGGCATAAAGATAAATGATCAGTTAAACTAAAAGACGTTTCAAATCCAAAACGAAAGAAGAATGAACTTGTCAAGATGGGTTTGACTACTGAACCATGGATAAACTTGATTTTTTTTTCAGAAATAAAATAATAATTGTGGCTCAACTCCCCAAATTATAATTATAAGAAATAAACATAGATTTTATAAGTGGAAAAAATAAATACTTCATTATCACTGTATCATATTTACTTGATTGTGAAATTTATATATCGATACATAATTTAAATTATAGTTGAATTTTTAAATAAATATATAAAAAATGATTTTACAATATATTGATATGTTAATCAAATTCTCATTTGTATTGACCACACAACTAATGAGATTTAATACCCCCTAGTAATAAATCCTTAATCAAGATTAGAGAACTTGTAATTGACAATGAAAATGAACAAAAAGAAACTTCACTTCTTCCATAATCTCACATAGAAAAATATGTCATTGATTGATTTATCCACTCTCCTCATTATTGGTCTCAAGCTCTATAGTGCAACAAATCAATCTTTGCCCTTTGGGAAGTTAGATGAAGGTTTGTGCCAACAAGAAACAAGGATGTTAAATATATTAGTGAAACCTTGGCTATTTATAGTTAGAATAAAACTATCGATTAGAAGAATGTTTCGATAAGATAGGAGAGGAGGATGATAGGCATGAGTGTTAAAGCTAGATTTTGATGTTTAAATATTTTTTTTATGTGTTAATGTGAAAAATAAATATAGTAATATATTATTCATTTTGGAAGTTTGAAGTTAAAGAATTTAGAAAAATATAAAAATATTGTCACTTGCTAGCAAATTGCCACTCAATAGTTGGCCTAGAGGGATATTGCACTCAAGTTGGTAGACCTAGATAAGGAGAGTCACAAGTTAAGCTTGAGTCGTAAAAAACTCCCTTTGCACATATATGTATCACTCCCCTATACATCCTAGGGGCCAATCAATTGTGGAACAAGAAGCGTCATACACATGTGTGTGTGTGTGTGAGGGCAGACAACCTATTACCTCTTCCCAAGATGGTTATGGGTATTATTTTATTTAGGAGAACATATCTCTAAACACAAAAGTTAGGTTTAATCTATATTCAGTTCAATTTCACAAATACTTCCAATGTAGGCCTAAATTTTCTCATGTGTTTCAAGACAAGAATCTAAGGCAATTTGATCTAGCAATGCTCAATAGGCCGAATTACTATATAAGGTAGATCCTGCGATGAGCAAACCACCACAATACCCAAAATGTGAAGCATTCTATTAGCAATTTGTGAATCTCACATCGCTTAGCATGCATGTGATCAGAAAGATGATTGGAGGGAGAGCAAAGTGCCACAGTACCGAGTTAAGTTTCTAGTCAGCAATGGTTTATGACAAATTAATCATGTGTTGCTCAACGTGCCACGTTACTAAGCATCTTATCTAGTGG